TACTTGCACCAGTTAAACAAATCGTTGTGGAATTAATACATCGTGACACACGCATTGTTGTAATGTACTTTGATTTACATGTAATCCAATATTATTGTTTAAATGAAACTAATACATATTATGAGTTGGTTACTTACGTTACTTTATGAGTTGGTCTTGTTGCGACAGGACCAACTGACAGACACTCACATCTCGTCTTAATGATCACGGTTGATGAAAAGTAACCGAAACGTCGGGAATATGTATTTAAAATAATAAAATAGGCTTAGTAATCCGATAATATTAGTTTCATTTAAATAAATACTCGCGAAAGTCTTAGATTTCATAATTAATTATTGGTTTTTGAGTCCAGTTACTTGGAGTACAGAACGTAAGTCGACTTCAGAAACATCTGAAGTCGTGGTTTTGATTAATATATTGAATGATTAATTATTAATAATAATATTGTTTTATTTATTTTTAATAATAAATATACCAAAGTTGTACAGATTAGATGATTAAGTAATAAATGATCGTATCTTGTGACTTTAGACACGCCTCCGTACACTTTAAACTACTATTGTTACTTTGCAGGTATTTTTTTCAATTCTACATGAAGCGCCTTTAAAGAGTTCAGAATTTTTTACATCCATAAGTAGATTTTGTACATTTTAATGTCTCGTTTTGTTTTGTTTAAACCTTAAAGATGCGACACTATCTTAAGACTCACAATGAATTTTCTTTTAAGAGAATCATAAAGTTATATGTATTTTTAGGGATGTTAACAAAGTCTAGTTACATTACAATAAATAGAACAATATCTTCAATGAATTTTTTATTCGTATAAAGTATCAGAAGTTCTCGGAAAAGATTTCGGTTTACAAAACCTAACATAGCTAGTACATGAAGGTAGGTTAGTCCTATGTTGCCCCTCTTACAGGTCATTGACCCGTGGATCAACATTTACGAAGAAATTCCAATATGTACCAATTATTCTAGCTAATAGTTTGTTTACATTTAACTTGTATTCTTAATTAAGATTCTAGTAGCTATAATTATAGGAACACGAAATAAAAATGTCTTTTTTTTGCTAGTTATTCAACATTTACTTGATATTATTCGGATATAATAGAAATAAATAGTTCCTTTTTATTTATTTATTTTTTGTTTTTGGTACACATTTAAGTTTTTACTTAACAAAGATATCAAAATTACATTACTAAATAACGCCATACGATCGATATCTAACTATTATTAATTTATTATTTCAGTACAACAGACATGTTATTAGATATGTTTGACATTTAGTGACAAAAACATGTTGAGGAATTTTTACTTATTGATATATTATGTGTGTGTGAGAGAGATAAAGAGAGTGTGTGTGTGTGTTAGAGAGAGAGAGAGTGTGTGTGTGTATGTGTAGGTATGTAAAAATCATGGTAGTGTGTGTATTTTTTTTTTAATAGTTTTGTGCACTTCTTCGGCATGTACCTAGTCTTTGACTCGTGATTGTTCTTTTCACAATTTTCAGTTCGCGGAATTCTCTTGAAAATATAACAATATTTGTGTTTCACGTATAAATATTATATGAAGTAATCCAATTTACTGTTTTGTTACATTTATTTTGTAGAATATGTAAAATATCTTTGATATATATTTTAGTCTTTATCATTTTTAGACTAAAACGTAGGGAAGTTTTTCTGAAGTTTAACTTCTAATGCGACTTCCAAGGTTGCGTTAAAGGTTCAACACTTCTGGAAAAGGGGAATCGGAGCGAGAGTAAATGAGTGGGTCAATTGTGATTTGTAAATAATGTTTATAAAGTTAATATTAAAAAAACAATGTGAGATCACTAAAAATTGATTTAAACCCCTTCCTATTTTCATTTCGACATTACGAAGTTTCACTTCTTCCATGCGGAGGGATTCCAAACACTATTTCCCCTCTTAAGAGCGTTGAAAGTTTAACGCAACCTTTCTGGAAATCACATAAGAAGTTTCACTACAAAAGCGTAATATACAAACAAGAAAATCTGAGCAAACCTCTTAACTTACTGCTTGTATCATTCACAATATATAAACTACAACTATGTATAATGTCAACAATACGTTTCATATAACAGAAAATAAACACTACCTCTATATTACTTGAATAAAAACATTGAAATCATTACAAATATTATTTCTCATATATTGAGTGTTAACAGTTTCATTAAAATCGTTAAAAACCTCTTTAATGAATGGTTTCATTAATGATTTAACGGCTTAAACCGACCGACCTCACTCACTTGATACTTGAGTCACCACTTCATATAACAACGTTCAACGATAAGTATCTGATATGATGAGATAAATAAATGACTGGAGATGATTTTAATGTATATTATTATGGCTGATATAATATTTAGATGTATCTATGTAAAAGGAAGTCGTGTTAGTTACCCTATTTATAACGGGTTTAGCGGGAAATTAGTGGAGAAATAGCTTAGAACTAGGGAAAGGACATAAGTTAGTTTTCATCCGATGGAAAAATATAAATTATTCAAATCCAAAACCTTCTTATCTTCTGTTTTTGTGGGGAATAGAGTTCACGTGGTCGGATATACATTTCTTATTATAAAACTAACGCAGACACAAGCGGACAAAGTCGCGGGCACAAGCTTGTCTGTTATAGTAATTGTTAATTTTAAATTATATATTTTTTGTGACCAATATTTTCTTTACGATAAGCTTGTATCGATATCGACACACTATAGTCTAGCCTTTCATTCATAAGGCTACTGTTACACATGCTTAAAAAGGTAAACAAAGTGTAGATACAAAGATTTTCAATCTTCCTAAATAGACCTGTGTAACTTGTAACAAATGGACATTAAATAAATTAAATTCTTTATAACTTAACTAGCTTTTGCCGCGACTCCGTCCGCGTGGAATAGTGACTTCCGGCAGATTTTTGGTTCTTCCCACATAGTTCCCGTTCTTGCGGGGTTTTCGGAATGGTCGAGTTCCCGTAGAATTTTCAGGATAAAACCTATGTTTTTTTTTATTTACAATGAAGTACTCTTAACCAACAACATATTTATTTGTTTATTTGAATAAAGATTAATATTATTATGGTGATACAACTTAAACAAATTATTTCGACCAAATTAGGTACCATAAAAACGGTTTTTGTGAGTTAATCTTAAAAGATAGACATATACTGTCATGGACTGTTTTTAAGATCATTAAAAGAGCTATTATTCTTTTATACATATTTTTTGTGTACCTTGAACCGTTTTCACGGCGCACGCAACGGAAGGCTTCAAAGATGAAATAATTTCTCCCGTTTTTTACACATTTACCATTATATCCTTGCTCCTATTGGTCGTAGCGTGATGTTATATAGCCCATAGCCTTCCTCGATAACTGGACTATCCAACACAAAAAGAATTATTCAATTCGAACCAGTAGTTTCGGAGATTAGCGCTTTCAAACAAACAAACAAACAAACAAACAAACAAACAAACAAACTCTTCAGCTTTATAATATTAGTATAGATATAAGTAAGAAATTCAACTCAATAAAAACTTTAAAATTGCTACATATATCAGAATTTATTATAAAGCATATTCGCGTTATTTACTGAACTGATCTCTTTTATAACATAAAATTTTAAGACCAACACGATCGAAGTATTAATTGTTAAAAACACTGAACTTACAACTCTTAATGAAAAATAATTACCGATTAAGGTCAATACCTCTGTTGCTATCGCAACTAACATTATACTGTGTAAACATAAGAGAAAAACTGTTGGGATTTCAAAATATGAGCCGAATCGATACTCGCAAACAGCCCGCTTGGGAATTAGTTCAATGTTGACACTTGACGTACTGGCTTACTGTCTTTATACTTTGACAGCTGTCAGTGAAGCTTGCCCCATCAATAAAGTGTTATTTCCTATGCGAATAAATCCATAGCATAGAATTTAAAATACGGTTTATTATTGTTTGATGATAGGTATTTTTTCATTTAAATATATTTATAAATTCTACTATAATTAAGTATACTCGTGATGAATGCCTTTCATATGTATGAATGTCAATACAAACTCATAATATTTTATGAAATCTCTAATAAGATTCATGTTTTCAAAATTTCGTTTTGTCGTATTTTTTTTTTTAATTTTGCACTTAACTAAGCAGACAATTTAGAGTACGTACTATAAGCATAATATTCAAAAATTTATTTCCCCACTAACATGACCACTACACGGAAATATACAACCATTAAAAATATAATCCTTTGCCTTATCGGGTTTATCGATAATTGTAACAAATTAATTATATTTAAATGAGACTTCATATTACCAGAACTAACTTCTCTTGTATTCGATTAGACATTCAAAGACGGTTTTACCCCAAAATATTCAATCTCACAACTTATTACACTGCAACATAATATGTATACAGGGTGACTGGTGAATTATTATCAATATTTAAGGAGAATACTCGGTACATGATTCTCATTCGAATTATGTAAAAAAATAGGTACTTAATTTTTGACCAAATTTCCATATAAATAAATAAACCGTGGACACGTTCCAAGTGTTTCAAGTGTGGACGCGTGCGGCGGCGTGCTGATACAACACTACGACGCCGCACGCGTTTGTGTGTGTGTGTGTGTATACCTAATCTGTAGAGTGTTCACACGATGCGTAATTAATTACACAACTTTTGGTTAACTTTACTTAGAAGTTTATTAATATTTATGTTATATTAATTTTTATTTTGTCATATATGATCGTCAAATATCACGTCCTCAAGTATCGATAGTAATTCACCAGTCACCCTGTATATTTTTTTTGTAAATGTTTTAACGGCTCTGAAAAAGAGTCCTTTTGAGTCTGATATAATAAGAATATCGCACTGTATTTACTCATCATAAAACACCAATACCTAACAAAGTACATAGTTATATGTTGTTTAGTATAGTTTATATGACAAGAGTTTTCTTTCATAACTCATTGTATATTTCCAGCGTGTGTGGAGGAGGACTGTGTAGACTGGGAGGGTAAGTCCATCCCTCACGGTCTGCTGTACGTGCCTGGACCCGGAGTCTGCTCCATATGTGTCTGTTACCACTCGGAGCCCATGTGGTGTAAGGCGATCTACTGCGACCCGCCATATGTGAGTAGAAACACATAATACATACTTAAGAGACTTTCGCGAGTATTCATTTAAATGAAACTAATATTTCCGGATTCATATGTACGAAACTATTATTTTGTTCACATCAAATCTCGTTTTCATGATCACGGTTATTGCAAAGTAACAGAAACGTCGGGAGTGTGTAGTTTATAAAAAAAATACATTGGTTGTTTGTAAAGTAGGTTTACGATCGAGATGTTTGCGTGATAACGTCTTATTGGTGATATAAGTTTTTGGGAAGTAAAACATTCAACGAAAACTTAACCGCACGAGAAAATCTCCATTCGTTTGTATGCCGCTAGTGTGAGAGAGACGGAAGATCGGTCCACTCACTCGAACGCTATGCCTGCCTCCGCTCGTGAGGATTCCGCGTGACGAGTTTCACGGAATGACTGGCAGCGCTCGAGATGAGACGGGAGATCGGTCCGTCTCTCTCTCTTTATACCTGCGATCGCGCTCGTGAGGTTTTGGTGTAACACAAGTTTCTGAACATGTCACCCGACTAAAACGATTTTAAAGACGTTATCACGTCAAAATGTGCGTAGTAACCCGAAAATATTAGTTTCATTGAAATAAATGATACTTGACATATTAATGATACTGTTACGGTGAATAGATAGACCGACCTAAAGAATAGATTCGTCACATTTTTGATTTTATTTAATTTGGATTTGAAATAATAAGATTATAATCTTACATTGGTAGGTTTAACAGTCTCACGACACTATGGTGACCGTAACACAAATTCGCTATGAACTAAATACGAGTCTCTAATTGCATTTCTAACGATCCGATCAATGAGATTCAACTATATATACATATGTATTTTGATTATTATTTGTGGTATCAAGTAGGTTCTTTTCAAATTGGGTTTTATAGGGAGAGGAGCTGGACGATGAAGGTAAGCGTTTAACGCGTTAGATAGGGTCCTTTAAACCTACACCTGGGTCGCAAGTCCCAGTCACTGTTGAAGCTCCTCTCACCGACACACGCACATAAATCCTAAGAAGTTTCGTCTCCTGTCTTAATGAATGTTATACTATCTCCAGTTCTGTAAAAACTTCCGCGTGGGCGAGCGTTGCTGTGAGTTCGAGTGCCTGGACCCGCCGGGACAAGACACCAGGTACCGTGAGCGTCAGAGGCTGCGGGCTCTGATCCTGGCGGGGAACTCCTCCGCCCACCAGCTCACGAACATCAACAGCTTCACCATCATAGCAGTCGCTGTGGCCAGGCTCGTGTGAAGATACCCCGGATTAAAACATCACACCTCTCTCTGAAGAGTTTCTTCCCAAAAAACTACCTTACACTCGCATGTTGACTGCAAAATCTAACTTATACATAGTCGACGTTATTCTGATCCCTAAAACACTTCAGGATCGAAGGTAGCTTCAGAAGATTCTGTTAATAGTACTTAAAATAACATCCCTCGCTGTACTAAATAAAGAAGTTTCACGATAATAAGTTAAACTCTATGGTGGTGCGTAATATAATCGTTTATAAGTTCTAAGACGTCAAGTCATTGACTCGAGATAATATTCTTATAAAGTTCTGTGATTTCACATTATTCAAGCTTAGTTTTACTATGTATAATCAGTAAGTTACAGTGTAAGCGCTAATCTCTTTTCATAAACAATTTTTCCAATGCCAAAGAACACCATTTACCTCCCTCTCTTTCTCTCTCTTAATATTTTTATAATCACTTTAGTTATTATTAAGATAATAATAAATTAAATTTAAATATAACGTAATGCTCATATTAAAATATGTTCATTTTGAAACAATTGAATGAATTTTTCAATAGATACTTAAATGTCGCACGCTTAAAAAACTGGTCGAAAAGAAAACGAAATATGTGACATATTCTATACTTTTGGAGATTGAAGTAACATTTGCTTTATCAGTGGAGTTAAGTTAAAGTATTTTAATGTGTACGCCAAATATTGAATCGAATTTCAATATAGGTTTATAAATCTCATTCTTCTGATTTTCAATTATTTATTTATGAAACTCATAATTTCATGAAACCTATTTATGTATTTTTTGATATAATTTCCAATAAAATCATAGTTTATTAAGCGTGTGACTTAATATGAATATAATTCAGATAGTAAATCAGTAATGTAATTGTATATTATAAACAAAATAAATCACGTGGCTGTATCTAAATATAGAATAATAATTTATGGCACAGATAATAATTAGAAAAAAGATATTTAAATAAACCTTCGGACCAATTTTACGTAAACGAGTAGTATGTATGTTGATTTAATTATTCCGTTCATTGTTTGTGTCACTGACAGCTAGATCGTTTGACACTTAATCAAATAATTTATTCTGTGGTCCACGAAGCGGTACTAAGTGCTCTTTTATGTAAGTTTAGAAAAATTATTTTGCTATTACGTGAGAAATAAAAAGAAAAACATTCTGTCAAAAGATAAAATAATTATATGCATAAAGACACTCGCTATGTTTAATCGATTTCCGAGCGAAACATACGTCGAGTGTGAATGAGTAATGTGAATTATAAAAAATCACGTAATTATTCGAATTCTGTACTAAACGGACCATATTATTTTTATCTATTATATATAATCTGTATTCGTTCAATAAAAATGACATAAAACAGTGATATTAGTAACAATATAATTCACGTCATGTAGATAGACACTTTAAAATTGTAGCTTTAAATCTTCATATCATCGGCTATTAGGGTTTAACATAGTGCATAGGTCTAAGACGGCTGGCTTGAAAACAGAAACATACTATATGTCCCGCCGTCAAAACCTCTTTAGGGCTTAATATTAAAATATATTCAATAATCTACGCACTATTATAAAATGATATAAGTACCTGGTAGTCATTTAATTCTATATCGCCTTTTATGTAGCTGCTGAACTCACTAATTATACGAAATAAAAATATGTATATTAAAAATATAGATGAATTTATTTATTAAATAACTCAGTGCATAAATGCATTACTTTGTAAGTATATATTATGTTAATGGTTGTGTGTCTACTCTTTGTATGCTAGTTCTATTGTCTATGTCAAAACTAGAAGCGGGTAATCCCTTTCGTTATTAATGATTCGACCTAGCACACGGGAACAGCTGAGCAAAATTCCACACTAATTGCCTTCGGAGTATAAACGAGAGACATTTGAGGTCATTAAGCTACAGTATCTCAGACTTTGATGCATATTTATTTTAAATCAATGTTTTCTTAATCAAAGTGATGTCTTTTTAATCAATAGTGACTCCGATATTAGCCTAATAGTTTGGTTTGTGGATTCATTCAATTCAATTTAGACAACTGACTTACTGGATATGACTCGTATATAGTTGTAACAGTTATATTCAATAGTATTATTAAAGATTAGTTTTCGTCCATCCGTACTGCCTGAACACGTAAAAACCTTAATATTTTTATACTCGTACAACTATCTCTTTCTTTAGTGATTACGGAATTGTTGTAAAGAAAATTAATAATGATTAATATTGTAACAATATTAATAGGCATATATCAAAACTTTCACTTCTAAGTTATTGATAAAATTATACTAATTATAATACATAATTCACCGGTAATTAAATTGACCACACTTCGCCAAGTTTTCAAAGTTACCTTTCAGAATATACTCTTTGTCTAGTGTCAACAGATAAAAACAAAAGAATGTGTTGCCTATTACGCTTAAAAAAGACACTTTGTCTAATTTATTGCTAATAAAAACCTTATTTACAAATTAAACACAATAATTATATTTCATTAAAAGAAATTATGATTATAATAAATTGTATTTATTTTATATGTATCAATAAATATGTGTTAGATAATATTTTATTTTTATAATTGTAACCCATATCATGTTTTGTTAACTAGTTTATATAATCTGTGGATTGTGTGTTGCCAGTAATCAGTATGTATTCTTCTGACATCTCAGATACACAGCCCGCAGCCTTAATGTACAATGTCTTATGATTTTGACTAAGGCGATGGATATTTTATATATTTTTTAAATTATTTTATCTTTTGAAACATACATGCAAATAAATATTTAGCTCAAATAAATATTAGTCCAATTAATCGTGTTTCATTTTAGCTTTACACTCCAGTGCAGATGTTCAGTCTCAAATTCTTCTTTAACATGTGGCATTTGTAAACTTTTCTAGAAATATAATATGTCATGTCACGTCTAGTTTCAATGTATAGAGTAAAAGCCATTAAATATAAAGTCCAGGGAATAATCAGATTTAAGTAATTACTACTAAAAATTTATTACTATTACCAAATATATTCTTTTAATATTTTTTTTGCCTTACGTCGTTTATACAATTATTTTCTCTTATGCATGTAGTTTAAACCTTTTGGAACAGCGCCATCTATTATATGACAATGTGAACTAAGAATATTTTTAATCATTTACAAGCCTACAACCACATCAACAGCATATTAAGTTACATCTTATTGTAAAAGTTAATTCTTTGTAGCACAAAAATAGGTAAATTCAAGAACATCTCAGAATTACCATTGTCTAGGTTTTAATGTGAACTAGTTATAAACATACTACATTATGTAAAAAGTCCTATTAATATTGTAGACTGTAGTTGAAGATTTATTGAGACAAATTAAATTTATAAAATTATACAAGACACCAGCATAAAACAATTATGTAACTAAACAACTTTTTCATTCAACATAATCTTTTCAATTTTAATTAACTAAGTAAGGAATTCAATTGTCAATTTTGAATCTTAAATGCTATCAAATTATCGTGGTTGATTTTTTTTTCAAACAGTACCTAGTTGATGTTTTCAACAAATTAAACTGGCACAGTATGAAAAGTCAAATCTAGTTAACAAATAAAAAAATATATCTTAATTTCAAAATGCTCACTCATTTATTTAATGGAATGTTATAAACCTTTAAAATAGATATTTTTTCATATTAATAGGAAAGAAAAAAAGTTATTTATATGTACTAAGCATATATTTATATTCATCTTGCATATAAAAACTGTTCCCCAATCATTGCTCATAAAAGAACTAATAAATTCTCACACTTAAGAAAAATACCTTGAAAAACTAAATTTACATTTATCTTAAAAAAATATTTCTTTATTATCATCACTTGGAATTTACAAACACTTCTTTTAACAGGATTTTTATTAAACTTAAAATTACATAGTCCATATATAAATAATTAAAACTTAACGGAATATTATCTATCACCATCTAAGTCCTTTATCATGTAAATCCTTTTTGGCCATAATTATTTCTTTCTGGAGCTCCTCGGCTGCTTCTTTACAGTCATTGAAGGTAAGAACTCTGTATAGAACGACAGTAACAGCGTACAAACCGAATAATATTATAAATATAATGGGTGATATCATTATGAGTTTCATATTCTCTTCGATTAGCTTGTGTTTCACGTAGCCACCGACGAGGGAGTACCACACGGCGAAGAACGCAGACAATATAGACAACCACTCCAGAAGTTTAGTCATATTTAATGTGTTACGATGCTGCAAACACGAATTATATGATTAGATGTTATAGAGTAATCCCTTTGTTGTTCTTCTGTGTTATGTCTCCTTTGTTCAAACTTAATAACTTTTGATTATTGGTAGTGTAAAATGTAGTAATAATATATAATATTATATTAATAATTTATAATATTCGAACCTCGTAATTGTGATTTTTGAAAGATTTATAACAGGTGGCGAAGAAGATGACAGAATTTTGTTGTGATAGCTAATGTCAGAAGTCAGATCATGAACGGGAAGAATAGATTATAGTTACATACTTATACAAGCATGAATGTATACTAAAAGTTACTTAACGAAACTTTAATTCAGTTTTTTTATTGTATTATTTTAAAGAGAAATTCCTCACTATTTAAAAACATTTAACGTTAACAAAAACGCTGTTCTGTATTGTGTGCACAATACAGATCGTGCTATAATACAAAAATAAAATTATGGTATAAAATAATACAAATATTAATTACTATTTTAAAAAGCAAATACATTATCCATATTATTTATTACAATATTTCTACTTATTTTTTTAATAGTATATTTATCATTTAACTTTCTCATCCGCCGTGCAACGTAAACGTTGTCTTATCAAAATAATCATATTCTGAAACATTTAATCGATACGTCAATGTCACATTCTTGACTTTATTTGCAAAACAAAGCACTTGTCCAATCTTATGTATATTTGTTTAATAATTATTTAAGAAGTTAATTTGTTACATTTTTAGATTAACGTACTTGTCTTTAAATGGTAGTATACTTAACTTGACCAGTTAAAACATTTAACTGAGATAATGAACGAAGTAGACGATAAGTTTTATTATGTGTATAGTTCATCATTGGATTATAAAGTTGAAATAAAGATGTAAGTAAGCACTACACTACTAGGATATAGGTTAACTAGCTCATATAAGACACATGAACCTATCTATCTAAGTTATATCTTAAAAATTGTGTTAGAACAATTATTATCCTATCTTGGTATTAATTTGTCTTATTTCACTTGTGAGAGTGGTATTTTTACATCATTCGTGTGACTGGTCTAGATGATGAAGTCTAAAGGTCATTAACAAAGAGATCGAATATAGGCTGAATGTTTTGTGTTACTGCCTCTTAAATTACAAAAAAAAGTATTTATCATTGTCACTATGTTAAATACAACACATCTAACCTAAAATGTTATCAATTACAATCCTTATTTGTGTGTATATAGAGTTCAAATTTGTACTTTAAAATGATTCATAAGATATCTTCATTATTTCAGTGGTACTCTAGAAGGCAAACGAACTAAGCCAGAATATGACAAGCTACTTTCCGACCCGATGCTCAAGTTCTCAGGGTTATACCAAGAGGGCTGTTCTGACTTGTATGTGACCTGCCAGGTGTTGTGTGATGGGGTACCCCTGGCTTTACCTATCACGACATCTTATAAATCATTTACTAAGAGATGGAAGTAAGTCCCACAAACTCAGGTCAATTAAACTCGAGAAATATCGAATAATGTATATACAATAGTAATTATTAACTTCAATATACACTTTAATTTTCTGTATATAAATTATGTACTACGTTAATATAATTTTAATTGTGATTTTCTTTATTAAAAAGTGGAGTAGTATTAAAGTCGTAGCATTACGATCAAGTAATACAAATTATTTATAAAATCTAAACAAATGATACTTGAACCATTTCCACCAAAGAAAAACTTTAATAATAATACTTTAAACAAGTAATTTTTTATATTATAGTTGGAATGAATGGGTAACATTGCCAGTATACTATAGTGATTTGCCTCGTAATGCAATTCTTGCCATGACAATATATGACTGTGCCGGCCCAGGAAAGGTTTTGGTAGTCGGTGGGACCACTATTTCATTATTTGGAAAACATGGCATGCTAAGACAGGTGAGTACCAAGAGCAAGCTACTAAACTACAGTGTCGCCATTTTAATAATCTTTAATTTAGATTTACCATGCCATAATTAAAAATTAATTTGAGTTCAAATTTTAAATTATTTTATGCTAAACAAGTATATTATATAATTAATAATCTCAAACATTGGCTGTATGTTGTAGGCAGTTCTTTTTTACTTACATGTGTTACATATGCAAAGATTTTTTTTTATTATTGGCCTTCATTCAATGAATTCCTAGAATTTCTTTGGCAATGTGAACAGATGTGTATAATATGTAGTAATATTTATTAAGTAACTTACTAGTAAAATTGAGTTCATTTTACTAATGAATGAAAATATGTTTAAAAACCTGTCGCTAATTGGGTGACATCTGATAGTGATGATGCAATATTATTTGAGAATTGAATTAAAAAGACATCAAATATGCAGTATACGTAATCTTAATTATCAATAATTTAAATAGGAAACGACTAAATAAAACTGGTCAGAAAGAAACAATTTTCCTTATGAGTATATATGAGCAAAGGTAGAAGTAACATTATAATTTATATATATAAAGCTCAACTTATATGTATATCTGTTTAAACTGCCCGATGAGATCATTCGTTTTAATTTTATTATAAAAACTTTTACTATTTATATATATTGACCTCATCAATAACAAATTGCAATAAATACAGTACATAAACAACATATCGGCTGAACAACAAATCATAAATATATTTTTCTTCCACCTCCAATGACATGACATTTGACTTTTGAGACCGTTAGCCGGTCAGTAGTCAGTTGTGATTGAACTGCCAATGCGAGCGAACGTATTTAAATTAACTAATAAAAATACGAAAATAAATACGATGAGTGTTATAAAACATAATGACGCGATGTAGAACCTGTTTTCAAACACCTCCATGGTGATGGGCGGTTCAGTGAGTTCGTTTGTTGTGTATAAAAAGTTTTTGTTGTATATATCGCGGTTTCGTAAATATCGTTCGAAGGGTATATTCGATCTGCGAGTGTGGCCCGGCGTGGAGGGAGGCGATAGGACGCCAGGCAAGGCTCCGGACAGAGGCAAGGAACAGATGCAGAGACTCGCTAAACTAGCCAAAAGACACAGAAATGGACATATACCGAAAGTAAGTACTTCATGTTAAAATACACTAAGGAGGTTTAATGCTATTGTAACTCATTTTTTGTTACGGCTGAATGATTTCGGATTGTTATTTGACTGATCAGGTAAAATCTGGAGTAAAAAAAGCTAACATTATTTGTACGCACATACCTATATATACGTTTCGTTGTTAAAATTTTATCGCCTAAATCGTTAAAGAATCAGTATAAGTATGATTAATATTAAAAATGACATGTTTGAAATATGGAAAAGCCTTCAATAAAAATGAATGTTTCTAAATATCTCAATGCCCACATACTTAATTCTTCCGATACCAATATTATGTATGGGGAAGAGAATAAAATATAAGTAACTTATGTTCAAAGGAATTTAAAAATGTTTTTTAATAAAATTTAACTCGTAAATAAAATATAAACGCGTTAGCCTTATTTATTTTGTTTACAATAATTATATTCAATTTCAAAGACCGGTCGCATGAAAGTCGAATTCACATGACAAGGGTTCCGTATTTAAATAATGTTTATAATATTAATAAATAATTCAATAATATTCAAAATTAATAATATTTATTTTAGCTTGTTTTCGTATAAATATTGCCTCTATGTTAATATATAAAATAGGAATATCTGCACAGGAGTTATATATATATAATATCAGAATAAAAAAAACAGCAGAAATAAAAAGACAGTATGTAGTATAAAAACAAAACGTCATTTGCAAAAGTTCCCGCGTTTCTGTTTTTTTTAATAGACAATTTTGACAAATGTCACGATGTTAAATTCGATGTCATTTATATTTTCGAGTGTTAAAATAAGTGTAAAAATAATTTATCGAATAAATTATTTAAAGCTGACATGACTTAGAACTTATTTTTTGATAGCTCCATATTGTTAAAAATAATTGATATTAACTTTCTATCAAAAAAAAAACTTGATTTAAATTCAGAAAGACAGACACAAAACATTTATTATAAGGATAGATTTCATCGTTTGAGATACTGAACCCTACAAGAAATACATCCCACGTTACACCAACTCGTTACCGAATTAAAGAAAACCAGTTTGATTATGAAAGGATTTAAAAAATCGAAAAAAATATTCAAATAATTAAATTACCAATATCAATAAGTGAAACATGGAAGATTATTTAAACACACAAAGATAAACCTTATAATTTCATTATAAGTTTTTTAACCTTTAAATTAAACCCAATGGTATCTTAATATTTAATATTCATTTATTCAGGTAAATTATAAGGTTTTTGAAATAAATATCTTCCATTTGTCCCTTCAATAAAACTCACACCAATTGCGTGTTCACTTTTGTGACTAAATGAAATATGACAATAATGGTTGAATACATTGACCTTTTGAAAGATCGTTCCTACTAACTAACTTGTTTGAAAGCACTTACTGATACATATTTCTATAAGTACTATTTAGTTAAGGTAACACAAAAAATGTATGTTCATAAAATCCCTACTAATATTATAAATGCGAAAGTAACTCTGTCTGTCTGTCCGTTACGCATTCACGCCTAAACTATTGAACTGATTTTAATGAAATTTGGTACAGAGATAGAGTTGACTTTGAGAAAGAACATAGGATAGTTTTTAATTTTTATCCCAGACTTTTTGAAAGGTTCTCTTTGAAACGCGTTGTAACCGAACTCCACGCGGGCGGAGTTGCGGACGGAAAGCTAGGATAAAATAAAAAATATTGTAATAACTTTTGCCTCTATTGATAAAAGATAAATAAATTAATAATTTGTAAACAAATTGTCACATACATAATTAATTAATTTCTGTTGAAGGATTCTTTAAAGTATAATTTTATGTTATCTGTGATCCAAACACGTAAACTATGCAAAAACGAGCCATCAATTTGTAATTTTTTCCCGCCTCTTTTTGACGGAGCGCAATAATAATAATACTTCATACTTTTAATAAATTTTATGTACTACCATTTTAATATGCAAAACTATTAACTCTACGTATGTAGTGACGATGTTAACTTATAGTAAGCATAAAGATATTAGTTTGCTTATAATTATCGTGATATTTTATTTGTATTTAGCGCCCTTGATAGTTAGCACCACGACTTTGAAGTATCAACTTGTATTAAACAGTTCAAGGCAGAATAATTATGCACGATCGGAAAATAATATTTAAATAAAACAAATATAGAATAACCTGTTCGTGTTTAAGTCAAATGTTTATGAAACGTATTTAATCATTCAGATATTTAAGTACATTGAATGAAACTGTAAAGTTATTGATCAAATTCGGTTTGTATAATAGACAAAAAAAATAATTAAATATTATTTAATAGAGGAGAGTCGGATATATCGTACCACTTTTCACTTTAACTCAAATATTTCGACTATAACACGTCTTATAATAATTAATACATATGTAAAATAAAGTTTCATATTTTAGCTTCCTAAGAAGAAGAGAACAGATCCTTGCGATTATTCTAACATTGTTAAAAATGTTTTTTTGTAGAGGCTTGCCATCGGTACGATTTAGCCGACTAGTCGTTTTAATCGTACCACTAAGTCTTTAAATCGTACCATGGGTCTTTAAGTCGTACCACTGAATGAAAGACATTAAAATTCTCAATCAAATTATTTATTTTTAACTGTTAGGTAAGTAATAAAACAACATTATTTATATCTTTTAGGTAATAGAAACATAATTTTTAACTCTCAGGTTATATAAAGGAACTATAAGATTTCTCAGTAAAATAACATGATTATACTATGATAATGAGATCAATCAACATAAGTAATAAAAATGAGACACAAAAAAACAGTAAACTATAATAATAAAGTAACAGTTAACAAGAATGTTATTTGTAATATAATTATTGTGCATATTTCTTAATGGAAACAATCATGACAAATGTCTGGATTCGAAGTACACGTCTCATGTAGCCACCGTTGACAGCGAACGCATTGAATCCAATCAACTTTTGGACTCTTCTTATCGTAGTAAGAGCAATTGCACTTTCGACATATATTTTCAAGATAATCATCGCTGTCATCATCATCATATAGTTCTACAACAAGTGTCTCTCCTGAATCATCGCTACTGGTGATGGAATGAGATCGTTTCCTCTTATAACTTTTGGTTTTGGCCTTAGGTAGTACTTACTATACGTACTTGCGGTAGTACTATAGGTACTTGCGGTTGGTAGTCGGGTAAATCGTACCGGAACAATTAAACCAACTGCAAGTGGTACGATTAAACCAACTAAGGCGTTTCTAAAACAAAAGCAAATATCCGGTATAAACTCAAAACTTAGACACGCAACAAAAACCTCCAATAATCTAGTATACAATTGTGGAATAATAAAAAAAACTGAATAACTATAGCTTACCTTGATTACGAATTATCTGCTTACGAATGTACGACAATATTTATATTAAATCCTACAAAAAATGTTTTTCTTTTATTACGTGCACAGTTGTTAACTCACGTCGATTTAAACTAGTGGGTGAAGAGAGATGGTGCAGGGCCACGATTTGGCGTTGTCAGTGTAGAAAAAAATATTCATTAAATGGGAAATTTAGAAGTGGTACGATTTAAATGCTAGTACGATATAACCAACTCTCCTCTACAAGATGAAAAGTTGTACCATATGTACATTTAGAATATAAAAATGAAAGTCAATAAGAAAATAATTACGCAACGGAATTGAACCTATGATCTTTGACATACATCATCGTCACTTTTTCAACTAAGCTATAAGTCACTATGTTCGAATGAAAATTAGGTTGATATTAACAAAATAAATTTCCAGGTAGACTGGCTGGATAGGCTCACGTTCAGGGAAATAGAAATGATTAATGAAAAGGAGAAGAGAAACTCAAATTACATGTACCTCATGATAGAGTTCCCAACTGTACAGATTGACGGGATCAATGTGAGTATAGACAGGGGATATGAGTAGTATATACACTATAGAAAGATGTGAGTGTGTTGAAAAGAATATATGTATGACTTCCATTAAATTCAAACATTATTTTTACTAAAAGAAATTTAATTGAAAACTATAATGACCCAAATAAATAAATAAGCAAGTTAGTTCCTATTTACGTAAAAAATTACTAAATGGATTTTAACGAAACTTTACAATTATATAGTTCATTTATCAGAATAACGTATAAGTTAAAACATTGCAATTGCTTGTAGTTTACTCGGGAACATGCCAACAGCCAAGACAGTATTTGAATAAAGTTTCATAACATCGACAATAGATGTCGTTAGTGATTGGTTACCATATCTACTTTAAAGTACAAATTATTTAAAAATTCACGTGAACGAAGTCGCGAGCGAAAGCTAGTTAAACAAAACTATATCATTAAACTATAGATCGTTCCTTCATATAAACAGTAGATTCCATTTATTAGAGTGTAATGCTCATAATTATTATTGTATATATATTTGTGTATGAATCTAGCACGCCGTAGTGTACTACGAACAAGATGGAGATGAGATGTACCAGTTCAGAGCTCAGGCGGAGATCGTTACAGTGCCCGACTATGAAATACTACAGGTACACAGATATTAATAGATATTTACAGATAAATTAACTTAAAGGAAACTTCTGATGTACCGTCAAGTCAGCAGAAGTCAGGAAACATTCGTAGTTCTTTATGAGAAACATGTTTTCTTCCTAGAATGAGTTATCCAATATTTTGCTCAACAATATAATCTACGAAAACTTTGTCCTTATAAAATTCCAAAACAAATCCTTATAAGTGTTTAGTGTGTGTTCTTGTACATACGAAAAACTTAAACTCATCATCATCATCGGCCTATTAGAGGCCACTGTTGAGTAAAGGCCTCTTCTCACATGGAAAAGATTAGAGCATTAATCACCACGCTTGCTCAGTATTTCAAATTTGTAATTTGAAGTTAAGTCCATTTTTCCTCAGGATGTTTTCCTTTACCGTCAGTCAGTGATGTCTAAATACTCTTATAAAGTACATATGACTCGGAAAAAATTACTTTGGTAGTTTTCAAGTTTCGAACCTGCGTCCTACACATACTAGTAATAATATCCATTGCACTGTAATCTATTTTTAGAGAAAATAACTTAATAATTTAACTTTTTTACAAGAATTAAGCGACTATTTATTAAATTCGTTCAAAAGGTCGCAGGTCGATCGTTATCTGACAAATTGTTATACAGAATTCATTAACGTCTTTGTGACATCATTTTAATATAAAGATAGCTTTATTTAAAAAAATATCAAACAATGCTTCATTTTTGTTGTTTAAGTGACGTGTATCTTACAATAACGGTGAGTAAAAGACGAATTACTTAAATGAACCTAAATTGTTTGTAGTATGTATTACTAAAGGTACTTATACATATAAGAAAAAAAAAACAGTCTTTTTAAACATTCTTGAACGATTAACGCGCGTTAGATAGGCTCTTAAACCTACACCTGGGTCACAAGTCCCAGTCACTGTTGAAGCTCCTCTCACTACAACGATGGACCCGACACACGCACCGTGAATACATGGAATGATGAGAGGTTTCGTTGTAGTCACATATGGAAAAAAATACCACAATTTAACGGTTATGTTGTTTAAAGATAACATGAATCTAACAAATATAGACTGTCTCTTTATTGAGAAATACTTCTTTATTATTTTCCTTATAAACGAATTATAACCAAATTTTTGAGACTGCGTTAAAACTTAATGTATAAGGTTATATGTAGATACTAAATAAAACTCAGTGCAAGTTGTTCCGTTTTTAGAATGACTGATTTTATTATAGATAATCAATTTCCATTGTACTTATCCATAGACAATTCATAAATGTACACTAAACACAGATTATACAATAACGTTTTATAATAATATTCTTTTATAACATATATATGTATTTTAATAACAGTGGGAATACCTGAGGTATTTTTTCAAACCATCGTCTTATCTGAACTTATCTTCTTGATCTTTAAATCGACAATGATAGAATGGTTTATGAGGACAAGCATGGCATCTATTTTTGGAGTCATGTGATTATATTAGAATATTGACGATTTTTTAGTAGTTAGTTGCTTGATCATTGAGTACTAAGAAACTTAATTACTAAGAAAGAGCCGAAAACTTCAAACATAAGGTTTATTTGAACAAGATAGATTGCTGTTAGAAATGCGTCTCCTTTTGTCTAAACTTAGTTTCTAGGAATAAACTTTCCTTCATCTTCTGCTGCTTGTCGTTGCAGATCTAAAACTACCCACCAAGTTTTGTATATTTCCGAATCAATACCATGTCTTATGTGGCATATAAAAAGAATACTCCTGTATGCCACGACACAAAAATTATGAATAATAACTAATAAATTCTACCGATTTCATAGATAGAGGTACTTTTTAATATCATGTAACCTTTTAAAAGAAACTAATATTTTTCGGATATACCACTGCTTTATTTTTGTAAAAAACTACATACTCCGGACATTTCGGTTTTATCAATAATCACGGGAAGACGAGATGTGAAGTTTCGATCTCATTTTGTAACTTATCTTAAGAGCTTGTCAGCATTTGCCTGGTTATATATCTCAATGTAATCGTCCAAATATGTTTTGATCAGGAGAACTTGGTGGAAAGTAAACAGCATCGCCTGGCTCGTTCTTTGCGGTGCGCGGTGCCGGGCCGGGATGCTAAGCCCTCGGCGGCGGAAAGAGACCAGTTAGCAGCCCTACTCACGGCGCCCGCAGCCCTGGCGCCTCTCGCCGCTGATGAACAGGACCTGCTGTGGAAATACAGGTACACACATCTACTACTGAAACTCACTGGGACCGTAGCAGTGCCGTAACTAAGGCGGTGCCAGCAGTGCCCAGGCACAGGGCGCAGAAATGACCAGACTAGTATCTAGTTTTATCTCATGCATGGTAGCTATATACTTATATACTCTGTTACTTTGGTAAACAACAAATAGATAGATTTATTTGTATGCACATTAGTCCATTTTATTTTCGGAGCCTGGTTAGAGCATTTTTCAGGGACACAATTTTGAAATCTCGCACCGGGTGCATAAAAGGCTAGTTAAGGCACTGAATAGTAGTAAACTGTTGTTTAGCGAGATCATATAGTAATGATCTGTAGAACGTTAGAACTGTAAGGACATGCTCACATCTATCACTGGAACTTACTGTGGTTTAGATCGATCATATAGGACATTAAATCTATAGGCACATGCTTCACCATTGAAACTTACTGGAACCGTAGTAAGTCACTGGTTCAGATCGATCATGTAGTGGTGATCTCATAGGACGTTAGATCTATAGAATTGGTTGATATTAATAAGCTTTAAACATCATTTATAACTCAATAATATAAGTTTTACAAAGAGTTTCAATACAATGATTGTATGATTATTAAAGTAGTATGAAAGATATTCCTAATAATATTCTTATCAGTAGTCAATGTACATCATTGTAGGACCCTCTAGTCCTACATGTAAGTATAACTAGTCCCTGTCTCACTACTACCCCGCCTAGAGCGACGCACGTCCCCGCGCTAGTCATTAGACTACCGAGCGCATGCCGCCCCCTCTAGTGGGGTACGTGAGACAGTGTGTTATATATATAGCATATATACAAATACTATAATCATTATTCCAGGTTCTACCTGTCGTCTCACCGACGCGCCCTCACTAAGTTCCTCGCGTGCGTCAATTGGAACAGACCAGGTAATATATCACAGACAATAAAATATTACTTGGACAATAATATACATTAACAAAGTTGTGGTACATTTGTTTTAGTTCCTACGTTAGAGGAATAACACTCTTAAGTATAGCTAAAAATACTTAAAATTGAAATGAAAATGCCAAAAATATCATTATTAACCCTAGAGTGGGCGCGTCTCTTTGCGTAACGTCAGTAGGCGCGTGGGGAGCATTTTGCCGCCTCATTTTCTTTGACTATTTTGACTAGTAATACTGCAATTTAATATTTTTTCTTTTAGGATTTAAATAAATAAACAGTAAGTTATAATAAATCAACATATTTATTCAACTTTGTTCTATAAACTTTGGTTTACAAAAGACTTTAGAAAACTTAATATTTTAAATGACTTTTTTTCTCTTAAGCTACATAATAAGTTTTAACACTTAAAAAATAAAACAAAAATAACAAAATTATATATTTTCTAAATCTACAGGATACGCTTTATCAAAACAGTCTTCACGAAGACATGTACAATATTCATTGCACAGTAACTTTTGGCATCTGGAACACCCTTTTTTGTGCGCCTGTTTTTCTTTGAGGGACATATACTGCATTTGCCTTCCGTTTTCGAAGAAGATGCTTGTTCTACTGGAACAAAGCGAGCAATTCGGTTCCTCAAAGAAATATTTAAAGTGCCTATAGAACTCCTTGTGGTCATATATTGCTTGACAAGTACCATGGCAATTTGTTTCAAATATTCTCGACGTAGCATCAAATGTAGAGTATTGGCTTTGTATATAATTCGACTGTTTATACCGGCAATATTCAACATTTAAAAAAATAATCTCATTGGCCATCTGCGAATCATCCTCCCAACAGAATATTCTTCCTTCATTCTTCCACGTCAACACCACCTTTAGTACTATTATAAAATGTTATCATTTCAGGTCAAAGTTGATAATAGCAATACTATTTTCTTTTGCTTTTTATTTGGAACATAAGATAGTAACCACTTCCTGTCGCCAAATCCAAACATTGAAGATGGTTTCGCCCGAACTTTGGTGTTCAAGATTTGGTATCCCACCAAATCTTTTGATCTTCTATTTTATCCATTTTTATTTATTATTATCAATCAATTCTTTGAAATCCTAAAACAAATATATTTTTAGTTGCAAAAGTTATTATTGCACCATAAAATATAGTCAACATTTCGAGTTTGCGAAAAATGCATTATAAAATATTACTTACGTGAGTGGGCGCGCGGTGAGCGATTTGCCGCCCGGCGACACCTGATAGTAGATACCTTCTTCTCCTGCGGTCCCCCGGGCACTGACGGTGTCCAGATTTAAGGCAAACGTTGCTAATGAGATTGGAAGCAGCTACTAAGAAGCACGAGTCTAACGGCTAGTTGTTTTAATTATTATTAACGGTTTTTTAGCGCGGGCGGCAAAATACTCATAGCGCGCCCACTCTAGGGTTAACAATGTTCTTAGTACTTTTTATTATTGTATTATATCAACACTAGCTGCGCCCCGCGGTGTTACCCGCGGATTTCCGGGATGTAAAGTAGCCTATGTGTTATTCCTGGACGTCAGATTCCTGTATACAACATTTTATCAAAATCGGCTCAGCCGTTTGAGCGTGAAGAAGTAACAAACATACACACACACAAACTTTCGCAATTATAATATTAGTTGGATATATTTTGTAAAATATGAGGTCAAGTAATGCATAAACAAAAGGAACCAGTATGAAATTATTATGTATTAGTTATACTTACTCGGTATTATTAAGTAATAATATGATATCAAGTATAATGTAGGTAGATCACTTTGTTATATTAGGTTCTGTCATTCAGTTTGTTACTTAGCATAATAGATACATGAAGTATTAATATAATTCCATTGAATACTATAGAAATATATTATATTCCAGGTGAAGTCCGTCAAGCGCTAGCTATGATGAAGCAGTGGTCGCCTGTTGATGTAGAGGACGCTCTTGAACTATTGACGCCCAAGTTCACACATCCGGCAGTTAGAAAGTTAGTTGATAACAAACATACTAGATATTAAACCTTCTCCATGAGAGAAACAGGCCTTTGCTCAGTAGTGGGCTCCGATAGGCTGTAAAAAATAACTAGATATCAAAAATTATTATTATGTTGTTAGCAGTTAAAGAATACATATTAAAGTATTATATGTACTAGAGTTAAAATTCAATCACTTAATATAAAATGGAATGCTTAGAGTAATGTATTCAAGAAATAACAGGTTATAAATTTTTCATTGTGTATTACCTTATTTATTTATTACTTAAAATGTGTCAGATTCTCAATATGGTGAATATTTCTGTAACATGTCAGAATTTTTTCTATCCTTATGGACATCAACATACACATACATTGAAACATAAATACAGCAATAGAAAATTATATAATATAAATAGGAGGTTCATACAAAAAAATTGTTATAGGACCCTTTTTTATTTGTCTAAACTATATGTGTATGACTCTTTTGTATGAAATATAAGGATTATTTATTATTTATTATTATTTCCAGATATGCCATATCTAGATTGAAGCAAGCCCCAGACGAAGATCTACTCCTGTACTTACTACAGCTAGTACAGGCGCTCAAATATGAAGACTTCAATGAGATAAATGATGGTATATACATTCATATAACTAAATATAGAAAAACACTCATTTACTTTGAAAATTATTCACAAATCCTTAAAAAATAGTCATACATTTTTCATAAAAAAGTTCCGTCAACTGGTATACTTTGAAACATTTGCAGAGATCCTTAAAGAAATACGAACAATTTTCATAAAAAAGGTTTTCTAAAAACATATCATAACTGGCAACACCAGACTAGAATAATCCCTACTAATATTATAAATGCGAAAGTAACTCTGTCTGTCTGTCTGGTTCGCTTTCACGCCTAAACCACTGAACTGATTTTCATGAAATTTGGTACATACATAGAGTTGAGTTTGAGAAAGAACATAGGATAGTTTTTATCCCAGACTTTTGAAAGGTTCTCTTGGAAACGCGATATAACCGAACTCCACGCGGGCGAAGCTGCTGGTGGAAAGCTAGTATCTATATACCCTCATGTTTGTGTATTTAGTCATCAACATTATAATCAAATATTCCAATGAATCGCATTAGCGTTGTATATCTTTAATCTGTTTATGTTGTATTATATTTTTCCAGAGTACCAGCGTGTGTGTGGTAAGGAGTCTGCCGTATATTCAGATCAAGACGGCAAGTTATTACAGAGTGGTCACAGAGGAAGTCAGGCCAGTCTCTTGTCTACATCCGGTTAGTTCTATAATATACAGGGTGACTGGTGAATTACTATCAATATTTAAGGAGAATACTCAGTACATGATTCTCATTCGAATTATGTAAAAAAAATAGGCACTTAATTTTTGACAAAATTTCCGTATAAATAAGTAAAGTGTTGACACGTTCCAAATGTTCAAGTGTGGACGCGTGCGGCGGCGTGCTGATACAACACTACGTCACGACACGCGTATGTGTGAGTGTCAGTGTATACCTAATCTGTAGGGTGTTCACACGATGCGTAATTAATTACATAACTTTTGGTTAACTTTACTTAGAAGTTTATTAATATTTATGTTATATTAATGTTTATTTTGTCATATATGATCGTCAAATATCACGTCCTCAAATATCGATAGTAATTCACCAGTCACCCTGTATATTCATAATGAGATCTAAGAATTTCGCGAGTATTAATTTAAATGAAACTAATATTATCGGAATATTATTATTAAAAAATTTATTACATACTCCCAACATTTCGGTTACTTTTCAGCAACCGTGATCAAAAAGACGAGATGTGATGAAACGTGGGGAATATGTAGTTTTTTATTAATAATAAAATACGCGTAGTAATCCGGTTAATATTAGTTTCATTTAAATGAATATTCATTATATTCCTATATCTATCTGTCTGGTTGTATATTGATCTCTTAAACTAAAATCAAGAGCTCATTACTTTTTATATAATACTCACGCAAATATTTTCGGTTTTGTATTAATAATATATAATAATCAGTAGTACTGATTATTGCCACTCAGATGGAAGATGGCGTTAGTAGCGGCCGTTCGATACTATTTTTGTTTTTTTTTTCATTGATGGCTCTGTTACCAAATTAAAAAATCAAATTAAACTGTAAATATCCATGAACACTATTGTATTAAGGAAAGTCATTTGATAACTGCTGTAAGTGTAGAGTAAGCAGTGCTAACTTCCATTTAGAGAATACACGATATTGCTTCAGAGATAACACCTATCATCCACTATTATGAAAAAATACTTTTCGATAGTACACTTCTGATAGTAAACATTCCATTATTGTTCCTTTACTAATTGAGCTAAAAAAAAGAAGGATTATTAGCTATAATTGTTAGTCATTTAGCCATTTTATATTCGTTCAATATGGTAATGGGGCATTTAATTCCAGTACTAACAAATAGTGAGATGACGTCATCATCTATAAGTCGACACACAGAGGCTGAACCAGAAAACATGTGCCTATCAGGGAACGACAACGATCAAGAGTGAGTTATTTATATTAATAAAAAAAATTAATATTAATTAAAAAAAATGCCTGTTCGTAATTCTGAGTATTTAGACATCACTGACATACGGTGAAGGAAAACATCGTGAGGAAACATGGACTTATAATTTCACAATTATAAGTTTGAAATCACCAACCTGTCTTGAGTAAGCGTGGTGATTAATGCTCTAACCTTCTCCACGTGAGAAGAGGCTCAGCAGTGGGCTCTGATAGGCTGATGACGTGATTCTGTAGAATATTCTATTGTCTGTGGTATACAATTTATAATCTTGCTATCAAAATTACATTTGAAGATTTTTTTGTGTACCTCAATTTTAGTGTCTGGATATAATATACCATCACGAAACTAGTTTACTTAGTAAATTGTGAATCTTCTTTTAATAGTTCACAGTAATTGAAATGTACTTTGAATAAGCTTAAATTGAGTAAGGTAGAGTAAAGAGTAGTAGTAAAGATTTTTTTTTCATAACACTATCAAGTATCAATAATATGAATGAAATAAAATAGAATGTAGGAGTAAAAGTCAGTGTTGGCCTAGTGGTTAAAAGGCTCGCCTGTCATGCATGAGGGCGCGGGTGCGTTCTTGGCAAGTACCAATGTGAGTTTTCCGAGTCATATGTACTTTCTAAGAGTATTTAGACATCACTGATTAATGCATTCCCCAAAAAGGGTTGATGTTAGGCAGACCCTGGCTATGGCTGGGAAATTGCCAGGTAGAAGAAGAAGAGAATGTAGAAGTAAAACCTTGAAAAAGTTGACAATTAACAAGTATAATAATAAAATGTACTGAAATAGAGTACATACAAAAAAGACCAAACAATTAATTTTATAAAGTTTATTTTAATTTATATTAGCTTAACATAGGGATATTTGTCATTCCAGTGTTCTCGAGTCGGATCAGTCCAGCCTAGCGGGTTTCCTGATCGCTCGGGCGCGCTCCAACAGCGTGGTGGCCAACTACCTGTACTGGTACCTGCTGGTGGAGTGTGAGCCGCAGGACTCGGCGCCCGCCGCGCACAAGGACATGTACCTGAGTGTGATGAGGACCTTCAGCACGCAGCTGGCTAAGGGTTAGGAAATATTATGGAATACAACACTTACATATATATAAAAAAGTTTCCTTTACTGGCAACACCAGACTAGAATAATATCTATTTTATATACCCTTATTAGCTCTCCGACCGCGTGAAGTTCGGTTATATCAGGTTATATAAGGGTTCGGTTATATAAGGGTCAGAAAATATTTTGGAATAGATCACTTATACATATACAGGGTGACTGGTGAATTACTATCGATATTTGAGGACGTGATATATGGCGATCATATATGACAAAATAAAAAATAATATAACATAAATATTAATAAACTTCTAAGTAAAGTTAACCAAAAGTTATGTAATTAATTACGCATCGTGTGAACACCCTACAGATTAGGTATACACACACACACACACACTCGCGCGCGCGGCGTAGTGTTGTATCAGCACGCCGCCGACGCGTTCACACTTGGAACACTTGGAACGTGTCCACACTTTATTTATTTATACGGAATTTTGGTCAAAAATTAAGTACCTATTTTTTTACATAATTCGAATGAGAATCATGTACCGAGTATTCTCCTTAAATATTGATAGTAATTCACCAGTCACCCTGTATATTGAATACTAGCTGTTTGTGATAATGATGATTTGAAATGAATACTTCTTCGATAGCTTTTAGATAATTCAATGATAAAATTTTACAATTTTGGTAATGAGTTACGAATAAAGCGTATATAATATGAGAAGTGTTCGTTAGCGAATTTAAAGTGAGAATTATCCCGCGCTCGTCGTCTGTCGGTGTGGCCAGTGCGAAGCGGTGTTGCCGGAGTAAAAATTTGATGCGTAGACGCTAGCTTTCCGCCCGCAGCTTCGCCCGCGTGGAGTTCGGTTATATCGCGTTTCCAAGAGAACCTTTCAAAAGTTTGGGATAAAAATTATCCTATGTTCTTTCTCAAGGTCAATTCTATGTCTGTACCAAATTTCATTCAAATCATTTCAGTGGTTTAGGCGTGAACGCGTAACAGACAGACAGAGTTGCTTTCGTATTTATAATATTAGTAGGGATGTAGTTTTCTAAAAGAATACTCTGTAATGCTCATATATCTATATCTCTGTATAGATAATTAAGAATAAAACAGACATTTAATTTTATCGAACTAACATTATATGTATTACAAATTATATGGCTGTATGATCTTAACACTTAAATCAACTCTGAATGAAATTTAAAACAACTGTAACTCCAAGGAGTTCCAATAAGGTTGTCTGAATGAAAATTAAAAAAAATATCATCAACATATCCGAAGAGTTCCAACAAGGTTGTCATCTAGAAATATACATATATGGCTGTATGATCTTAATACTTAAATACACTCTGAATGAAATAAAAAAAAATCCATAAGTCCAAAGAGTTCCAATAACATTGTCATTTCTAAACATTATGTAACCCATGTTGAGTCAGCCTGTAAGTGATGATACGCATGTAAACAATTATGTTCCATCATGTTATAATGTTATAAGTTTTTGTGTATCATTTTGGCTTCCTATTAAATAAAATAAAATTGTAATATAATCAGGTACATCGGAGCAGCAACGCACTAGATCTATTTTAGCTCGTCAGCAGCAGTTCATTGACCGATTGGTCCGATTGGTGAAGACGGTGGCGCGCGAATCCGGGAACAGGAACCGGAAGGCGGAGAGGTTACAACAGCTGCTAGCTGATCAGGACGCCTTTAAATATAACTTCACTAGCTTCGAACCCATGCCCTTCCCGCTTGACCCTAATGTTAATATTAAGGTACACTACTTTGAGAAGATTTACTAGCTATTAGCCCTTAGATTGACTATACATAATACAGTAATACTCCGCCTTACGTGAGTAATACCTCCCGAAAAAAATCGCATTAAATGTAATTCACATATATCGAGGTTTATGATTGAACATAGTCAAAATTTAATACAAATAATTTTAATCAAATAAATTCCAAGAACATTATGTAATACATGCTATTACTTTTTGCGGAACAATATATGTATTGTCTTTTGGGTAGCGTTTTGTTTACGTTCTTGTAAAATACGTTCGTAACACCCAAAAGTTTTAAATTGTTTGACACACGGTCAAGACACGGTCATCATTATTGTCTATGCTCTGCAATATGTTCAAACCTGAATAAATTATGTATTGAAATTCGCGTTATAATGAAATCGCGCATATCGCGTTTTATTTTAGTACTAATAGTTGGTGAAGAAAAAATATAAATAATATTTTTTTTTGCATAATTCCAGGGTATAGTGGCAAAAAAAGCGAGTTTATTCAAATCAGCCTTGATGCCGTGCAAGCTGACTTTCCTCACGAGCGAGGGGTCGGAGTACCAGGCTATCTTCAAACACGGAGACGATCTACGGCAGGATCAACTCATACTACAGATGATCACACTCATGGATAAACTGCTTAGAAGGTATACATACTGTAAAATATTATATTAGATTTTAATTAATCTATATGTACGAGAAATATTATACTAAATGAAGGTAATATTTTTGGATTATTACGTTATTTTTTTTATATACTCCCGATGTTTCAGTCACTTTACAGCAACCGTGATCACGGGTGGACGAGATATAAATTCTCATCTTGTCTGCCCATGTACGTGTGTAGTTTAAAAAAAACCGCATAGTTATCAATATTAGTTTCATTAAATTAACTCGTGATAGTCTTACATCCCATTAAATCTAATACTAATTTACTAAGGACTCATGGTTAATTTTTGCTAAATAAATTTATTTGGAACTGACTATTTCAGTCTCCTTTCATTGGTTATTGTTTTAAAACATAATTATCAACTGGCAATAATAGTGCAATACCCAAAAAGTACGCTATATTTTATTTGATTTGTTATCATAAAAGAATCTATGTATATACAATATATTCTCAATAGCTTTTCCAAATATATAAATATGATAATATTATTCCAGGGAGAATCTAGATCTCAAACTGACTCCATACAAGGTGCTGGCCACCAGTTGTAAGCATGGCTTCCTCCAGTTCATAGAGTCAGTTACAGTGGCCGAGGCGCTGGCTACTGAGGGCAGTATACTGAACTTCTTGAGGAAACACAACCCCTGTGAGAACGGACCTTATGGCATTAAACCTGACACTATGGACACTTACATACGGAGCTGTGCTGGATACTGTGTCATTACATACCTCTTGGGTGAGTGATTGTTAAGAGTGATAATTAAATGATATTTTGCTCTTGTAATGGTGCTTTTAACTTGACCATATTAAATTTTGGGTGAGTGATTGTTAAGAGTGATAATATAAGTATATTTTGCTCTTTGACCATATTAAATTTTGGGTGAGTGATTGTTAAGTGTGATAATATAAGGATGTTTTGCTCTTGTAACGATGCTTTTAACTTGACCATATTAAATTTTGGGTGAGTGATTGTTAAGTGTGATAATATAAGGATGTTTTGCTCTTGTAACGATGCTTTTAACTTGACCATATTAAATTTTGGGTGAGTGATTGTTAAGTGTGATAATATAAGGATGTTTTGCTCTTGTAACGATGCTTTTAACTTGACCATATTAAATTTTGGGTGAGTGATTGTTAAGTGTGATAATATAAGGATGTTTTGCTCTTGTAACGATGCTTTTAACTTGACCATATTAAATTTTGGGTGAGTGATTGTTAAGTGTGATAATATAAGGATGTTTTGCTCTTGTAACGATGCTTTTAACTTGACCATATTAAATTTTGGGTGAGTGATTGTTAAGTGTGATAATATAAGGATGTTTTGCTCTTGTAACGATGCTTTTAACTTGACCATATTAAATTTTGGGTGAGTGATTGTTAAGTGTGATAATATAAGGATGTTTTGCTCTTGTAACGATGCTTTTAACTTGACCATATTAAATTTTGGGTGAGTGATTGTTAAGTGTGATAATATAAGGATGTTTTGCTCTTGTAACGATGCTTTTAACTTGACCATATTAAATTTTGGGTGAGTGATTGTTAAGAGTGATAATATAAGTATATTTTGCTCTTTGACCATATTAAATTTTGGGTGAGTGATTGTTAAGTGTGATAATATAAGGATGTTTTGCTCTTGTAACGATGCTTTTAACTTGACCATATTAAGTTTTGGGTGAGTGATTGTTAAGTGTGATAATATAAGGATGTTTTGCTCTTGTAACGATGCTTTTAACTTGACCATATTAAATTTTGGGTGAGTGATTGTTAAGTGTGATAATATAAGGATGTTTTGCTCTTGTAACGATGCTTTTAACTTGACCATATTAAATTTTGGGTGAGTGATTGTTAAGTGTGATAATATAAGGATGTTTTGCTCTTGTAACGATGCTTTTAACTTGACCATATTAAATTTTGGGTGAGTGATTGTTAAGTGTGATAATATAAGGATGTTTTGCTCTTGTAACGATGCTTTTAACTTGACCATATTAAATTTTGGGTGAGTGATTGTTAAGTGTGATAATATAAGGATGTTTTGCTCTTGTAACGATGCTTTTAACTTGACCATATTAAATTTTGGGTGAGTGATTGTTAAGTGTGATAATATAAGGATGTTTTGCTCTTGTAACGATGCTTTTAACTTGACCATATTAAATTTTGGGTGAGTGATTGTTAAGTGTGATAATATAAGGATGTTTTGCTCTTGTAACGATGCTTTTAACTTGACCATATTAAATTTTGGGTGAGTGATTGTTAAGTGTGATAATATAAGGATGTTTTGCTCTTGTAACGATGCTTTTAACTTGACCATATTAAATTTTGGGTGAGTGATTGTTAAGTGTGATAATATAAGGATGTTTTGCTCTTGTAACGATGCTTTTAACTTGACCATATTAAATTTTGGGTGAGTGATTGTTAAGTGTGATAATATAAGGATGTTTTGCTCTTGTAACGATGCTTTTAACTTGACCATATTAAATTTTGGGTGAGTGATTGTTAAGTGTGATAATATAAGGATGTTTTGCTCTTGTAACGATGCTTTTAACTTGACCATATTAAATTTTGGGTGAGTGATTGTTAAGTGTGATAATATAAGGATGTTTTGCTCTTGTAACGATGCTTTTAACTTGACCATATTAAATTTTGGGTGAGTGATTGTTAAGTGTGATAATATAAGGATGTTTTGCTCTTGTAACGATGCTTTTAACTTGACCATATTAAATTTTGGGTGAGTGATTGTTAAGAGTGATAATATAAGTATATTTTGCTCTTTGACCATATTAAATTTTGGGTGAGTGATTGTTAAGTGTGATAATATAAGGATGTTTTGCTCTTGTAACGATGCTTTTAACTTGACCATATTAAATTTTGGGTGAGTGATTGTTAAGTGTGATAATATAAGGATGTTTTGCTCTTGTAACGATGCTTTTAACTTGACCATATTAAATTTTGGGTGAGTGATTGTTAAGTGTGATAATATAAGGATGTTTTGCTCTTGTAACGATGCTTTTAACTTGACCATATTAAATTTTGGGTGAGTGATTGTTAAGTGTGATAATATAAGGATGTTTTGCTCTTGTAACGATGCTTTTAACTTGACCATATTAAATTTTGGGTGAGTGATTGTTAAGTGTGATAATATAAGGATGTTTTGCTCTTGTAACGATGCTTTTAACTTGACCATATTAAATTTTGGGTGAGTGATTGTTAAGTGTGATAATATAAGGATGTTTTGCTCTTGTAACGATGCTTTTAACTTGACCATATTAAATTTTGGGTGAGTGATTGTTAAGTGTGATAATATAAGGATGTTTTGCTCTTGTAACGATGCTTTTAACTTGACCATATTAAATTTTGGGTGAGTGATTGTTAAGTGTGATAATATAAGGATGTTTTGCTCTTGTAACGATGCTTTTAACTTGACCATATTAAATTTTGGGTGAGTGATTGTTAAGTGTGATAATATAAGGATGTTTTGCTCTTGTAACGATGCTTTTAACTTGACCATATTAAATTTTGGGTGAGTGATTGTTAAGTGTGATAATATAAGGATGTTTTGCTCTTGTAACGATGCTTTTAACTTGACCATATTAAATTTTGGGTGAGTGATTGTTAAGTGTGATAATATAAGGATGTTTTGCTCTTGTAACGATGCTTTTAACTTGACCATATTAAATTTTGGGTGAGTGATTGTTAAGTGTGATAATATAAGGATGTTTTGCTCTTGTAACGATGCTTTTAACTTGACCATATTAAATTTTGGGTGAGTGATTGTTAAGTGTGATAATATAAGGATGTTTTGCTCTTGTAACGATGCTTTTAACTTGACCATATTAAATTTTGGGTGAGTGATTGTTAAGTGTGATAATATAAGGATGTTTTGCTCTTGTAACGATGCTTTTAACTTGACCATATTAAATTTTGGGTGAGTGATTGTTAAGTGTGATAATATAAGGATGTTTTGCTCTTGTAACGATGCTTTTAACTTGACCATATTAAATTTTGGGTGAGTGATTGTTAAGTGTGATAATATAAGGATGTTTTGCTCTTGTAACGATGCTTTTAACTTGACCATATTAAATTTTGGGTGAGTGATTGTTAAGTGTGATAATATAAGGATGTTTTGCTCTTGTAACGATGCTTTTAACTTGACCATATTAAATTTTGGGTGAGTGATTGTTAAGTGTGATAATATAAGGATGTTTTGCTCTTGTAACGATGCTTTTAACTTGACCATATTAAATTTTGGGTGAGTGATTGTTAAGTGTGATAATATAAGGATGTTTTGCTCTTGTAACGATGCTTTTAACTTGACCATATTAAATTTTGGGTGAGTGATTGTTAAGTGTGATAATATAAGGATGTTTTGCTCTTGTAACGATGCTTTTAACTTGACCATATTAAATTTTGGGTGAGTGATTGTTAAGTGTGATAATATAAGGATGTTTTGCTCTTGTAACGATGCTTTTAACTTGACCATATTAAATTTTGGGTGAGTGATTGTTAAGTGTGATAATATAAGGATGTTTTGCTCTTGTAACGATGCTTTTAACTTGACCATATTAAATTTTGGGTGAGTGATTGTTAAGTGTGATAATATAAGGATGTTTTGCTCTTGTAACGATGCTTTTAACTTGACCATATTAAATTTTGGGTGAGTGATTGTTAAGTGTGATAATATAAGGATGTTTTGCTCTTGTAACGATGCTTTTAACTTGACCATATTAAATTTTGGGTGAGTGATTGTTAAGTGTGATAATATAAGGATGTTTTGCTCTTGTAACGATGCTTTTAACTTGACCATATTAAATTTTGGGTGAGTGATTGTTAAGTGTGATAATATAAGGATGTTTTGCTCTTGTAACGATGCTTTTAACTTGACCATATTAAATTTTGGGTGAGTGATTGTTAAGTGTGATAATATAAGGATGTTTTGCTCTTGTAACGATGCTTTTAACTTGACCATATTAAATTTTGGGTGAGTGATTGTTAAGTGTGATAATATAAGGATGTTTTGCTCTTGTAACGATGCTTTTAACTTGACCATATTAAATTTTGGGTGAGTGATTGTTAAGTGTGATAATATAAGGATGTTTTGCTCTTGTAACGATGCTTTTAACTTGACCATATTAAATTTTGGGTGAGTGATTGTTAAGTGTGATAATATAAGGATGTTTTGCTCTTGTAACGATGCTTTTAACTTGACCATATTAAATTTTGGGTGAGTGATTGTTAAGTGTGATAATATAAGGATGTTTTGCTCTTGTAACGATGCTTTTAACTTGACCATATTAAATTTTGGGTGAGTGATTGTTAAGTGTGATAATATAAGGATGTTTTGCTCTCGTAACGATGCTTTTAACTTGACCATATTAAATTTTGGGTGAGTGATTGTTAAGTGTGATAATATAAGGATGTTTTGCTCTTGTAACGATGCTTTTAACTTGACCATATTAAATTTTGGGTGAGTGATTGTTAAGTGTGATAATATAAGGATGTTTTGCTCTTGTAACGATGCTTTTAACTTGACCATATTAAATTTTGGGTGAGTGATTGTTAAGTGTGATAATATAAGGATGTTTTGCTCTTGTAACGATGCTTTTAACTTGACCATATTAAATTTTGGGTGAGTGATTGTTAAGTGTGATAATATAAGGATGTTTTGCTCTTGTAACGATGCTTTTAACTTGACCATATTAAATTTTGGGTGAGTGATTGTTAAGTGTGATAATATAAGGATGTTTTGCTCTTGTAACGATGCTTTTAACTTGACCATATTCAATTTGTTTTTCTATGGAACCATAAACAAATATTTTTTTGTATATTTTCTGCTTTCTTTCTTTCAAGTTGTTTTCATTTTTATTGTTATAAGTTTAGAATGTATGTTTGTATGTAAGAGTAACTTAGATGAAATTGATCTATACTCTAAAAAGTTAAAATCTATAAGACTATCATCAGAATTGGCCAGTATTATATATAATGAGTATGCGTCTTTGAGTTGAATCGATATATTTTTATGGTCACGAATACGATATTTTTGAAAAGTCTCATTTATTAGTGATTTTGACGCAACATTTATAACTAAATTCTTAATAAGATATGTTTTGAGTAAAATGTTTTTATTTTATTTACTTATTTATTTATTTGTAAAAAAAATTACAATATAAATTACAGTAAACGTTGTCGTCCACACTAGGCTAGGCCCATCATGGACATCATTCATTTTTATCAGACAGGATTCAGTGAATTATAATAAATGACAATCACACAGAAAATGGTATATCCAGATGTATTTTATGCACTAATCTCTTATATTCTAGGTGTTGGTGATCGTCATCTCGACAATTTGCTCCTGACTCGTTCCGGGGCGTTATTCCACATCGACTTCGGCTACATCCTAGGTCGAGACCCCAAGCCGCTTCCTCCACCAATGAAGCTCAGCAAGGAAATGGTAGAGGCTATGGGCGGCGTGCATTCAGACCACTACCACACGTTCAGGAAACTGTGCTATACAGCCTTCCTGCATCTACGGAGGTGACTTACTAGTGACTTAAAGGGCTGTGTTAGGGGATGTAAACCTATATTAACACCAGCCTTTGTCAAAGACATCACATAATATAGTCTCATATTAAACCTGTTTGTCTTTGGGCGATTCTTACTACTCAGGATCATAGTCATTGACGCGTGCTATATTTAATACACGAACATCACATACACATGTAATTATAAGCCTTGTTACTGTTTGCCCTATAATGTCATTTTAAGCAATGAACTTTTATTGGGACTTATTTGCTAAATTGCTAATTTCCTGGCTTAAACGACAACCAAACTCATTAATAAATTTCAGTAGTTACGTAATCAGCGCCATCTCTCGACAATAACTTTGTTTTAATTGCAATTTGTTAACTTTCCAACCCGATTAGACAATAAGTTCTTTGCCTATTTCTTAAGCTTCACACAAATGAATACAACCTTAAAAATATATATACAGTAAGATAGGTAAATGAAGGTAGTTTACTAAGGATTTACACTTCATTACGATGTATGTATAATATTATTTGTTTTATAGGCACGCCAACCTCATGTTGAACCTGTTCTCGTTGATGGTGGACGCCTCCGTGCCTGACATCGCCTTGGAACCTGACAAGGCCGTCAAGAAAGTACTCGACAAACTTAGGTAACTCATACTTAAATACCTACTAATATTATAAATGCGAAAGTAACTCTGTCTGTCTGTCTGTTAAGCTTTCACGCCTAAACCACTGAACTGAATTTAATGAAATTTGGTACGTGTAGAGTTGACCTTGAGAAAGAACATAGGGTAGTTTTTATCACAGACCTTTGAAAGGTTCTCTTGGAAACGCGATATAACCGAACTTCACGCGGGAGAAGCTGCGGGAAGAAAGCTAGTTATATATAAACATATTCTAGGGGAAAAAATGAGCTAAACACATTTTTCTTATGCTATGACCTTCTTCACTCTGGAATCATTGAATAATTATATACACCAATGTCAACAGTTTTATTTGTTGGACGAATTATAATCTTGAGTACTGCGTGGAGAGAACAGAAAGGAGTTTGTAGAATGGAATAAAGACATGTTGTAATACACATTTAAATACTAGTGATATTATAAATGCAAAAATTTGAGATATATGGACGTTCGTTAATCTCCAACAAAAGCTTTTTACTTGATTTTGATGAAACTTTAGTGATCTCGACAAAATATATTATTGACTTTAACTAATACCGGAATTCAATGAAGTTCCCGCGGGAACACTTCACTACAGTTGTATTCAGTATTAAGTCTCATAACACAGTATAGATGTCGCTGCCTGTTTGTTTACATATATAATATGTAGTATAAAGTTTTTTCTTATTAATAATTACTATATTTTCCTTTCAGACTGGATCTTGGTGATGAAGAAGCGGTTCATTACTTGCAGAATCTCTTGGATATGTCAGTGACAGCCGTCATGGCGGCTCTAGTCGAACAACTGCACAAATTTGCACAGTATTGGAGGAAATAACTTGCATATTAAAACGTCCAATCATTGTTAAAGATTCTGTTGTTTATTGTATAAATATCACATTCAACCAATAGCGGAATGTTATTGATGGGTAAAGTTCCCGCCCAAATCAAACTCGAAAGAAATTGAATTAGTTGTAATGAGATTGTATAAATTTATTTGTTAATAAAACTAGTAGTTATAATTATTATAAAATGACAATATGTTTGAATATTAATAAAAAAAAAGATGGATGAAGAGATACATTCTAAAAAAATTAATTGTTAAAAAAAATTGTTCTTATGTTTATACAGTGTTTGACTTACCATAATTGTTTGTAACAAGAAAGCGTAACCTTTAAGTTTTGATAATATTAGGCCTCAATTAATAAATTAAATGCCCAAGTGATTATAGGATTGTATTTGTAATTTTTCACTGTGATATTTACAAATAAATTATTTTCTTAATAAGCGTCATATAATTTATACACATTTTGAGTATACTTAATGAGCAATTTTACATATTGGCAGCGATTAGGTCGCTACCGCTTGCTATACAGTCGCTGGCTATAATGATCTTACTTCCGGTTAGAGACTGTATGACGTCACATGCGGCGACTTCCGCATACGTCACACCCCCGATCATATAAACCAAGACTGTCCTAGGCTTCAAACTAAACATAGTTTTGCTATCACCTTTCAAAGTCTTTAACAGCGTCTTAGCATCTCTACAGCCATATTCCGAATCGCATTTCACGTTTAAATTCGTTATTTTTTCGTTTAAACTCTCTGTACCTCGTTTCACCTTATCTACTAAACTACCACCAATTTTAAGATCATCAAGCGCTAATAATTTTGTTAGCAGTTCAGCTAAAGATTCAGATGTTAATAACGCATTACATATAACAGCCACAAGAGGTATATATCCGCCGTTGAACACATAACTTGGAGATTTCCCATTATCAGATTTGGTCGGTAATTGTTTCAATTTGTTGGCCACCGTTTGAAACTCAGTCTGCCATTTGGGCAATCTATCGCTTAAGTTACTGAGATTGGACAAAGATAATTTTGGGCTGGATGGTTGAATGAGTAAACCGGATGTTATCAAATTGTTGAAAACATATAGAAACTTGTAGCCAAATGCTAATAAGTATTTATGTACGAGTGAATTGTATTCCTCGTAACTCAAACCTTGGGTTAAACTTAACAAGCACATTAGTCGTAAACTGTTATACATGTGGACATCTGTGCCAAAGTGTTCATCGATGTAAGTAAAATTGGCCCGTTTGTTTCTATTATTCAGCATTTCACTCTCCGTTAATGTTAAGTTTTCAAATTTATTATTCATTTCTGATATTATAGTCTCGCTCGCCAATACGTGATTGACGAGATTCTGCTTGAACAGTGTAACTTGTTGCAATTTCGTCGCAACATACTGTTTCATTTCTTGTATTCCGAGAGCCTTAATATCTTCATTTTTGAGAAGCTTTGCCTTTGAGCTCAACACACTTAAAACTTCAGAGAAATGTCTATGCTTTATTTCGCCATACAAATGATCAATAGAGCTATCTAAAGTCATGACCGTAGTTTTGGCTGTTTCATCTTTAGATGTGGTAAAATTAAGCTTGCCCTTCTTCAACTTTGTTTCCGTCACATTAAGTTCTAGATGACCACAGTTTATATTGAAAATTTCACTTAGAAGTCCACTATAAGTAGCCGGTGTTAGTAAACTAGAAGAATAATCCTGATCTCTGTCTATAACGAGAACTGCTCCGATATCATCAGCATTGTTACTAACAAAGTCTCTTGTGAAGGTCTCGTTATATACTTCAAGTATGTCTAAAACACTCGCTGACATCTTTCCCAAAGACATTACACATTTAGGTTTGCCGATAACATGAAATAAGCTCCACATAGACATAGCGATGCTCGACAATAATGATTGATTTTGTTCCACATACAATTGTTTATAAAGGAAAGGCACCTCTAGGCTCAAGAGCTGGTCGTCCAGCCTCATCAGTTCCCACGAGAATGAATGTAGCTTGACTATTTCGTATAAACCTTTATTCTCTAATATTGAATCGAAAGTACATACTAATTTAGGCACTATAATAATATTAAAACACTTTGCATCGGCGAGAGCTGGGTTTTGACTGAGAAGTGATGATATCTGGTCCAAGACACATTTGTATTTCTTGATACAAGCTGGTATAAAGTATATCCTTCTAGTATTTGATGTGGAACCAAGTTGTGGGTCCATTTTATATATTTTATCTATTCCATGTTGCCTGCAAAAATATATTAAGTTAATAAAACATTTTAAACTTTATTTAACTAAAAAATAGCGAATTTAACCTGAGCCAAGTCACTCCACATATTCTCTCCAGTGGCTTTATAAGGGCAGCGTCAATGATTAAGTCGGCTTTATCCCCGCATTGAGACAGGATGTGTTCCAATTTATGCTGGGATATTTGACACAAAGAAGCCAACTTTAAAGAGAGCGGTTGATCCATTGTTCCTATATTATTGTTTAAATTTCAAACAAGAACCCTCATTATTTTCAAAATTCTAATTTTAAAAGTAAGAAATATTTGTAACAGGTCGCAAAACTTGTTTACTACTATTGACAAGTGACAACCGAGTAGTCTAGTAGTGACACTTGACAAATTCAGGAATGGCCATTTTTTGACCTTTAATATGAAACTTTTATTATTAGTTTTTATAAGGATTGAATTATTCGATCATCTCTTAGTAATATCAATATATCTGCACTGAAACAACAAAATAAAAGATCATTAATAAGTGTTTACAAATTTTAAAAATTTAAACTTTATTAAATTTAAACATTAATGTTGCTCGTAGTATTTAAACAAAAGCGCTATTGCCATAAAAAAAAATCAGAAATATATGTATAATAAATATTTAATTTTTTATTTAGTTCATAAAATTCAAATTAAATTTATTATAAAATTTTAATCAACGTGGATTAATGTTATATCGACAGTTTCGGTGGTAAATCGACCTTGACAGTTATTTCCGGTCATGCGTCGTTGTCTATCTTGCAGTATTCTCCCCCTCCGCCTCTATACCGCGGAGTATCTCTCGTCGGCGTAAAATTAAATTTTGTGAAATGGCAGCGAGAATAATAAGAAAAATCGTAAGTTAGTAGATAGTGTTGGTGTATATCATTTTATAAAATTAATTGCACGTTTCCCTGTTACTAAATTATCGCTCCTGCTCGTTTAATTTCCTTTGCCATCCAAAAATAGACCAGTTATGTCGAAGAATTACATAAATGTTCTTTTGAAGCCTTTTCGTGAGAATAAAGTTGTATCGAGCTTACTAAAATTATTCGAGTCGGGTTCGAATAACGCATCGGGAGGGGTTGTGGGTGTGAAAAATGAGGTTAACATAATTTTTCGTGTGCATTGAATTTATTTTGTGTAGGTTATAAGTTGTAGTATATTGTGTAGATCCCCGCTGGCCGGGCTGGCTCTGCTCAGTACAGCACTGGAGTCCGTAAGGTGACTCTCATTCCTGGCCACGGTATCGGCCCCGAGATCACTGTAGCCGTTCAGAAAATATTTGAAGCTGCTAAAGTACCCATTGAATGGGACGAGGTTGATGTCACAGCTGTTAGAGTGAGTACATTAAGAAATATTACTTTTAAATCTAATACTATTATAATGATGGCTCTTATTTGTCTTAATAAAGTCACTGCATTGTTATAATGTAAATTACGTGATTATGTTTGCTCCATTTTATAAAGAAACCTTACAGATCTTTAATATAAATATCTGTTAAAATACTCATAGTTATAATATTTTAATCACTTTAAAATTATTAACATTTTTACATATCCATTTTTAAATTTTAACTCAGGGTCCGGATGGCAAATTTGGTATTCCCCAACGAGCCATTGACTCGGTCAATGCCAACAAGATAGGCCTCAAAGGTCCATTGATGACTCCGGTCGGTAAAGGATACAGGTCATTGAACTTGGCTTTAAGAAAAGAATTTGATCTGTACGCCAATGTTAGGCCTTGCAAGAGTTTAGATGGGTGAGTTTTTTGCATCATAAACATAGAAAATACAAATAATTACAATAGTATTCATAGTTTTATGTCATTACTAGCTTTTCACCTGTGTCGAGTTCGGTTATATTGCGTTACCAAAAGAACCTTTCAAAAGTCAGGGATAAAAACTATCCTATGTTCTTTCTCGAGGTCAACTCTATGTCTGTACCAAATTTCATTAAAATCAGTTCAGTGGTTTAGGCGTGAAAGCTTAACAGACAGTCAGTTACTTTCAAATTTATAATATTAATAGGGATAAAATGAGAATTATATTATTAATCATTTGATGGATTTCTTCATTATAATAATTTTAATTAATAATTATTGTTGTTTATCAGTAACTAGTAATATGAGCTGTCTTGCCAAGACAACATTGTATATTAGTAATTCTGTTATATTAATAGTAAAACATTTATTGAGCAACAAGTAGCATTAAATGTATTAAAATAATATACATTATATTATTGTACCGCTTTTGATGTGGCTTTAGTTTTTAACACTAAATTTGTGTATTAAATACTTTAGATACAGTAGGTAACTTACCGATCAAGTTTTTTTATATGGATAATATAATTATCTAAGTACATATAATCTTTTTCATTATCAGCAGATTTGTTATTTTTAATCTCTGAATGTCAAGTATCAAGGATTTGAGGGTTTACCCGTTCTTGTATATCTTATCTTTTGAGTCATTAATATTTTTGTTATATTTATTTGTTGTTGCTTTACTATGGTATCTTGTAAATTATAAATTTTTTCTGTAATTATTTTACCGAAGTTTGCTAATTATGGTAGATAATTGCCAATTAATGATCATTAAATCTTTAGCAAAAGTAAATTCATTATACTCTGTTAAATCTGTATATCTTGTCTATGAGAACAAGTTATTTAAATAATTAGACTCGTGAAAGGATACAAGCATATGACAATAGCGTAAATTAATTTCACATATAGACATTGTATATAATATATTATATAAGTATTTGATATCTGTATGCACTAAGCTGATATTGAATAAATATATCAGATTTGTACTGGTATGATAAGAAATAAAGCATCTGCATTAGATTTTATATGAAAGAAGTTTCAACAATGGTATTATTTGTACATTTATATACAGGGTGACTGGTGAATTACTATCAATATTTAAGGAGCATACTCGGTACATGATTCTCATTCGAATTATGTAAAAAAAATAGGTACTTAATTTTTGACCAAATTTCCGTATAAATAAATAAAGTGTGTACACGTTCCAAGTGTTCCTAGTGTGGACGCGTGCGGCGGCGTGCTGATACAACAACACGCCGCCCCGCGCGTATGTGTGAGTGTGTAGTGTAGACTAATCTGTAGGGTGTTCATACGATGCGTAATTAATTACACAACTTTTGGTTAACTTTACTTAGAAGTTTATTAATATTTATGTTATATTAATTTTTATTTCGTCATATATGATCGTCAAATATCACGTCCTCAAATATCGATAGTAATTCACCAGTCACCCTGTATATTTGTTTTCGACATTAAAATATTTCTATAGAAAAATGATGAGATAATCAGTGGTCTTTGGTATGTTTCTTCTACATTGCAAAGTTAGAAAACATCAATTAAGATTTTTATCGCTATGTGTTAGTCAAGTTAGGACATAATGGCTCAGTTAGTAAAGCAACTGTAATCAAAAGAACAGTTGTTGTCGGTTCGAATCTGAATGCTACTAATTAATAGTCATGAATATATCCTAATGTTTTTTTCTAATTCATTCTTATTATTGTATGATATTAAATTCTGCTTATTTATTAACCGAATTAGTGTTAGATAATTTTTGTCTCGTTATATTATCGTGTAACTATTGCTACCTTCGTATGTGATACGTGTGTTTGATAACAGAGGATAAAAATAGTAAATACTGTTACATTTTCAAATTTATAGTTTTTGGTTCCGTATATAAGTTTTGTCTATTTGTCTCTTGAATCTTAATTTATATTTTGATAGTTTATACATGATGCTGTAACAATAATTACTGAAAAATAAATATATAAGTTTTTTTTTATCTATTAAGTACATATATTTGTTTGCAAAATGTTTATAAAATTTGCAAAACATAAGAAAGATCTATTCGTGATAAACTTTTATAGTAAAAAATTAACTTGACACTTAATAAACACAAAAATGTTCCTAATGTTACCCACATATATACAGTCCAAATAGTCCTAGTTTTGCTTGTAAATTACAATTTACACGTGAATTTAAAAGGTCGAAACTGATCGTTTATCTGTTTGATCAGCATCAAGACTCTGTACGACAACGTGGACGTGGTGACTATCAGGGAGAACACTGAAGGAGAGTACTCGGGCATCGAGCACGAGATAGTGGACGGAGTGGTGCAGTCCATTAAACTGATTACTGAGGAGGCGAGCAAGAGGGTGGCTGAGTTCGCGTTCACCTTCGCTAGGGACAACAAGAGGAAGAAGGTCACGGCTGTGCATAAAGCTAACATTATGTGAGGAAATACTTCTATAATCATAGTTTTAGATATAAGCAATTAACAAAGATAGTCTTCTACCTGACAATTTCCCAGCTTCAGCCAGGGTCCGCCTTACATGTTGTGAATAGTTTTGGCTAATTGTTTTTAAGACCGGCCGCCTGCCTGACATGAACCCCCTTTGGGAATAATTAACATAGTATCAAGAGAAAACTACTTTATTACTTTTGTTGGACATTTTTTTTACATTTGTATACATAGTACATACTACACACTCATGTCCATTTTATTATTTAGTTTCATTTGAACTAAGCACCAAAGGTTAACATTAAAATAAAGCTAAATGAAATTGTCTTAGAATCATATGTGTATTGTTTATTGGTAGTGTGATCTCCAAGGCGTTTCATTAGCGGGGACGTGTTGTATCACGTTACACACTCGCGTGGACACAAGCGTTTAGAATCATTTAGAAACTTGACAAGCATTGACCTTGACAGACAAATATGTTCAAATTTGAGTCCTTCATAGAAATAATACACGGTAAACGTAATAGAAGTAGAGTGAGAGGTATAACAGCTAAATCTCTCTACAACCTACTAAGACTTGGGCCTGTCCAGACCTAATATCAATTCATTCTTAGAACATACTTCGAAGGCAGCCCTAGTAGGTTCTTTCCAAATTTGTTAGAGAGAGGAGCTAGGACAGTGGAGGTGAGCGTTTAACGCGTTAGATAGGGGTCTCTTAAACCTACACCTGGGTCGTAAGTACCAGTCACTGTTGAAGCTCCTCTCACTACAACGATGGACCCGACACACGAATAAATACATTGGATGCAAAAAGTTTTTTCTCTTGAGAAGTTCATGAATTCAAATATAAACTATATTAATATGTGGGTAGTTAGTTATATGTAATACTATGCGCCCCGCGGTGTTACACGCGGATTTCCGGTATCTAAAGTAGCCTATGTGTTATTCCTGAACGTCAGCTTCCTGTATAAAAAATTTCATCAATATCAGAGGTTCAGACGTTTGAGCGTGAAGAAGTAACATACACACACTCACAAACTTTCGCAATTATAATATTATTATTAATATTGTATAGGCGTATGTCTGACGGTTTGTTTCTCCGCTGTTGTCGCGAGCTCGCCACTCAGTTCCCAGACATCAAGTTCGAAGAGCGTTACCTCGATACCGTCTGCCTCAATATGGTTCAAGACCCGTCCAAATTTGACGTACTTGTAAGTATGCACACATATATACATATATAGCAACACTAACATGTTTCATACATATACAAAAATTATATATAGAAATCTATATGGTAACAGTGCATTATTCATATAAATACTCAGCAATAAATAATTTATTTAATATAGAAAATGTTGTACTAAAACTTCACAAAGCAACCGAGGTGAGATTTTGCGAAAGTTTAAATATCAAATACTGTTTATTGCTAAATTTTTCCTTCTATATTTTAATATTTTAATTTCAGTAACCTATACAGGGTGACTGGTGAATTACTATCAATATTTAAGGAGCATACTCGGTACATGATTCTCATTCGAATTATGTAAAAAAATAGGTACTTAATTTTTGACCAAATTTCCGTATAAATAAATAAAGTGTTGACACGTTCCAAGGGTTCCAAGTGTGGACGCGTGCGGAAACGTGCTGATACAACAACACGCCGCCGCGCGCGAGTGTGTGTGTGTGTGTATACCTAATCTGTAGGGTGTTCATACGATGCGTAATTAATTACATAACTTTTGGTTAATTTTACTTAGAAGTTTATTAATATTTATGTTATATTAATTTTTATTTTGTCATATATGATCGTCAAATATCACGTCCTCAAGTATCGATAGTAATTCACCAGTCACCCTGTATAAGGAATATTTTTGATTGCAACATTGTCCTGTTAATATCAATGATTTCCTAACTTGAGTTATGATTAACTTTACCCGTACGTCACTGTAGGTGATATGTTTTGATAACTATCACCTGTTTTGACGTCATTGAGATATAATACCAAATATTTACGCATCGGCTCTTACTATCCTCAATCTATCACAGAATTATAGACTTCATAATTTGTTATTATCCTTTTTTTAGCTGCCCCCCCCCCACTTTGTCTGTGTGAAAAAACCATAAAAAATTGTAAAACATCTAAGCACCCACTCGCGTTTAAACAATTAATTTCAGAATCATTATAAAAAGTAACGTAGTATTTAGGCAACTTTAATTTAAGCCCTAAATGAATCCTTACACTACCAGCTACCTGCCAATAAAAGTCTCGTCAAAATCGGCCCTACAAACCTAAAGGCAAAAATTATCAAAAATATATATTTTGTTGTTTGTACCATATACAGGGTGACTGGTGAGTTACTATCAATATTTAAGGACGTGGTAGTTGACGATCATATATGACAAAATAAAAATTAATATAACATAAATATTAATAAACTTCTAAGTAAAGTTAACCAAAAGTTATGTAATTAATTACGGATCGCGTGGATACCCTAGCTGCGTTATCGACACAAAACAGTTATGTACGTAGGTATATGTAGTTATCGCGCGGTAGTTTACCTACATCCAAACGCCGCGCGCCGCCGCGTGTTAGACCTTAGATAAACAAAAATGATCCATTTCCCCTCATACTTTAATCCTGGCTTAGGACAGGCAAAAATACCAAGATATTTCTTTCGTTTAAGCAACCAATTTATTGACTAGGTAAATGGTGTGACCTTGACACAAAAAATAATATGAACTGTTTACCTATCTTGGTATTTCCGGCGTATTTAAAAATGGAATCATACTTATTTACAACAATTGTCAATCATTAAACTACCTATTTACCTACATAACTACACTAACCTTAACAAATGTTCAAAGCGAGCTCCTTCTCGTGTGATACACAGTTCGGCACGTTTACACATATTGTCTTTCACACGATTTAATACGAATGGGTCACTTTTAATAGTTTTGAAATCACTTTTGATTTTTAAGTTCAACTCCTCTCTGTTTACATACTCTGTAGCATACACAAGACGTTTCCTTGGGCATGTGTTGGAACACGGAACTGTCCGAAGTCTCGTAATCTTTGATTAGCGTTTAAGATGACGCTGGCCGTAGGTACTCGACGATTAGGGAACATCTCCCGGTACAAATTGATTGCGCCCGGCAAGCTTTCATTTGCACGCGCATACGCATAAACCATGTCCAAGTATTCTGCATTTGTGTATTGAAAAGCCATATTTAATTACTAATAAGTAATAACGGGTCACACGCACACACGACAGATTATTATTAGGTATACGCGTAAGATCGATCGCTAGGCGCGCGCGCGGGAAGACGAACGTACGGACCTTACGGCGGCGCTCGCGCGACTAATAGCCGACTAATGGCCCGCTAGCCACGGGGCGGGGGTTGGGGAGTAGCGACACACTGGCGCCGGCAAGGATGAGTACGTATCCAAACTTTATTTATTTATACGGAAATTTGGTCAAAAATTAAGTACCTATTTTTTTTACATAATTCGAATGAGAATCATGTACCGAGTATGCTCCTTAAATATTGATAGTAACTCACCAGTCACCCTGTATACATTATACATATATTCATATAAATGAAATAAAAAACGATTATTTCAATATTACATACAGACAGACCAACTTTATATGTACAGATATGTAAGTATATATGTATAGTCTAATTCATGAGAATACGTACTGAGTAGGCAAGAGGTATTTTAAATTCCCTCCCCTATAAGCCTGGTATTAAGGGCAACATAATATATGTAACGGTGTTAAAACCATTCTAATATTATGTAATTCTATTGTTCTTTCATTGAACCATAAGTCTCTGGAATTACTGATTGTAATCTACAAAAATATGATTTTCTTTAATACTGTATTTAAGATAATATAACTGCTGTTTATCCATACTAGCTTTCCGACCGCAACTTCGCCCGCGTGGAGTCCGGTTATATCGCGTTTCCAAGAGAACCTTTCAAAAGTCTGGAATAAAAACTATCCTATATTCTTTCTCAAGGTCAACTCCATCTCTGTACCAAATTTCATTTAAATCAGTTCAGTGGTTGAAATCGTAACAGACAGACAGGCAGGGTTACTTTCGCATTTATAATATTAGTAGGGTTTACTCATCATTACTAGTACTTAAAGTATTCCGTGTCAAGGGTTCTAAAACTTCAAAGATAACAAAACAACCATATACAATTTACTTCTAAATTACAAAACAATAATATATATTTAGGTTCGGAAGACAAAAAAGCTAAAAAAATACTAATTACCTACAAACGAACAACTTAATAATTCTTACAAATTTGTAAAGTAATAGGTTTTTAGTGTGATACTAATATACAATGATGATTGATACCTCACACAATCTACTAATGTGATTATAAAATGATTCACGATACCGAATGTACAGAGCAATAAAAAGACTCGATACAAGACTACCGATCTTTATATCTTTATAAAACTAGCTAACTAGTGCCACTAGTCTAGTGGGAACTTAAATATATCAAAGAGGAGGGTTGCATATATTACGGCAACTAATATAAAATATTGCTTGTGGAACCCCGACGTTTAATGTACAGAACCTAATTTGGGTCTAGAGTACATTTTCGAGTGTCCACTGAGAAAAATGTCCTAAGTATTATAGTTAGCAAACACTTCATTAATGTTTATTTATCAATTTGACCCAAATAGGAAGCCATTCAATACTTAAGTGTGATAAATGGCTACTTCAACTCTATTGTTAATTGAAAAGTATTTTTGTATAAGGATATAATATTATATACTTTCAATGGTACCCTAATAAATATGAGTAGAGTCTAGTTTGGGAATCTCTGACTTATTATATGACTAATGAGATTTGTTACTTTAATATTATCTACATTCAATTGGGTTTTTGAATTATTTATTTTTTTGTGATAAATGGAAAGATCATATATAAGTTTAATAACAAAACTATTTTTATTTTATTTTTTTTTTGCAATATTTAAAAAGTTATTTCAAAATAAAAATTAAATTTTAAATTCAGTACCGAAGACAAGCCGACAGCTCGTGAATAAACCCGAGCGCGTGTGACGTCACAATGTTAGTTTTTGCTCATTGTAGCATACAGAGATATAATAATTAGTACAGTGTTTTGAGTTTTTATCTAGTAAATTCTGTTGGCATTGTTAAATAATCAAAAGTTTTGTACCATTATGTACAAAGACTACAAAAACAACTCCTGAAAAAATGTTTTTAAATGTTCCACAAGACGAAAAACGTCGAAAGAAATGGTTTCAAGCAGTGCATCGAGATTATTCAAAAACAAAATCATTTTTTTTTGTTGTGAAGATCATTTCGTTGTAAGTTTTCATAATAGTATTGTTATTAATTATTATTTATCTAAGTGTATAAATCGAATAAGTATAGTTCAATAATTAATTTTTTTACCTGGGCTCCAAATCATAACCTTTAGAATCGTAGCATTAAAAAATTTTAATTGATAATTCAAAGCGATTAAATAGTAAATCTATATATATGTTTGTCTAATAATTGGACTTCAATTAATAGATATTTTCATAATTTTATAACATTCTAGGTTCTGTATCAGACTACATTTAAATTTTTAAAGTACATATATGTTATTTTGGTTTTTTTTATAATGTTATAATAACATTTTATTAATAATGATTTAATGAAATAATTATTAATTATATTTAATAGAGAATAAATACTAATTTTCATTTAGAATAGTATTTTTTGACAGACTTACCTTGATGTCTTAGCACCTCGAACTTCAGCAAAATTAAACCGCACTTTTTAAAAAATTAGTTATCATAAAAATATATTAACATCAGGAATATTATCCGATTTTGCTTTTATAAATCCTTTATCACACATAGTCGAAATAAACTTTTCAAATCGTTTTTCACTAATAAATTTGAGATATTTTTATCAAGTTAAAGATAATAGCCATAAACACTGTACTATTATGAAATTGCTTTAACATTATGACGTCACAAGTATGCTGACCAATCATGGCGCGTTTACAGTCACGTGATATATTTTTGAATTTTATCAATTTTTAATTGTTTATAATTAATTTAAAAAATATATTTCAAGTTTTTTGCATTAAAAATCCAATATAATTAATAATAAAGTTTTAAAATACATAAAAAAAATCAATACTTTTTTTTTTTTCAAAAACCCAATTGGTACTCTAATAAATATATGGAGTCAAGTTTGAGAATATCTGACTTATAAAACATTGAGATTTATTATTTTAATATTATATACTTTCAGTGCTACTCCAATATATGCAGTATAGTTTGGGAATCTCTGCCTTATTTAACTAATAAGGTTTATTATTCCAGGTGATGCCAAATCTGTACGGAGATATTATGTCTGACATGTGTTCGGGCTTGGTGGGAGGCCTCGGCCTCACTCCATCAGGGAACATCGGCAAGAATGGAGCCCTGTTTGAATCTGTGAGTAAATACACAGTATGCAACATATATAGATTTATACAAGCACTGCTTACACTGTTATATAATAAGTAATTATTTTTGTAGTTGATTAGTACTCAAAAGTATTCAATAATTATTTTATATTTATTTATTTTTTAACTCCATTGCTTTTTTCATTTAGTGTAGTTTAAAAATATTTATTTTGTTATTTTTTTTATGCTTAGTAATCGAATTGAACATTTGAATGATAGGATTTTTAATTATAATAAATACTTTTAATACACACAGAATACAGAATATGTACTGTAATTATTTAAAGAGTTATTAAGTTATTAAAAGAGTTTGTAAAGAAAAGAATCTGTACTGTTTGTAAAAAAGAAATATTTAAGTCTTGAAAAATCTTATTTATTTAAATTTTTATAGTGACTAATACAATTAAAAAAAAACTTCATACACAAGTGAGTAATATTAATAAACAATGTTCTATTGTTTAAATGAGCCAAAAAAATTAAAGGCTGGTGAATAAATGATTATTTTCTAACATGAAGAAGAAACGTAAGTTGTGTCTACACTATATAGAATGTGAACTAACTCGATCCTCTCATACTAACAAAAAACACAGATATTTATTGACCGATTTCAATAATAATATTAATTATTTACAAATTCTATTACTTTAAATATCTAATTAAATGTCGGTTTAATTAAAACTTAAAAATCATTTCACATTTAGAATCTATGAGATTTTGTTAGTAATTGGTTTATGAGAAAGTCTGGGATATACAAACATATACAGACAATGATGAAACATAGTATCCCTTCTTTGAAGTCGGTTAATAAATATTCTATAATTTTGTATGTGTTTTCGTCTTTCCTTCTATTCTTTGAACTAATAAACTGGTTTGGTTTCTAATCACTGCACTTTAACTGAATTTTCTATCTTTGTTTGAGATTTAAGTAATCTAAAAATATTTATAGTAGAACATTTCATTTATAATTATTTGCTATTCATAGTAACTAGAAGTAAAAGATCTTTTATATATTAGTATATTATAGTTTAACAATATTATTTATTTATATGTATGTTGAAGCATGTAATGTGTTGTGTTCATCTTTACTTTCCATTACTTATCTGTTACATGTGGTTTGAACATGGAACTTCTGAATATTGTAAACCAAATGGCTGATTAAAAAAAAATCCCTTTTATTCGTATCAGAAAATTCTAGAACATTTCTTATCATACTAAATTATTTTGACTTCTCCTGGTCCATATTAACTTAATATATTATAAAAAGATAAGTATTAAAATTAAACAAAAATTCGAATTCATAGCCATTGCTGAAGTCAGTATGAACTATCATATATTGTTCCAGTTTAAATCACTTATATACTAACATACTAACAATTCCAGGTTCATGGCACAGCCCCGGCAATAGCCGGCCAGGATAAGGCAAATCCCACAGCACTCCTGCTCTCCGGAGTGATGATGCTGAGATATATGAAGCTCGAAGACATCGCTGACAGAATAGAAACGGCTTGCTTCACAGTACTCAAGGAAGGGAGAGTGCTTACCGAAGACCTCGGAGGAAAAAGCTCATGCACCGAATACACCAACGAGATCATCAAACATTTGTATTAGATGTATAGGAATTATGTGAAGTTAATATGGTGGATAGGATATGGTTTATATGGAAATTAATAACTGATGAATGAAAAATTATGGGATTAATAGTTTATAATTGAATTGTATAGAATTTCAATTGAATTGTAGACGGATTAACTAAAGCTTCCTTATGACAAGCATCCAAAACTTCAGGATATTATTGAAACAATTTTATATTTATGACAGTCACATATAGAATCTTGTTTATAGGAAATGTTTAAAAAGTGCATCTGAGCGATAATTGTAGAATGATTATTGCTAAAATGTTATAGCACCTTTTTCCTTCATCAGCCTTTTGATGAATGGATTTAGCCAGGATTTATAAAGACATACATTGGATTATATAAAAAATTTATATAGTTCAATTTCTCAACAAGAAATCTGTCTCTGAAAATTCAGCAAGGTCCAATGTCAGTGTAACATTAGACCTTGTGTATATATACATATAAATACATATAAACATATTTGTATATATGTATAATTTATTTATTATACTAAACACTAGTATTGGCCTTCAGTTGTGATGAAAACCCCATCTCGACAGATCTGTTATATGTTTGATATAAAAACTTTTGGTATATATTTTCCTGGAAATTATGTTCTGTTAGTGAAATAAAGACAATACCATACTCCTGATGAATTAATATAATCAGGCGCTAAGTATTATTACAAATGAATTTAATACTTTAAGTTATTTATTGTGTTACCATTAAGATTAATTAGTGAGATGTGGCTGTTTTTTAGTTTGAACTGTATTGTAACTTAATTATATTAATTTAACTAAGGTTTAAACCTCAGTAACTTAACTCACTCATGACATTTATTTGTTGACCGAATTAAGAATCATAATATTAGGAAACATTTGAGTTAAATAGATAATTTTATTGTGTGTTGCCATAATCATAAACAGTTACATGATGTGGTAGTTTTGTTAGTTCCTTTATTTGTGATGCATTTGTATTTTATTCATTTAGTAGACAATTTTTTATATATAATTTAATGTATTATCAACCAAGTATTACATTTGTATTTAATAACAGATCTAATCTGTGTGTTACCGGGTACATTCCATTTTATTAACTTATTTGTGTTTGTTTTATTCCAATGTAGAAATAAAGTGGTTGGAAGTAAGGTTCTTGTATGTTTTATACCCAATTTTTTTCTCTCACATACTTTGGAACATATTAAACACGGCGTATTTTCAAATAAAGATATACAAGGTTTTAGTAGGAACGAAGAAAGATATGTTAAGAATGCATATAAGTGCTTTAAAAGAGAAGTATATATGTATTTTATGTTGGTTTATTTAATTATAGGTCCACGGTACAGCCCCGGACATCGCTGGCAAGGATTTGGCGAACCCCACAGCCTTACTGCTCTCAGCTATCATGATGTTAAGGCATTTACAGCTCAACGAACACGCGGATAGAGTTCAAAATGCTTGTCACGAGGTCTTGCGTGAGGGAAAATCTCTAACCGGCGATCTCGGCGGCACGGGAAAATGCAGTGAATTCACCAACGCCATCATATCAAAATTAAATTAAAATCCCCACAGACTATAAAAGCGATGTGACGTTTTATATTGGCTGTATAGTATATTGAGATTTTTATTCTTCAGTTTTTTTAGTCGCCCGTCAAAACTTGATGCCAAAGTTATCATGTATTTACTTATATAGTATTATTATTATCAGTTATAAAAACCCTTAAACTGTTCTGTATTATATTTATTATCGAAACTCTCCTAGATAATATATGTATTAAGTATTAATTGATAAACAATTACGTAGACAGATTTAATCTAATTAAAGTTTACAAAACAAATTCTCTTTTATTTATTTATTATTTTGTATTTAATTATATTTAAAGGTAATAAATAACCGAACTGTAATTCCCAACGAAAGAAATTAGTACATCCGTCCAGTTTTATCATCAAAGATCATTGATTTAAGGATATTTATATAGTTTCGCAAATCCTTATTATGTATCTTAGTTCTGAAATCATAAGTCATGCTACATATTTTGAACATAGTCTCTGAATTAATCCAGAAAATAAAATTCATCAATAATATACCTATAAAGTTATGAGTAGCCTTTCAGTCCGTGCCCTAGATATAATCCAAGTAAAAACATCCAAAAGTATATAATTTTACACAAACTGCTTACTGAAATATACACAAAAATGGACCGAATGGTGTGACTTTTCGTAAATATGTAGGTACTATTATTTTGTGAAAACTGAATTTAAATTTTATTAAAAAAACCTTAAACTTATTTGTATGTATCGTTCAAAGTTGAAATGTATCGTATGTATGTATGTATAGTTGAAATGTATCGTTCAAAGAACATTAGATCTATAAAAAAATATTTTTGAAATTAACTAGTTTCGTATCTGTCTATTTAAAATACTGCTATTTTCAAAAGCTGTTTGAAACAGAAAACTCAGTTAAAATGGAAGAAAACATTTGCCTTAAAATATTCAAACAATATTTTAAAAAAGTATCTCTAAGATACTATGATAAATTATATGTATAGGTACATAATATATTATTTGAATGTCTTCCCAATACGAGGGTCAAACTGAAAGTTCTTAGAAAATCAAAAACTGATTACATTAGCCAGTTATAAGTTTTATTATATCTTTTCAAAATATTTTCCATTCACCGTTCACGTCAATACACCGCTGCATGCGATGGAACCACAGTGAAAAGCACTTTGCCCACTCGTCCTTAGGGGTCTCTTCAATGGCATCGCGATACGCAGCCACCGCGTCTTCAGCATTCATTCGTTTTGCTTTAATTTTAGGAAATAAATAAAAATCACAAGGCGCGAGGTCGGGGCTATACGGCGGGTGACCCAGTAATTCAACGTTTGATGTCACCAAATAGTCGATGGTTCGCTTGGCGGTGTGCGACGAGGTGTTGTAGTTGTGAAGGAGGATCCTACTACGAGGTCGTTTCTCTCGAACTTTTTCCAAGACAAGTGGCAAACAATTGGTAGTGTTGTAGCTACTAATTTAATATAAAAAATAAATAAACTTTTTGGAAACAAATATACTGGCCAGTATACTGGCAGCGTAATTTCAGATGACGTATAATTATTAAAAAGAAAACAATTTTTCATACAATTATATAAAAGACAAAAGTGGTCATTGTATGCCGAGATTGTAAAACTTAAGATTACACATATATGTATATATTAATATAATATACATATATTCGTAAGTGGTATATAACTAAAATCCCACTTCACGGGTTATCCCGACGTGCGTTCCGGATTTAAACAACATTTTGAAGACCGAATCCAACCATGACGGAGGAAAAGGACTGTCAAATATAACCACGGACAGAGGAGTTGGGAGATAGGAAGCCCACACAGTTTCTTCGGCACCTGCAGCAGCTAGCTGGCTCATCAGTCCCGGTCGACTTCATCAGGTTGATCTGGTCAAGCAGGTTATCTGAAAATCTGCAAACCATTGTAGCTATGCAAGCTAGGTCGAGCTTAGAAGAGGTAGCGGAGTTAGTGGATAAAGTCAACGACATCGTTCCAGTAACCAGGCAACTTGCTTCTACTGACCGATTCTGATCCGCAAAGCAGCGCTATTGAAGCTTTAACGAAGATAGTAGCTGAGCTATCACGAAAGCTGGAGGCTATGAGCGTGCAGTTACGTCATAGAGCATCACGTTCCCAGTCAAGAGACAGGTACGGACAATCGCGTTACCGATCGCAATCACGCATTAAAGACAACAGATATTGCTTCTACCTCAACCGATTCGGCGACAATGCACGAAAATGTACTCAACCATGCGCCTACAAAGAGAAGTATTTAAACTACAAAGGCAGCCAGTAAAGGAGGAGTTCGACTGCCATGCCGTTTCAAGCCGCCTGTTCATTACGGACCGGAAAACGAAGACGCAATTTCTAATAGATAAGGTTCGGACCTGTGTCTTCCCTCGATCCGCTGTTCGGGAGCGTCGTATGCAGTCGAAATACAAGTTGTTCGCAGCCAACGGTTCACTTATATGCACGTATGGCTTTCTTCCTCTGATACTAGATTTGGGGCTTCGCCGCCAGTTTCGCTGGAGGTTTATTGTCGCTGACGTTAATAAGCCCATAATCGGAGTCGACTGCCGTAACCAGCGCCTCATAGACAACCTGACCTCGCTCCAAACCCAGCTACCACAGAGAAAATCAGCAGAAGCCATATCATCGATCCGCACAATTGGAGAAGATAGTGGATAACATATGACAAATATATGAAATATATACTCAGTAATATTGGCAAAGAGTTCTATTTTCAAATTTAAGAATTATTTTTTTATATTGTGTATAAGTGGCCAGTTCTAAGAACTTTCAGTTTGACCCTCGTATATATATATATAGGTATACAAGAATTGTATGATTATATATGTATCCTAATCAAATTATTATTAGAATAATAATTTGATTAGGACTAATAAGCAAATTTATTGATATAATAAAGGACCTTTTAGGAAAAAATGTAATTTTATGTTAGATGTTTCATAATATTATATTGCAGTAGCATATTTTTGGAAACCTTTGGCTATTTACATAATTGAGAATTATTTATTACGAAATCACTATTAGAATACTGCATTTTAATTTTAAAGTATTTACATTCAGGAATAACCATCATCTCGACACATGAAAAAAATTCAACATTTTAAAGCATTTCACGGCAAAGTATGATAAAGGAGGTAAAAGTAGGTAATAAAAGAAAACATAGGATACAACATTTTATTGAAATGACAATAATTGTAAACCTGAAATCAGCTTAAAGAAACCTGAACGGTGTGAAGTGTGTCGGCGCATGTAATGTCAGGATGCAAACATATAGTATAGACTTAAGCTGAGTTTTGTATTTCTGTAAGTCAAAGTAGAGTTAGACAAAAACTTTTAGAATTAAATTTTATTATACGTTTATAAGATTATTCCAGTCACAGAGTAAATCTGATTCCTTGATATTGTCAAATAAAATGTTGACTTTGACAACTGAGACATGTGTCATGCATCACATTCATCCAGCGTGTTGTTTACAAAGTTATAACCTCTGTTTAAATATTAATCTACATTTATAAGACCTCAAAAGAAAACATTGATATAATATAAAAACGATTCTTGATCTTTTACACATTCACTGAACGACGTAATTTTGAGGAAGTACATAGTGAGTTTATAAACAGGAATGAAAAAAAAATTAAGTTTAAAGAACTTATGTGATCTGAGTTGAATTTTATAACATAGGTTTAATATAAGAATTTGCAGATGGTTTTACTCGTAAGTGTCTTCATTCATATCATAGTAAATTTTAAATATTTTGTAACGTGATAATTTTATTTAAGATTTTTGATAATTTTAAGGAAATGAGAAATTCCGTGTCAGAGGACGATACCGAATCTAATATTCTGAATGAAAATGGCAAAAGACCTAAAGATTCCGACGGCCAGGTCAAAAAGCGGATTAAAACTAAAAGTTTATACAGGCAACCGACAGCAAATGAATTGAATCGACTTCAGGAAACCGAACAGCTATTCAACTCCAATCTTTTCCGACTTCAAGTCGAAGAAGTCCTCGAAGAAGTCAAAGTTAAAGAGAAAACCATAAAACGCTTCACGGAATGGTTTAATAATTTGAAAACTTACTTACTCTCAATTACAAATGACGAAACAGAGTACGATTTAAGTGAAAAATCCTTTGTAAACAAACTAAAAATTCAATTACCAGTATGCAGGCAGATACAAAAAACAAAAGTTATGTTCAAATTTCACAAATTCCACGATGTCGATGTCGTAGGATCGTACGCTCTAGGCTGCGGTATAAAATCAAAATTAATAGTCGACCTGCAAATAACTGTCCCGGCGGAAACATATGCTAAGAACGACTCCATTAATTACAAGTACCATTTAAAACGTGCTGCTTACCTCGCGTATATTGCATCTTATTTGAGTAAATATGAACATATTGACGAAATAAACTATTCTTATCTTAATAGCGAGACAAAACCAATCATAATTATCAAGCCAAGTGGTAAGCTCGCCAAAGCTGTTACTGTAAACCTCGATTTGGTATGCGAGGCTGAAGCTTATAAACTTCACCGCTTCGCTCCTGATCGAAATAATTTACGAGAGTCTTGGCTTCTGGGAACCGATAAAAAGGATACCAACGAAACGCTCACACCTACTCCGTACTACAACAGTAGCGTACTCCGAGATCTCACTGCCAATGTCAATCAGGAATTCTTAAAGCAGATTATACTTAATAGTGAAAATTTAAAACAAGCCATTGTCTTACTCAAGATCTGGGTGAGGCAGAGAAAGCTTAAAGTGTCCGGATATATCATTAGTATGTTGGTAGCATATTTTGTTCAAAACAAGAGAGTTAACAACATCATGAGCAGTTACCAGATTGTGAGGAATATTTGGATTGCTTTAAGTGAGTATAACTATATAAAATTTTGTGGTAAATATTGTTACAATATGGCAACACTGTTGATACTTATGATATATAATATGTACTATATATAACTATGTATTAAATGTATTTTATGACATAACTCAATCATAGAAACTTATTTTTCAAACGCTATGTAATGAAAATATCTGGCATATAATATTTAAAAAATCATTAATTTAATATGTATCGAGAGCATTTTAAGATCCAAAATATAATAATTAATGATTATAAAATTAATATGTTAACTGAAGTGTTATTGTAATATATACCAATGGTATATATTTATTAGTATTAGTACATTAACTAGGGCTTAATTTCCTTGTACAAGCTGATGGAATAAAAATAAAAGTCTTTAAATTTATTTATTAGACATTACAAACATGAAAATAAAAACACCATATGTCTTTAATATATCTACATACTGTTTATATTTTACAGAATCTTCCGAATGGGATGTTAAAGGAATAACACTTTGCAAAGAAAATTCGTCATTAGATGAATATCACAACCATTTTCCCCTGGTTTTCCTTGATAAGACGGGATGCTATAATATATTTTGGGAATTATGCAAAGGGACCTACTACGCTTTGAGGAGAGAGAGTTGTCTGGCTATTGAGATACTTGATGATGTTAAAATTAACAGTTTCATTCCATTGTTCATGAAACCGATCACACCACTGATTCAATTTGACCATATAATTGGGTATGTTGTATTTTAGTATTGTATGAAAATTTATATATATAAAAGAAAGTTGTGTTAGTTACACTATTTATAATCAAGAACGGCTGTACGGATTTGAGTGAAAATTGCCAAAAAGTTAGGTAAGAACCAGGAGACAGACATAGCACATAGGATATTTAATTCTATTCAATCGAAAAAGAAAAAACAATATTTATAAATTCCAATATCTGATTATTTATGGCCTCTAGGGCAGAGTAGAGTTTGCCTGGTCAGCTATGCATTTAATATGAATGTAGAATTTAACGCGGACGAAGTCGCGGGCAAAAAATAGTTATATATAAACATACCAAACTTATTACTAATGTGACATGTTATTTAATATATTGTATTTTGTAAATTACAGTTTTAAAGACTTAAAAGCAGTGCAAGATGCTGTTATATCAAGAGCTGTAAGCACATCCAAAGCAAACTACGGCCTGGATCTTTTAACGATGGTTACAAATATACTATACGATTTACTGATGAAAGGTCTTGGACAGAGAGTGGATTTGGTTTTGCAACTAGTTGATCATGAATTCTCTTGGCCTATAAATAATGTTATGGAGAATGCTAAGAAAAATGGGTGAGTAGAAATAGAATGATACATATAGTACTAGCTGCGCCCCGCGGTGTTATCCGCTGATTTCCGGGATGTAAAGTAGCCTATGTGTTATTCCTGGACGTAAGCTTCCTGTATACAAAATTTTATCAAAATCAGTTCAGCCGTTTGAGCGTGAAGAAGTAACAAACACATACTCACAAACTTTCGCAATTATATTAGTAATATATGCACATTTATATGCTCTTATAATTTATTTTTGTGGGACTAATATTTTTCGGATGTACTACGCAATTTTTATTTTTGATTATAAACTACTCCCGCCTTTTTTTCTTTACTTTCGGTTACTTTACAGCAACCGTGATCACGGGCAGACGAGATGTGTTTGTCAGTTGTTCTTATTAATATCGATAATCGAATACTCGGGAAAATCTTAGACCTCATTAATTTGTGGGACTTATAATAAAAATTAATTTGTCTTAATATTAAAATACTACTTCATTCTCCTTTTGAGTATTTTCCATAACTTGTTGGTATATAGTTTTTTAATAATTAATAAATGTGTATTTAGGTATAAGGAGCTATTATCCTTTGGATTAATTCTGAATCCTGAGATGTTATCGAGTACTGTTGATAGAGGTCCCTCCGCTGACTTACCTGAAGCCGAGCAGTTCAGGTAAATATATTATTATGGAAATATAACTTACATTATATAAAAAATATTGTTTCACAGAAATTTGTTTATTGTATTTGTGATAAATATTCAACATAATCAGTGGTTTAAAAAGATTAGTCTCTGAGTGTTTTAAAAACAAACATGCGTTTATGTTTTTTTAAGATACTGTTGCTTCGAAGAGGCCACGAAAAAGGATTTATATTATACTAGCTTTCCACCCGCAGCTTCGCCCGCGTAGAGTTCAGTTATATCGCGTTTCCAAGAGAACCTTTCAAAATTCTGGGATAAAAAATATCCTGTTCTTTCTCAAGGTCAACTCTATGTCTGTATCAAATTTAATTAAAATCAGTTCAGTGGTTTAGGCGTGAAAGCGTAACAGACAGACAGACAGAGTTACTTTCGCATTTATGATATTAGTAGGGATTATTTTAGAAAATATGCTAATATTATTTAACATATTTTTTAACACTATCGTTTATATTTACGTAAAAATGTTTCAATATTTCAGGGATTTCTGGGGCGAGAAGTCCGAATTACGTCGTTTTCAAGACGGGTCAATAACCGAGGCGTGTGTTTGGGATGGCCAGGGGACTGTTCCTAAACAAATAGTTGACTACCTTATGAAGGTCAAATATGGTGAGTGACATCACAAATAGCTGTAACAGAGCAAGAAATAGAGAAGAAAACTTTGCCAATTGTATATAGTCTTTGTATTTATTGTGAGACTTATTGAAGTAGCTAGTGCTGCCATCTAAGATCATAACTCAATCTTCCAAAACATTCGTCTTAATTCAAGTCGAAGTTTTATATTACACATACGTTTTATTCCAATAATAAATCTTCATAATTTTTATTATTTACTAGAAGACCTAGCGAACTTCGTATCGCCCTATAATCAAGAAATATCTATTACGTTTTTTTATTTATATTTTTGGAGTTTACCTGTAAGCCATAAATCTCCGTGTTTTGAAGTGCGACAGAATGATTGACATATTAGTTAGTTGTCAAATCTAATGTCAAAAAAAACTTTTGTATGGGAAATAGAAAAGGGCTGTTTTTGTGGTTTTCCCAGTAATGAATAAATTTTTTTCAGCTTTTATACCTTCCCTGAACCGCCACGAACATTTCAAGACTAAGATAAGATAAATCCGTTCAGCTGTTCTCGAGTTTTAGCGAGACTAAGGAACAGCAATCCATTTTTATATATATAGATTATCAGACAACAAGGTCCACGTGTTATTTAAAGTACTTAAAAACCATGTCAGTATTTTTTGTTAGTAACAATTTAAAACTTATCGTCTATGTTAGTACTTAATCACTAAGAGCGATTTGATCCTATGTATGAGTATTTTCATCAGAGGACCATACCTCTTCCTGGAAATTATGAAAGCTTTTCTTATTAGACTAATATGCAAGAAAACAGGCTTATGACGATATTTCCTTATATTCCAGGCGTGTGTTCCGTGTTTCACTGGTCGCGCCTCCTGTCTCCGCTCGTCCCTTCATCATCATCATCATCTTCTGTTCGTTCATCAGCTGATGTTCTTCGGACTCGACTCGCGGACCTTGAACTACCTCTGGACATCAGCTCTGTACAAGGTTTTTAATGTTGCGAACACCTGGAATTTTGAACGAGATTTTAATATTTACTTATATTAAATTCGGTGTTGGCAATGAAATTGATACAGTTTTGAATGAGTCTTAATGTGATCTAATCTTTACTTTCTTACGACTCATTAAAGAAATTTAAATCTTCCAAAAATTCTAAGGGAAGTATATTGATTTTAAATTGCATACATTGCATCACAACACATTTAACACTATCTCTAATTTTAACTGCTATTAGCAATAAATCAATAATATTTGGACATTTAATTATGAGAATTACGCAAACAATAACAAAAAACTTTAAAAAATCTAGTATTAATGACAGATCCATTATATACCTGTTTCTTATACCTAGGTGTGTCGCCTGTGTTCAGTAGTACGGAGCCCGCCCCTCCACTGCGACACAGCGAGCATAACCCGCGACGCCGCGGAGACGCGAGCCTCATCAAGGACCAGGGGGAGTTCAGACTACCGCCCTACGTGCGCGCCAACACACTCATTATAGAACTGAGTTAGTTTTATATTACACTATTGGGTTATATTTTGTCTTAGAAAAGAAGAATATACTGGAAATATCTTTATAGTATACTTTTATTCTTTTTCTTCCTGGCAATTTCCCAACTTTAGCCAGGGTCTGCCTTACATGTTATATAGTTTTGGCTAATTATTTTTACGACCGCCTGCCTGACATCAAACCTCTTTGGGAATAGTATAGTTCAATAGTATAGTATATCTATTAATATCAAAAATGACTATCGTATTGAATTTTCTATTGCAGTAAATTCTAGCTCTGCAATATTCGTATGCAAACAAAATATTATTATTTAAATTAAACGATAATTTTTTGGATATACTACGTGACTTTATTTTTGATAAAAACTACATACTCCCGACGTTTCGGCTACTTTTCAGCAGATCACAGATCACGGTTTTTATCCAAGATAAAGTCGGGTATATCCGAAAAATATTAGTTGCATTTAAATATATTACACTATATTGATTTTACTACGTCTTAGAAAAAGAATGTTGCTGAAATATCCTTATAATATATATACTATTATTATCAAAAATTTCTACCGTAGTGCGTGCTAGCTCTGCATTAATATTATGAAAACAAAAAATTAGTTTTCTCATATATTTAATAATTTCCAATAGAATATATATTCATATGAGTTTATCATTACAGTTCACAGCGGTAAGTGGCCGGGCGAGCTTCAAGCGTTCCGCTGTCTGAAAGCAGCTTTTCACTTACAAATAGCTGAGAAGCTGAAAAGTCAATTCAATCTAGCGACACTGGCTAGGCCAGAATATCTAGATGTTTTGCAAGACGGACTAGTATTTAGGCTTAAAATAGCACATACTAAAGAAATCACATTATTAAGGAGAGAACTTGTGAAAGGAGTCGTTACCTTGAGGGAAACAGATGAAAGTTTACAACTATACTGCGATACAGTCATCATGCCTAAACTAAGAGGAGCTTTGCATGGGTGAGTGATAAAAAAAAGCTTAGACTTGGTCATGTTATGTCCAACGAGACAAGATAAGGAATGTAAACAAACTTAAGTAACCGATTATTTGGTGTCTATCAGTAATTATGTTTCATTAAAAATGGTTACTGTTATTGAGTTAAATATCAATGCAATTAATGGTTTAAGTAAATAATTGGATATAGAGAAGTTAAAAAATAAGATGATATCTATATATAGCTGTATATCAAATTGATACATCAGAGATTCAGTATTGGTTAGGTCTTATCAAATGAATACATTGAGCTTTAGGATTTATTCACGCACATTAAGATAAGATAAATATACTTTATTGTACACCGAAACAAAAAATACAAGAAGCAACACAACAAAATAGAAAACACGTTACAAAAGGCGGTCTTATCACTAAAAGAGCGATCCCTTCCAGATAACCTTTATAGCAACTTATTATAATATTTGTGCACATTATAATATAATAATAATCATAATTCCAGTCTCGACCGCCGTTACTCGGCCTTCGCCCCCACAGCGTGTCTGTTCAAGCGCTGGCTGTCCTCTCACCTCCTGCACGTCCCGGGGGCGGCGGCTGAGCTCCTGGTCGCATACATATTCCTGCAACCGGCGCCGCTCGTGGCCCCTCGCGACTACGACACAGGACTATACAGGGTGTTGACGCTGCTCGCACAACACGACTGGGGAAAAGATCCGCTTGTGGTGGACTTCAACGGAGATATGACCCGTGAGATCTATATATAGTGGTTTTTGAAAGATTTTTATGATCTGGAATTTTAATTTGACCTCAAAGAAATTTATTAAGTATGTAAAGATGGGCAACAATTGCCAGTAGCATATACAGTCATTGTCATTTGACTTTATACATTTAAGCCATGATCAATAGAAAACTATACGAATTTCGGGATAAATCATATCTCATATCCTATTCTGATATCCAAGCTGCAATACTGTAAATTTCCATCAAAATCAATTCATCAGTTTTCATATAGAACAGCTACAAACACGATGATATAAACTCATTTCTATCTTCAGGTGAGGAGATGTCAGAGTTAGAGACCAAGTACCGTGAGATCTCTCCTCGGCCGCATGTGTTCATCGTGACTCCGTTCGACGGGGAGTGTCCCGGGGCCTGTAGTGGGGGAATCGGACCGGAAGTGACGTCACGAGCGGTCACTTTAGCGCGGGCGGCGCTGGGACACGCGGAGGAAGCGTTACACATGATGAAAGACGATATATTGGTAAGGAGAAAGATCATAAGTCATTAATATATGATCGAGGATAGTGCAAATCGATAGTTAGCATTTAATTTAGTGTTTAATTTGTTACTAATTGTGAAAATATTATATTAAATGTCGTTAATATGGAAAATATTTTAGCTCAAACTTTCTTGTGATAATCTGCTTCCAATGAAGATACCCGGTAATAACGGTATTATCCAGTAGCAGTTACTCGGATTTGCACTATTCCTGACGATATGCCGTATGAATTAAATAAAGTAAAGTAATTAAATAACGTAAAGCGTATCTCGCTGCTGGGTATAGTACGTTTGATTTAAGCTGAGCTTTGCATTTGTGTGAGTGCACACGGATAATGTACGTGTGATGTAAAATCTTTGAACGCCACGTTTCTACGTTTTAACTAGTTTTTTCTGTTTTTACTCCGCCCCGCAATTTCCGCATTTCACCCTTTATAATGGTAGCAACGTCAAATGTTGAAAATGCAGTGTCAAGTGAAGAAGAAGTTGTATAGTTTGTTTCAAAATTTTTATTAATTAATATTTTTTTTCTATAATATTCATAATATTTCAATCTGACCTTATACAAGTTTTGCTTTTTTATTTTTAATCTAGCTTAGCTCTATCATTTATGTTTTTTTAACAACTTTTACAATCAAATTTTATATTATAATACTAGAAGACCTGGCGAGCTTCGTATCACCCTATAATCAAGAAATATCTATTACGTTTTTTTATTTATATTTTTGGAGTTTACCTGTAAGCCATAAATCTCCGTGTTTTGAAGTGCGACAGAATGATTGACATATTAGTTAGTTGTCAAATCTAATGTCAAAAAAAAACGTTTGTATTGGAAATAGAAAAGGGCTGTTTTTATGGTTTTCCCAGTAATGAATCAATTTTTTTCAGCTTTTATACCTTCCCTGAATCTCCACAAACATTTCAAGACTAAGATAAGATAAATCCGTTCAGCTGTTCTCGAGTTTTAGCGAGACTAAGGAACAGCAATCCATTTTTATATATATAGAAGATTATAAAATTTGATTGTAAAAGTTTTTTGTCTCTATGTTTACTTTCACTCACACAAATGCAAAGCTCAGCTTAAGTCTAACGGACTATATTTAATTCAATTAGATTGAAATATATGGGGTTAACTAATATACGAATTGAAAATATAACTAATCAACTATACATTAGGTAGTTTATACTTTGTGATTTAATTTAATTATTTTTATTTCCCAGGGCCTATTCATCCCCTCCCTAGTAGGTTATGATGTCATCATTCACCTATTTCCGTCCCTAGTACCTCTCTACTCACACCGTGTAGGCGCCAACCGTTTACAACCAGTTAACGATGACCCCGGCTCCGCTGAACTTATACCAGTGGTTGAGTTTAACCCGGTTGAGTTATATTTGGAAGAATTAAGAGTGAGTTAAATCCTATCTTATACATTTTAGTATATTTCTGAGCTGTTCTTTTGGTCTTCTACTTCTTCTACCTGGCAATGTCCCAGCTATAGCCAGGGTCTGCCTTACATGCTGTGAATAGTTTTGGCTAATTGTTTTAACGACCGGCCGCCTGACATTAACCTTTTTGGGAATGCATTAATCAGTGATGTCTAAATACTCTTACAAAGTACATATGACTCGGTACAATCACATTGGTACTTGCCAGGATCGAACCCGCGCCCTCGTGCATGAGAGGCGAGCCCTTTAACCACTAGGCCACCACTGACTAGATATGTACCTTATATAATTGATCAGTTTTTATTTCTTACTTTTATATCTTACAGAGCGCATATGATGAATTCGCGGTGTTTTTCAACGACCCGTACGGTGGTGACGTCATCGCTGTTCTTTGGAGACCCTCCGTAGAAGAGGAGCGACAGCTAGAGGTAACGATAGATATATATATATATATATATATATATATATATATATATATAGTCTCAATAAGTAGTGTTGTGGATTTATATAAAGATCTCGGAAATTAAGCTTTATACAAAACACAAATATTGTGTATGTGTAATGCGACATGCAACAGATAGATAAAACAGTTTAGACCGTAGACGGTATATTTAAAGAAATCTTTAAAAAAGGAGAAGAGATTTTAAAAAATATTTTAAGTGTATCAGTCTGTCAATATTGTAAAAATGTTCTGTTTATGTTAAATAAGTGGCGAATAAAAAACACATTTCTAATATCTTAAATATTTTATTTTATTTGGCAGGTACTCAACGCAAACGCATTAAAACCTGTGAGTGTCAAAGAGAACTCTTATAAAGTTAACTTGGACGCTATAGTTGAAGACTTTAAAATACTTGGCAAAGGACTTGTTAAAGAAATTGTTGTTAATAATAATTAAATATTATATGACGTACATACATTTTTTATTTCTACCTTACATTTGACAAACTTCTTATGTCCTGTATACAATAAATTGAATGTTTTATCAATGTTTATTTCGTATATAAATAGAAATTTATTTATGTTTGTTAGTATTCTAACACCAGCCTGCTTCATCAAACAGTTGAAAATGTTATCTTGACATATACTACGAAACTTATATTAATTATATATTAGTATTTAGTATAACGACACATTAGTATTTAATATAACATATCATCATTTATCATAGATGTTAAGTTTAATTTCTTAAAAGAATAACTATTCTTAATGTACCTACGTTACGGCTGAATTCTCAAATACAGATTATATTACACACAACATGACATATGTCAAATATTAAAGACGCTACTAGACATCGACATATACTAATGGACATGCCCTAGAGATGAGAATTGTGGCACTCCGAAAGAAAGAGAGGAAACGAAGTTTCGGTCTATCTTTATATCTCTCAAAATAATACCGTATTTAAGACGTTATGAGCCCCTTCTGGATAATTTATATGCTGTGCTTGTCATGAAAACTGTGCGCCAATCATCTATGATGAAAGAGATAGTGCTAGACCGAAAGCATAGGCCATCTCTCTCACTCTTTTCAAACCAAAAAATTACTGCAGATTATACGCGTACGGCATGTCCATTAGAATATGTATGTCGATGCTACTAGACATATCGTCGGTGATAGTACAAATCCACGTAACTGGCATTGGATAATTCCACGTATCTACATAGGAAACAGTGGTGCGAGCACGGTTCTTTATGTCGACTCTTATCGAGGCATTTATCGATGTTTTTGACATTAGATGTAGATATAACAACATTGGTAGCATCTCAATTTTGTGGAGTTATGTCTACACCTCGATAAGATCGACATATGTAGTTTATCGAATTCTGTCAATTTTAAATTACAATGTCGGCATGGTTCTTATTTTTGACAGTTGTCATTGATATACATATTTTCGTTAAACTTGTCTACACTTTAAAGTTGGTCGATGGAGAAATTCGATATAAAAAGGAAGTGAATTTCAAGGAAAACCTGAAAAATTGACTTTGGGGATATTATTGTTTTGGAGACAGAGGCCGCGATGAACGAAGAATTCATCGGCGGAATCTCCGAGATCGAAGTAACCCCTTCGATTTAGGAGATGAAGAATTCCGTATATACTTTAGAATAAATAAGGAAATCACTTTATTTTTTAACTGAGTTCAATGAAATGATGAAAACCACACTTAGTGCATAAATGAATAGCCAAATACGAATTCTGTTGGAAGTATTATCAGAAATTACGAATTTTTCATACAAACTCGACCCCGTTTTTTTCTTTTTGGGGGGGAATTTCCAAAAAACCCGAATTACGCTGGTCTTATTTCTTGACTGAATAGCTAAATAAGAATTTTCTTAATAAATGAAACAAAAACGCATTAACTTTTATTCCCCCTTTTTTACATGTAAGGGGAAATTTAAAAAAAAAACGTATTCTAGTCTTCCTTAGTTTTTCTTATGTTTTTATTAATAGGTATTATGTTATTTGCTGCTAGGAAACCCTTCATGGGCGAGTCCGACTCGCACTTGGCCGGTTTTATTAAGAGACTAGCTTGACACCATCGAGTGCCAACAACATATGGTTAATTAAATTGCTATATACAAAAATTTAATAAAGGAGAGAGCTGGCAACATTTATGAACGACGGATGAATGATAAATGAATGAAATATATTATTTAACTGACGTTGCCAATTTTTACATCGATAAAATAAAGCGCTCGACAAGCCTCGATAAACATATCGAAGCGAGTTCCATACTACCATCCCTCGTTAAAATTCGATAAGCATATCGATTTATCGTCTCGACATGTTTATCGATCAAAGATCCGTGCTCGCACCACTGATCAGAAGAAAGTTTAAGATGAATAATAAATTAAACAGTAAATAATTACTATTTGTGAAAAAAAAATACCTTCAAAGTCGTTAATATACAAAATATTTTATCTTAAACTTTCTTCTGATAACCTGCATCCAATGTAGATACGCGGAATTATCCAATGGTAGTTACGCGAATTTGCACTATCTCCGACGATATGTCAAATATTAAAGATGCAACACGACATATCTCATATATAATCTGTGTTATATTATACAATGGAGTCGTTACTCCTCACGAAGTACGGCAGAGTGTCAAGCGACGCGGGGTAGTCTCTGAGCCAGTCCCCGCCCGGGTACACCCGGACCGGGTCGTCCTGGGCCCGCCACGACCCCGCGGGCAGGTACACGTCCCTCACACGAGCACCCTTCACTAGTACCGGCGCTACGAGGATGTCTTCACCTAACATGTACTCTGTATAACAATAAAAGACATCTTGTTAATGTTTCTAGTATATAGGGACTTAGATTGTTCAGAGACTAAATACAACGATCTTCTACCTTGCAATATCCTAGCTATAGCCAGGGTCTGCCTTAGATGATGTGAATTGTTTTTACGACCGGCCGCCTGCCTGACATCAACCCTCTTTGGGAATGCATTAATCAGTGATGTCCAAATACTCTTAGAAAGTACATTTGACTCCGAAAAATCACATTGGTACTTTGCCATGGCCAGGATCAAACCCGTGCCCTCATGAAAGAGAGGCAGAACTTTTAACCACTAGGCCACCACTGACTTGGACTAACGATATTTGTATTTAATTATCTTAGATTTAATGATTCGATTGCTTGCCAGCGGCCGTTATAAGTAGACTATATGCAGATGTTTAGTTTTTAATATTATATATATAAAAGGTAATGAGATCTAAGATTCACGAATATTCATTTGAATGAAACTAATATTTTACGGAAATACATACAACGAGTATTTAATTTTTTCATCTCGTCTGCCAGTGATCACGGTTGCTGAAAAGTTACCGAAAGTACTGAGTACGTAGTTTCTCTACCAAAATAAAGCTAGCGTAGTATATTCGAAAAATATTAGTTTCATTTAAATATTATAAAGGTTCACGTAAGGATATTATTGTATGTCTCACCATCCCATATCTCCTGTGCGGTTACATCACGTGGCGTCACCCACCACACCGGCGTGTTGACCGGACTGCCCGCCGTCACCGCTCGGCGACACGCTGCTATTATTGCCGGAGCGTATTTCGCGTGAAGATCGATAAACTTTTTGCTAATGGCGATCGTCTGTCGAAAAAGTTATTTAAACATATATTAAAGTCCGGTCAAATTAGACATTCGAGGTTACATAAATTCCCACCAAGCTGAAAATCTGTAAGATTGTTTGAAATTTGAAAGTTTCCCCTGTAGGGAAAAAATTTTGTTCAAGTTCAAAGATAAACAAAATGAGTTTTTCGCGATTTTCAGCAAAACGGTAAATTTTATCATAAAAATATCTCAGGCAAAAATTGTAGATCATAAAATTATCTACAAAGAATTAATTAATACTTTTTTTCTACGAGCCACCGTTTAACCAATCTTGCCGATTTTCAGCTTGGTGGGAATTTATGTAACCTTACTGTTATTATTTGGTCTAATTTAACCGGACTATTATATTTATATTAAATATTTTTTTCAGTAATATCCTTTACTTTGATAAAATTAATAAGTTATTTTATCATAAATGTTGAACACACAAAGTATTTTTAGTTGTAAAATGATTACCTCGTTGTCAAAGTCCCACGGTACGTAGGAAAACTGCATGCTTGGCATGAATGTGTTGGCCTGCAGCCAGCGTATGAAGAGCTCCTTGGTGGGAGGGGCGTCATATCCGTTTCCTCCGATCATGTCGGGTAGCACTAGCGGGTAGCCGTTCAAGTTCATCTGAAGCAGAGTCGTGAGTACAGTGGGCAAACCATTCTCGATGGTCCAGTACGAGTCCTTGTCGATCATTCTTACGAACACGGGAAGGTCCTGAGTTCTGCGAATGATTTATTTCATATATTACAAATTTCCCTTCTTTGATAAATATTCTTCAAGATTATATATTCTCTATACCTGTAACCTGATCGTACTTCAACTAGATCTCCGAACTGAGCTACTGTTCTGACGTAATCTTCTGTGATGCTGGTGGGTTGCTCTAGAATATTGCCGTTTAGGACTGGAATCTGAAATGTCGTATATCCATTAAGAAGTGGATTTTTATTTTTGGTTCTTTAAAAATTACATGGTTTCTATATATGTATTTAATTCAACTTATTGTTATTAACAAACCTGAGGGGACCAGCTCGATTCCCCAGCATCAAACTTAAAGCTGTCGATTCCATAAGATTGCTGAAGTATCTTCAATCTATCGACGTACCAGTTGCGAGCCTCTTCATTTGTGAAGTCAATGTAAGCAGTGGTTGTACCGTTATCGTTCCACCAGCTAGTTTCTGCTGAACCAGACTCAGACATCACTAAATACCTGTAATGATTTTCCTTAATTCAGTTTTGTATCTTTATTCCTCTTCCTGTTATATAAAAATAAATATATAGTCATTTGAAAATATTATCAATTACATCTTACCCGATATACTACGCGACTTAATTTTTTATAAAAACTACATACTCCCGACGTTTCGGTTACTTTACAGCAACCGTGATAACGGGCAGACGAGATGTGAATATCTGTCAGTTGGTCTTGTTATTTTATCATCTACCGCCATCGATTTCTTAATTTTCTGGCGTACGCCAAATAACTCGCGAAAATCTCAGATCACATTATACAATCTTACCCTTTGTTTTTGGCTTCCGTATACCAGGGCTCACAGCCTTTGTTAATAAATGGATGCGTCCAAAGAGTTACACGGAATCCTTTGTTTTTAAGAGCCTCGACGGTGCTCTTCATGTCGGGGAAACGCCGCTCGTCCACTGTTTGAGAGCCGTAACATTTTTCCCACAAATCATCAATTTCAATATGACTGTTAGGAAAACCATATCCAGCTATTTCATCAGCAAACTTCAAAACGACCTCGTGGTTAATGTTTCGTTTGTATCTGGCCCATGTTGACCAGATCGGGTACGTTAACATTCTCTCATCGGGATATCCTTTAGGTTTCTTCATAATTACATCAACAGCGTACTCATGGGCCTGCCTTACATCGTCGAATATACCTATCACGTAATCCAAATCGTTGCGATTCCTCCGTTTCGTGTAAGGAGGCTTAACTTCAGCTATAAAACATGCTGCGTTTTTGACAATCGTATTTTGATCAACGAATAATGGTACATTTCTGTCAAAGAAGAAGAAAATTCCGCTTGAACTGAGCCAATATGGTTCTGCGACACCGCAATTATCTGCTTCTTTCGTTATATAAGAGTAGTCTGGAAGAACGAGCTTCTCGATCGGCCAAAATTGACGCTTTTGTTGAGGTCCACCGTACCAATGGTTTGTATCTAAAAATACGTATTATCTTAAAGCGAATCATAAGGTTTATTAACAATAAAAAGTTATTTATCTTTCGAATACCTAAATTAATGCAGTCTCCTAATCGTATATTATTTGGTGCTTCCCAGTCCACTAATATGACAACCCCTTTCCTTGGTTGCATAACGTTCCTAGCTGTTATTTTGACCGAAGTGTTATTAGTGAATTTGATAGCAACATTATTTAAGCGTGGATTAACTTCGATTACAGGGCCCGTAAAATAGCCTATTACTGAGAGCACGGATGAAACACCTCCTGTAATAAAATAAAGTTCAATTTCAGTAAAAAATAATTACTGTAATACTAACCCAATATTTATATTACGTTTTTAATTATATTATTACTATTTTAAACGGCAAATTATTCTCTATATATATTTAAAGGAATCGTTTCATTTATTTTGTGTTCAAAACTGTTCCTATTACAATAATTAAGTATAAGTTTAGTAACCTACTTCTCTCTGATATAATATTAATGCCTCCGTTAACATTCTTCTCCAAACTCAATCGTAACCCCGGCTGATTCATCAGAGTGATTTTGTTTGATGAAGCGAAGGATATCGCCACGGAAACTGTAACGAAATATAAAACCGTAACATCATCTATAGTAGCAATATTATTAAAAGCATTCAACTTCTTTCAATAAAATAATGCGTTACTAAGAGGATCAGTAAATCCGTAATATTTTTTTTTTGTCGACATTTAAAAGCCGTACTTTGAAGATTGATTCTAGTTATGGAAATATAAATATAATTCTATTTACTTACTGAACAACCATCGTAACATGGTTTCTCTTCACTACTAGTGCTGTGTTTGTCTTTAGAGCTTGGCTTTATGTTAGTTTTGTTTACTTGTGTTGTGTATGACGCATTCATTATTAAGATGTGTACACATTGACCGATTATTATATACTCGAAAAATTGTCGTCTAATAGCTTAAAAGCTGTAAAGCCAATGAAATAATTACGAATTTTATATTTGGTTTCAATTTTACAGCTGTCTTATAGCTGAGTTTTGAACTACTTTTATGTATAAGTCATTTTTTTTGTTAACAATACCAATTAGTTTTTATTTGCTCCATTCGTAAAACTAAGCCAATTTAAATGGAATCATCGTGCTAACCAAGACAAGAAGGTTTCTTATTTATATCTTTGTCCAAATATAATATCTTTGCAAAATATTATTAACACTATAAGTTGCAGTCACAATAATATAAAACTCCAAGTCGTTGTATGAAGACCTCTTATTGATTGAAGATTAGAACGATCTCCAGTCTCCTGTAGCTTTCATAAACAAACACTCGAGATAACGAGATGTATAAACACTTATAGAACAAATTAATTATTAATGATAATAATATAATGTCAATTATTGTCAACGTCATAACGAAAAACTTTGTTAAATATAAGTGAAAATTAACAAAAAGCAAAGCTTAGAAACTAATGATTGCTTTAGTATTTTTCCACCGTCTAGGTATATGTTTTTTATCTTTTATACGTAGAATAGTGTTAATTTTAATTTATTACATTCATAATCTCCGTAATTACATTATAAGTGATTGTCTTATAATTTGTCTGTCATGATAAAGTGTCGTAAAACATTCATTTTTTCTATAATTTTCTCTTGAACTGTCAGATTTAATTATAACTTAAGTATGGGATGTAACATCATAATTCCTCTTTCGTAATTAATGAATAAAACAATCGCGTCAAAGTATCTTAATATAATCGATTAATTAAATAGATTGCGAATGATAAATCGATTAACTGGGTTGTGACTTGCGTTAAACCTTGTTTGTTTGAAAAAAAACAATCTTTATTTTAATTATTTATTATCTGTTGTGAATGTCACACTTAAAATATGCTCTAGTTATATTAAAAGACAACGATATTGAATAGTTATTTTTAATAAGGTGTTAACTTTTTAAGCTTATTTTATGGTTATAAACTATGTAAATCTAATAAAATAAGATTTGATTGGCGATAATTGCTGCAAGGATTAAGAAAATTGAGGCGAGTTGGATGCTCGAGCCACTGGGTTCTTCTGGTTCTCTCACGAAGTAGGGCAGCACGTCGATGGGTGCGGGGAAGTTCCTGATCCATACTGGACCCTCAAACACCTTCGCAGGGTCTCCTTCTTCCAACCAACGACCCGAAGGAAGGTAGATGTCTCGAGATGTCGCCCCTTCATTGAATATTGGAGCCACTATGATATTTTCACCCAGAAGGTACTCTGAAAGGATATTTCATTTATTATTGCTTTGTAAATTTTTGAAAACTCGTATTTAATAAAAAATGTATTCTGTAAATGCTCTGACTGTATACAGGGTGACTGGTGAATTACTATCGATACTTGAGGACGTGATATTTGACGATCATATATGACAAAATAAAAATTAATATAACGTAAATACTAATAAACTTCTAAGTAAAGTTAACCAAAAGTTATGTAATTAATTACGCATCGTGTGAACACCCTACAGATTAGGTATACACAAACACGCGCGTGCGGTGGCGTGGTGTTGTATCAGCACGCCGCCGCACGCGTCCACACTTGGAACACTTGGAACGTGTCCACACTTTATTTATTTATACGGAAATTGGGTCAAAAATTAAGTACCTATTTTTTTTACATAATTCGAATGAGAATCATGTTCCGAGTATTCTCCTTAAATATTGATAGTAATTCACCAGTCACCTTGTATAATAAATAAAAGACTGAGGTCCTACGAGGTGAAACCTCTCAGCATTCCATGGATTCCAGTCCATCGTTGTAGTGAGAGGAGCTTCAACAGTCACTGGGACTTGTGACCCAGGTGTAGGTTTATTTACAGCTGAGTAATGTAATACAGAGGCTTATTATAAATGAATGTCACCCACGATCCCAAATAGTGTAAGTCTGTTCGTTGTCAGGGTCGATCCACCAGAGCGGTCCGTTGACCGGCGCCCCGCTGTCCACGGCCGCCTGCATCGCGTTATACACATCGTGCGCGTGCGCAGCGTGAAGCTCCGTATACTTACGACTTATAGCTAACGTCTGGGGAATATGGATATTATTGAATTAGATGTGAATTATTTTATTTTAGTTTACTAAGACATTAGAAATGTACAAAATGTCAGCTTCTTTTAATAGTTTTTTGTTATTAATACCTAAAATATGTAACTATAATAAGTTATAGGAGTCGATTTTAAGTACGGATTACATAAATAAAAAATATATTAAATTATATTATAAGAATTAATGATTAAAAAGAATGAAAATACGAGTTTGAAACTATTAAATAAGATGTCACCACATTAGATAAAACGAGATTTGTTTTACTTCTGTTTAGATATTGGTAGTTTGTTAAACTAAACATTCTCATGTTATAACAGCTATATATCACCTCATTATCAAAATTCCACGGCACATACGAGTACTGCATGACTGGTAAGAAGGTATTCGCTTGCACCCATCGTATGAATAACTCCTTGGTGGGTATATCGGCTTGTGCGTGGTTCAGGTTGTACCCGTTACCACCGATCATATCCGGCAAAACAAACGGATAACCGTTAAGATTCATCTGAAGAGTCGCTGTCACGATTGTGGGGAGACCGTTGTTCATACCCCAAATGGAATCCCTGTCTACCATGCGAACAAATATAGGAAGGTCTTGGGTCCTGAAAGAACGAGATAGTAAATAAGTTTCAACTTAATATGGACCATTTAGCACAATATTCGTTTGTGAATGCATATCGAAATGAGAGATAAAATAATGGATATATCTATAAATATTTATAATAATGATTGTTTAAACAGATCTAAGACTTTTGCGATTATTCATTTAAATGAAACTAATATTTTTCGGATTGTACATACAATATCTCGTCTGCCCACGATCCCGCTTGCTGAAAAGTATCCGAAACGTCGTTAGTATGTAGTTTAAAATAATAAAATACGCGTACATAGTATAATCCGAAAAATATGAGTTTAATGTAAATGATTGTTTATTATATTATAAGTATCGTAAGTACCGGAAAGCAGATCGGACTTCAATCATATCTCCGAACTTTGCGCAGGTCCGGACGTAGGCGTCGACTATGTTGTGAGGGTGAAGATTAATGTCTCCTTGTTGGACGGGAATCTGTAAATATTATAATGCTCTTTGACTATACAAGAAAATCTATTTCAGTTTATCTTTTGACAATATTTTAGGTTTATGTATTTGTTGTTTCTCCTATAAAAGTGTAATGTTAGCATTATTTTGTATCTAGTGTTTTTTAAGCGTTATATATTTTCAGATTTACTTGCGTATATTGATAATGAGTCGAGAATTAGAATATCTTACAGTAATCAAGTTTATGGATACACAACGAAAGAATGATTGAATTATTTTGGGAAAAAATAGCTAGAATTCAATAAGTAAAGAAGTTTAAAATAATACAAATTAAGAATTAAGGAATCACTATTCATATTATACTTTGGCCAAATTAAACATAGACATATATAGTATGCAAATTAATCTACCTGTGGTGAAAAACTGCTCTCTCCAGCATCGAATTTAATGCTGTCTATATCATAAGTGTCGAGTAGGTTCCTGACTCGTGAGTACCACCACTCAGCTGCCGCGGGGTTCGTGAAGTCTACCAAGCCTGGTTCTGAGCCGTTGGTGTTCCACCAGTTTGCTTTAGCAGTGCCAGCCTCATCGAGTACTAAGAATCTGAGATTAAGACAATTCCATTTATTTTGCTACACACATATATTACATAGATTATATAGAAGAAAATAATTAAATTTAAAGAATACAGTGTAGGAGTTCATCTCAGTATAAGCTGTGCTAATGCACAGCACTGATTTTCAGATGGCCCCTGACTATTCCGGGCGCTGTTATTAGCTCACAAAGATTTCGTATTATCTAATGTTTTTAGGGAAAATTAAAATATTTGTTTAATAATTGTTTAGAATATATGTATATCTATATTAAAATCATTGTATAATTATCAAGACTGTAATAGGATCTTTCTCATTACGAACATAATTGATGATAACTGACCTAGACAATTGAATGATTTCATTATTTCTTATGAAACTATTTATAAAGAATTCCGGATGTACATAAATGGAAAATAATGATGGTTCGAATTTGCATATTCTGTGATTATGCTAAAATATTCTATTTACTCACCCATTGTCAAGAGCTTCAGAGTACCAAGGATTGCAATTACTATTAATGAAGGGGTGGATCCAGATTGTCACGCGGAAGCCTAAAGCTTTAAGGCTCTTCACTAAATTAGTCATGTTCGGAAACTTGACAGTATCTACTTCGAAGGAACCGTAACATGTCTCCCATAGATCATCAATTTCTATTTGAGAGTTATTGAAACCGTTGGCAAGTATTTGTTGAGCGAAATCCATGACCTTCTCCTGTGTAATATTTTGTGAATATTGAGCCCATGTGGACCAAATCGGATGTTCTACCATTCTAAAATCTGGTAAGTCGGATGGTTTTCCCAAGTAGTTCGCAACCGCGTGCTTGTGTGCTTCTTTAACATTAGGTAGGAACCAGATGTCGTAGGTCAGTTCAGTGTGGTTCCTTTTAGTTGAATATGGATCAGCTATTTGAGCACCGAAGCAGATGTGATTGGGATAGATCTGGTGATAATCAACAAACAACGGAACTTGTGGATGAACATATATATATTCTCCCGCTGAGTTCAGCCAATATCTCTCAACTATCGCTCCATTGTCGTATTCTTGTGAAATGTAAGCACTATAATTTTGCTGACCAGCCTCGAGCGGGTAGATCTGGTTAATTTGCATTTTTCCACCATACCAGTGTTTGGGACCTCAAAAAATAAAAGATAATTTTAAACATCAAATTGGATAACAGCGTGACACCATTATATACACTTTTTCTAGCATCCTCATTCAAATTTTTGAAAACATAATTACCAAAATCAAAACAGTCCTCGAACCGTATGGTATCTTCAGTGTTCCACCTGATCTTTATTCCCCTGGCTTGAGCTCGTTCATCAGCGACTGTGTGGATAGTAAGATCAACGTTGCCCATTTGTATTAACACTCCTCCCTCTATGTTTTCAGTGGTAAATGCTGAATACAGGGTGCGTCCGATGTGGCCATACACTATTCTTTCTTCATCTAAATATACAAATAATATTATTATTGAACTATAATATTTATCTATTAATATAGTAAGTATATATAGAATAATAGAAAAAAACACTTTCTGAATTTGTTACATTTTATAACTATTTCGACAAACAATTTATATTCACCTTTATTATATTTACATTTTTTGTATATCAGTGTTTTACTGATCAGTTAAAGAAAAATCTAGAAATGAGTTTTTTTTCTTTAGACATGTCGAAGTCAGATAACAAATGTATCAGAGTGGTAAATTCATGATTAAAAAAAAAATGCGAGATAATATTGTTACTGGTACATATTATTGCAATGCAAATTTAATATTTTCAGTTTGATCTTGGCTTGTATAGATAAAGATGATATATATTTTGAATTGATAGAGAATGTCAGATACATTCAACATTATCGTGAAATGTAAGAAATGAAATTAAAATAACCATGTTCAGTTAGCAACAATTTTGTTCGTGGCATCATTAGTGATAGTTTTTATTTGAATTTACGAGCTTACCTTGTGTGAGAACTACTAAGAATCCTCCAGTAATTTGAGGTTCCAATGTGATCTCAACATCATCAGCTCGGAGTGAGAGGTCCGCGGTAAACACACGAGCACCCAACGTAAGCACTCCTGTTGCCAAAAAATTATAATAATTATTGTATTAAAATAATCAAAATCAACTTTATACCTGAAGATTTTGGTATCTTAGTACTAATGAAAGTTTTGTCGTGCATATTTAATCTAAAAATGTAATGTTATTTTACTAAATATACAAAATATCTAGTTGTTTTACCTAAAACTATCCTCAAGGCGGCCATCGCACTTGAAACTGTATCAGAAACTGAACTTGTAACATTTCTTTGTTACCAAATAGTTTTATCTCTTATCAATCTTGGAGATTTTTTCTGAAAACTTTAGATTACGTCTTATCTGTCTGATCACTGAAGTAGACCAGAAGTGGTAGGTATTTTATCTATTACTTATTGTTCTATTGATTTACATATAAGTATAAACATATAGTGAAATATTTATGAATAACTAGTTTTTGCTCGCGACATCGTCTGAGTTAATTTCGGAATTAGTAATGTATGTATAGCTGACCGGGTGAACTCTATTCCGCTCAAGAGGACATAAATAAGAAAATATTGGATTTCGATCAAACGGACTTAAATATCCTATATCCGTCTCCTTGAATTTTCACAACTTTCTTTTATATATATAATTGTATATTTTATTTACTATTTAAAGTTCAGTAAAAATATACGTATAATGGTAATAAACATATTTAGTGAAAGAAATTGAACAACCCAACGCTACGAACCCTAATACTTGTCAAACATTCGATGCAAAATACTTATTTGAAACTGGATTCAATCTTATTATTTTAGTGTTTATACTCGTATAATACTTAAGGTGAACTCAAACTTTTAGGGAAATTACGTTGTGCAAGTGATGCTGAAATATTTGTTTTTTAACTAGCAAAATACATTATACATTGAATGCCTGAAGTTTTTTTCACAGCAATATAATAGAGTCATAAAATACTTACAGCAAATCATTAAAACAAATAATCTCTTCTGTTATGTTCGTTCGTTTGATAGAAATATTCATATGATCACAACGAGATAAATGTCATTCGAAATTGAAACTACCTCCATATTATTAGTAATAGCAACATACATTCTGAGGTTTTTATTTCTTAACTACCTCTATAACTTAATCCTGAAAGAAAATTATCACATTCAAATATCCAGACATCATTGAGTTGTTTTAACTATTTTAATGCCTTAAACTTTTATCTAAACCATATTCATTAATATTTTTTGTAATTTTATGGTTCCAATTAACTTTTAGGAATCCAAAAAGTCTGTTCAGAAAACTACAGTATTGGAATAATAATAAAAGTTATGATTTAGGGTTATAAATTATTGTTAAAATCATCTCTAAAATAAATAACTAAAATTCTAAGAGTTTATTTAGACGAACCGACTTAAAAGGAAACAATGAATCGACAACATCTTTTATAATAATATTTATTATTCTTGACACAATCAACAAAAAATGAAAGCGTATTTACAATTTAAATGTTCAGTGGTTTGACAAATTATGTTTTTGTAAGTTAGTTGTGTTTTTCTTCTAAGACGAAGTATGGCAACACGTCAAGCGGCGCGGGGTAGTCCCTCAGCCATTGTGGGCCGGTGATCATCTCACCAGTATTACCGTCCCTCCACAGACCTTTGGGCAAGTAGATGTCTCGAGACACCGCGCCCTCCTCTAACACAGGGGCCGACAATACACTTTCGCCTAGTAGGAATTCTGAAAGTATAGATATTTAGTTTAATACAATTCTTTTAGAGGAATAACAATTATGAAATCTTGTAAGGAAATATTTTAGGGTATTTCAAGAAATGTTTTTTCTATGAAAAAAAATACAAAATATTCCTTTCCTTTCTCGTTTTGTTTTCAATTAGTTAAAGTTTCTTTGGTAGACGTTTCTGGCCATGGCTCGTCATATATAATTTCTGTACTATAAATTAATATGTCAGAGACATTTTTCAAATAATGTTCATCCTATACCTACTACAGTCTAACCAAGACGTTGTTTGTGAGAGTGAAATTGAATCGATCTTTCATGTTAGAAATACGGATAGTTTCTGAACACCATAAAACTTGGAACCCTTATACAGATAAGGGTTGTAATGTACAGACATTAATCATATTTACACAGTCTCTTTGGTAACAAATAGTTAACCAATCTTCCCTTAATGTTTCTTATAGTAGATAATTGTATATTCACCATCCCAAATCTCCAAGGCGTCTTTGTCTTGAGGGTCAAGCCACCAGATGGGTGCATTCACCGGTTCCCCGCTCTCAACCGCCGCTGACATAGCTTCCAAGATGACTGGAGAGTATTCTGCGTGTAGTTGGGTGTAGCGACGACAGATCTCAACCGCCTGAACAAAAGAGGTGATAGAGGTACTCATAGCTTTATTAGTTTTAAATGAAAAATAAATTAACACATAAACATGCAGATTGGTTACGAATTTTGGATGTTTTTGAAAGGTATTTTAATTACTATTTTATATCTATGTCATTTCGTGCAAAATATTCAAGGTACCATTATGACGTAATGTTAACAATTATGATATACCTAAAAGTATACTAATACATGAAATTGTCAAATAAATGTATATAAGTTTGAAGTTTTATTTGCATTTCTGTATACTCACTTCGTCATCATGGTCCCAAGGGACGAACGAGTATTGCAGCGTGGGCATGAACACGTTAGCTTGTAGCCACCTCACGAACAGTTCCTTGCTGGGCTTTTCATTGTATCCGTTGCCTCCGATCATGTCGGGCAGCACCAGGCCGTAGCCGTTCATGTTCATTTGAAGCAGAGTGGTGACCAAAGTCGCAAGACCGTTGTTGAAGTCCCATAAAGTATCCTTGTCCACCATACGAATGAACACTGGCAGGTCTTGAGTTCTGGATAATAGTTATTATTTAAGTTCCCTGTATATCTGGTGTTATGTAAATATTTGACTAATGTATCGTACCTCATTCCAGATCGAATTTCAATCATGGGACCGAACTGGGCGACCGTCCTCACGTAAGATTGTACGATGTGACCTGGGTGAAGTTCTATGTCTCCATTTTGTACTGGAATCTGTAACAAATATAGAATAAAATATAAATGTAAGACTTTTGAGAATATTTATGTAAATAAAACTAAAATTTTCGGATATACTGTTCGTTTTATATTATTTTAATCTTGTCTCCAAGTGAGCACGTTTGCTGCAAAGTAATCGAAACTTCGAAGTATGTTTGTAGTTTAAAATAACTTTAATATGTAGTTAATCAGAAATCATTAGTTTTATTTAAACAATTTTAAGAAAGCGACGAAAATATATATGCATTTATATAATGCATTGAGGATATGTTTTAAATAATATTATGGATCATCTGAACACGTTCTCTTTCAAATTCTGTCACTTTGTAGTAAATGAGAACTTGAAAGGAATTACCATTGCTAATTTTTAGATATTTAATATTTCCAACGACTTTATATTTAAGTAACACTAAAGTCTCTTAAAACCATCGAAGCTCCTATCATTTTGCTGTACTAAAAAACCAATTTTCTGTTAACCTGAGGGGACCAGCTCGACTCTCCGGCGTCAAACTTCAAGCTGTCGATGTTGTACGTCTCAATAAGGTTTCTGACCCGGGAGCTGTACCACTCGGCAGCCTCAGGGTTGGTGAAGTCGATGTATCCGGGAACAGAGCCGTTGTTGTTCCACCAGCTTGAGTCAGGGCTGCCTTCCTCGTTGAGGACTAGGTAGCTGTTAGAATTAGAGCATTAAAAACCTGATACAAACATTAAACACGTATATGACAATCGACACCTTTGTATAACAATCTTTCGAACACAGAATAAGTGTCCAAATAAAGACATAAAAAAGAAGCGAAACATTATTTAAGATTGGTGGAAGAATATTATCTAATTATATGATAATTATCAGTTCATGTCATCTTTCGGTTTGGAATTGTAAACGATTAAAATACATTAAATTTTAATATAAATATATCTCTGTACGTTGTTTTAAACTTACCCTTTTCCTAATGCCTCTGAATACCATGGTTCACAATCTTTGTTGATAAACGGATGTACCCATATGGTAACCCTGAAATCTAGAGCTTTAATGTCTTGTATAAGCTTTTTGAAATCAGGCAACTTCCTCTCATCGACGGTCAAAGAACCGTAACAAACTTCCCATAGATCATCGATTTCGAATTGTGCGTTTGGGAAACCGCTGTCCTTAATTTCGTTTGCGAAAGCCCATAGATTTTCTTGATCAATCTCCCTAGAGTATCTCGCCCAGGTTGACCAAACCGGGTATTGGATCATTCTGTAATCGGGAACTCCTGATGGCTTTCCTAAATATGTATGTATAGCGTGCATGTGGGCTTCTTTAGGAGTATCGAAGAACCATAGATCATATTTTAGGACGTTCCTTGGACGTCTGCTCGAGTAAGGTTCGGCGACCTCGGCCACAAAACAGATGTGGTTGTCAAGTATGTTGTGATGATCCACAAACAGCGGTACCTCTGGTTGAATGTACACGTACCAGCCGGCTGAGTTCACCCAGTACCTTTCAGATACAGCTGAATTATCAGCTTCTTTGGATATGATAGAGTACTTCTCGAGTTTGGATTTCTGAATGGGCCAGTACTGTTCCTTTTGCTCGGGGCCGCCGTACCATTGTCTTTCACCTGAGTGACGTGTTAATCATTTTTAAAAACTCTTTTATAATATTCTTAGCATAATGAACATTTCATACCAAAATCTAAGCAATCCTCGAAGACGACTGAGCTCGGTCCCTCCCACGAGATCGTCACATGGTAACCACCGCTTTCCTCATCTCGCTCTTCGTACATCTCAAAACTGATGTCATCGCGGTTTAAGGAAACCTTTCTTCCGATTTCACCAAGAATAACCCGCCTGCCCTCTGGCAAAGACAGCAATTGTTACTCATGATATTTAAACATGTGTGACCGTGAGCAGTTAACTATATAATTTTGAATACCTGTTAGAACAATCAGAGTGAAAGCATCGTTATCCGCTTCTTCTAAGAAGAAGTCACGTGTTGTTGGCTTACGGGGCACGGCGCCCAGCACTACTGCTAGGCCTGAGAACAGAATAAAAAAGATTAGATTAGAAGAATATCTTCAAAACACGGAACATTTGAAAAGAATCAAAATATTGCAGTTGCTAGGCAGGAGATTGAGAAAATATCTACTATTGGACATTCTTTTTAATTAATTGTTCGTTATTGTTCGTTAGTTTTTTCTATGAGAAAATATACAATTCATTACATGTATTTACTATCTTATAATTTGTATTACCTGTTAAAAGCACAAACCACTTCATCTCGTCACTATCAGCGCGGCTGTGGCTGGTCCATGGTACGGATCACCTTATATTATTTCTTTTATCATTTATCTTCGCTCTCCCAAAACGGATAATACTTGTCATAGCACTATCAGAAGCCAATGTGACTGTGATAAAACGTTAAATAGTTGGAGTTACGTAACTTTTGTATTAAGTTTTTGATAAATTTCTATATTTTATGTCCCCTTGTAGATTTCCTAGTAATAGAAACACTATTTAACCATCCTATTTAAGTCTGATCCAGCAGCTTTTTATTTATTAAATGCATACAAATGCAAGTCTAAATAGTTAATTTTCGGTTAAAAGTATCTTGAATAACCCTTGACTCTTTAAATTTTCAAAAGTCTATATGCATTCTGCGAATAGTTTAATAAATTTAATTATAAACAACTGAACATTCTGTTAATGAAGCTTACTCATTTATAGTTTCCGTTTTTATTATTTTGTACCTGGATAATTCATAATACTATAGGTATAGTAGATACGTCATAGTACGTACGAGTACATCCAAGACAATGTAGAAAGTCTTCTAGATCAATAACTGGTTAAATGCTTTACTATGGAATCCCTGAGCGTGAGTTTCAATTCACAATAAATTTAAAAACGTGGAAAAGTTAATTAATAATACTGCTGTTATAAGATGTTACTAATATAACTTTTAGATTTTACGTTTATTTACCACCCTTTGATTTTGCGAGCATCATTCAGGGGAAGAGGTTTGCTTTGAAAGAAATTAAAAATATTTACCTAGGACCTCTATTTTCCGTGACATAATTTAAAATGTACTCTAATCTTATTTTCGGTATTTCTTTCAGTAAAAATAAAAGAAAACATGAAATACAGCGCCAGATTTAAGATTGTGCCAAATTACAAAACTATGTTGCAGGATCAAAGTAGAGAAATAGTAATACTCTATAATTAAAGAATGGTTTATAAAGATTTAAAAATAAATTTAAACAATATCCTAAGTATATAGAATTGTATATAATATTGAAATTTAAATTCTTTGGATGAAGTTGTTAAATATTGAGATAAATAATAATGGAATCTTCGTAGCAACGTGTTTGTATCTCTCTTTAAAAATATAAACTTGTTTTGATTAAATATTGAAATGGTAGTGAAATAATATCTTTTAACTGAAGATGATAAGATACAGTCAAGTTTATCAAGTATTTTGTTTAATAAGAGTGGATCGTATTTTTTAAATTTATAACACGAAAAGGGACACACTTTTGACAAAACATTTATCAAATTAAATTATGTCCTTATTTTTAAATGAAAACAATCTTTAATTTTTCTGTATGACATTTAATATGAAGTCCAAAAAATAATTTTAAGTAAACATATTTTTTATGTACCTTTCTGAGAGTAATTGTTTCAGGGAGATATATTATTGGACTCTCAGCTTTCCTTGTATTCTTATTAATATTATTATTAAAATAATGTTATAATATAGTGTGTGTTTTTGTATATGTTATCTCACATGTTTTCCTAAATCTATTCACGAGATTCATGTTTGATATTTTCAATGTAATATATACCTAGTTATAAAATATACATATAATAAGTAGTCTCCCTCTTAAACACTATTCTGTTCATACACTACGCTCGTCTACTTTGTTTAAAGACTTAGCCACAGCCCACACTACGAATAAACATAATAGTTATAAATTATATAATGATATTATTACTTCAACATACTCGTGTATAAAGATGAAAGATAAATAGTCCAACGTCGTTTTGTTTTGACATAAAACCAAGATACTTATATAAATTCCCATTTCATCTGCCCGTGATCACGGTTGGTGTAAAGTACCCGAAACGTTGTGTAATTAACTAATTAATATGCTTAAATATAGAATACTGTAAAAGACATATAGTCGAAAAATTTAACGAAATCTACAAAACAAAATATATTTTTAACTTCTATTAAAATTTATTATAGAAGTTTAGTGTGTCAAACACATTAACAGTCATGTCGCTAAACTCTCTATTCTATTTTATACCACTAGCTCGAAAAAACCCGAACATCAAAGGTGAACGGAAACTGTTTCCCTTTTTTGTCCGAAATTCACGTTTTAGCAACGAAAATCGTATACCAAATAGAATAACTGACTGTGGATAGGTAGGTACTCTATTGTAAAGTTTTTTATATAAATTATTAATAAGTAAATTTTTATATTTATGTGTAGGTATGAGACAAAACTTCTCATCATTCAATATATTCACAGTGCGTGTGTCGGGTTCATCGTTGTAGTGAGAGGAGCTTCAACAGTGACTGGGACTTGTGACCCAGGTGTAGGTTTAAGGGACCAACCAAATTTGAAAAGAACATATTATATTTTCCTTTTATCAACGATCTTTCGTCATCTCTTTTACAAAGTGAAATCTATTCATATATAGACTATTCTTAAAAAAATACTAAGAGTAGCGAAGTGAAATCATCCTCTTCAAAGAACAATTCTACCCTACTTATGTTTTACTTTGAATATACTGAACTCTCCCAGTTTGAACAAATTGACACCAAAACCGCCATTTGTTTGTAACGTAACTCTGAAATTGTTTGCAAATTATCTTTAACCATGTACCAATAAACTTTTTACCACGCTTTTATTATCTGCATTTGTATATTCGTAACCGACACTTTTAGACTCGATTTTGACCCACTTCGAGCGGTCATAATATTTCATTTACATGGTAGACTTATCGAGGAATAAGGACAATACAAAAATTTTACAATTTTATTCCACCATCCTTATTAGGATCTTCAGGATTAAATGATATTTTCCAACATCCTTTACGTAAGAGAAAAAGAAATAGAGCTTTGGGTGGTTTCTGAAAAATATTTCTTCTTTGTTGCCACTTCTGTCAGTACCAGTTCTGTCAGTTATTTTGCATTTAATATCATAGTAATTTCCTGTAGTGTTACGTGATGTTCCGCTTGATTAGGACTTTAATGTCATCGTCATTAAGCCCGGCTCCTTCATTTGACCGTTGGACATATTTAAGAGAAATTTTCTAGAACTGAACTTTTTAACCAGTTTTTTAATTTCCTTTCTTTAAAGGTTTCATTATTGTAACGACACATTGAGTAACTTTTTAATTATTTACACTTACTTCTTTCATAAATAGTTTTAATTAGATATTACTTAAGGTAATTGCAATTCACATTAACATAACATAATAAAAATATAAAAATCACTTCTAACAGCTAATTCGCAAATAGGTCTTGGAACTTATTGAATTTTGTCTAGTTATAAAGGTATATTGATTTTGTGGTTTCAAAACTACCGTAAGTGACTTCTGTCCATTTGCAATTTTGAAAATATTTTTATAAATAGGCTCTATCCCGGCAGTCTCTTAAAAAATATATTTACATGAACATATTGAACTATACTTATTGCAAATATAAAGTCCATAGCGTATAAATTCTCATGCTGCAACATTACTAAAACAGTAAAATAAAATTATACCATATGTCAGAATAAGTTTGACAAATGATTCATCGAGAAAACAAAAGCCGCTTGCAGTAGTGTCAAACGGCATAAAGAAAGTAGTTTTTTGATTACGATCATGGCAGATCCTCGAATTCGTCAAATAAAGATTAAAACGGGCGTTGTAAAGAGGATTGCTAAAGAGAAAGTAGTTTACGAGAAAGAGGCTGAGCAACAAAAGAACAGAATAGAGAAGTTAAAAGCTGAAGGGCAAGACGAGCATACCATAAGAAAACAAGAGGAGGTTTTACAGGAGTCGCTTATGATGGTCCCTGACTGCCAGAGAAGGTAACTAAGGTTTTTATTCAAAATTTCCACAGTCAAAACTTTATTGAAGTAGTCATTTTGTTGTATAACAATGTATTTCATGTATAAATTGTCGGTAAATTCACATGTGCTGTTAAGGTTATGTTATTATGAATAATTACAATGATTTTTAGTAACCATACATTTTGTTTGTTATTTATAGACTGGCGAAAGCATTTGCGGATCTAAAAAGCACTCTCGAAACAGAACAAGATCTAAAAGAAAGCGAAGACTACGCAGCCGCTGAGCAAGTATTAAAAGACGCGGAGTGCCAATTGTCGACAACATAACTATATTAACCCTCCCTTTTATATTAGTTTTAACCATTATACAAATCATGTCTTATAATCGCTTTTACTCAAATTACCAAGGGGGCAATGTTACATTCCATGACTTCCGATACCCTCCACCAGTTTACCCTATGCCCGTCACCAAAGAAATATCTGACGAAGAGTTTATTAAGAATTTTAAATCACTCATCCCACAAGCTCCGACAAGACAAAAATTATCAGCCACCAAAATATATCAAATAAAAGAAGAATTGAAATCATTAGTTTCTTTATACAATGAAATTCAGGAAGAAGAGAAGAAGTTGTCAGAAAGAATAACAGAAATGACTGATAATGAGTGGGATTCTGCATTTAATAGTATAATTAATAAAAAGAATGAAATTAAATCCCACATTACGGCATTATATAGTTCTCAGCTTGATTTAGGAAAGAAACTTATAGCCAAGAGGTTAACAAAACGACTTCGCTTAAAGAGACTCAAGAAGGAAAGACAAAAGGAAAAGGAAGAATTAAAGAAAGAATTAGCAGAGAAATCTAGAAAGATTGATGAGAACTTACAGAAAATTCAAGATGATATCCAGAGAGCAAAACAGGTTTGTATAATTTATTATTAAATTTTGTTTATATTTATTATATTATAATTTGTCACTTGTTAAGATTACTATTATATTATAAAAAACCTGGATAAAATGTCAACTTCTCTTCAAATAACAACTCTATATGTCACGAAAGATGTAGATTTAAAAGCCATTTTAGTGATTATTTCACTGTCTTTATGAAAATTAAACTAATTCCAGGCTGAAGAAGACAAATTACAGGCTGATGCAGTGTTACAAGAAACACTGAGGAAAAAACTGGATGCTAGAAGAAGTATTATGAAGTTAGAAGCTCTTGTTAAACTACGACAAGCGAGACTTAACACTGCCAAGGGAATGGGAAAAACTGTCTCAGAAGCTGAAACAACACAGTTTCTGGATAATATTGGTGAGTATATCTTATTATTCTACATGGCAATTTCCCCGCTTTAGCCAGGGTCTGCCTTACATGTTGTGAATGTTTTGGCTATTTTTTTTACAACTGGCCGCCTGCCTGACATCAACCCTCTTTGGGAAATATATATTCTTCAACTAAACATTGTTTTTAATGAGTTAAGTTTGATAAAATATATTTTTTATATTAAATGAAACTAATATTTTTGCTATTATACTATGCATAATTTATTTAAAATACATATGATGTGATCACATCTTGTATGCTCATGAACACAGTTGCAGAAAAGTAACCGAAACGTTGGAGGTATGTAGTTATAAAAAAATTCAGTTATGCATAGTATAATCCGAAAAATATAATTTTCATATAAATGAATACCCGCTAAAGGTCTCATTATATATTTTCTATATGACTTTCAGATAAACTCAGGAAATTGTGGGAATATAAAGCAATAATATATCAAAAAGAAGAGAAGGATCTACGAGATAAATTGGAACAGAACTTTAAACAGAATGTTAATGTGTGTAAATCAGATGTTGTGGACAATATAATGAAATGGAAGGTGACTATGTTTGGTGACGATGTGCAACCGCAAGTTGATTACAACGGAAATGTTGAATGGTTCATAGCTGTTAGGTTTGTATTCACAAGTTATGTTTTAAGATATATAGAATTTAGGATTATGCTTAGTATGGCGAAAAATGAACTGAAATGTGTTTTATGTGGGATTGATTTTAAAGACTTATAGTTACAGTTATAAGTATGTATTTTAAACAAAGACATTGTAATATAGATGAACATTACTAAGTCAAAATTTAATAAGTATAGAATATACATAAATAGTATATTGTTGGGCAAAGGATTATTTTTATGAACGACTTACATGATTTAATACTTTTGGGATCATAATACTTGTTAATGGGATCTGTATAAAGTTATAAAATAGATTAAAATATTGTTCTTTCAATGTTATAATCATTGTCTTTTAATTTTTTAAACTAAAGAAACACAAAAGCTTTACATAAATATACAAAGGTTTTTGACCCCAAAAAATTGTTGGAAACTTTCCATAAATTAATTAATAGACTTGAGATTGCAAGTACATAATATTTTTGTATTTACTTATTATTTAATTTATTATATTTGGTTTATTACTGTGTAAATTCTTAGATTTAACAGTTTTTATATAATATTAATATTTCCAGACGTTCATGGGATCGCTACATTGACAACGGCCCTGATGCCACTCCGATACCGCTGGGCTGGCTCACACCCCAATAATTTGCTATATTACTATAATTTAATACTATTTTGAATATTAAATAATTTGATACAAGCTCTAGTTTTGTATAATTCACTTAAAAATAAAATAAAAAACTAACTCGGCTTATTAAAATCTTTTATTTATATTTTTCAGTTGGTAAGAAATTCCTTCTTGTACAAACATACAATACTTCAACGTCAATTCTAAATTTGTCTTAAATAAGGCAATTTACAGAGCATTTTATTTTTGAAATTACTTTGACACAAAAGAAAACAGTTACAGTATATTTTTTATCAATATTTACATAAACTTAAGATTACAGATATACAATTTTCGAAGGCGAACACTACTTATATTAACACCCAAAAAAATAAAGAAATATATATAAAATGAACCTCCTAGAAAAATATTATCCTACATAAAATTAATTAGGGTGCGCCTACACCGGCTTTATATTTTTCCTATTACTTGAGTGGAGACGCGCCCTTAAAGTTAACTATAGTAACTACGCTTCGAATTATAGTGAGGTAATTCGGCACTTCATACGTAATTACTGGCGACACTATGACGTACTTAATATACATGTGTGTGTGTGTGTGTGTGTGTGTGACTGTTTGAAAGTATGTGTGTGTCACTACAAATTATAAATGACCAAATAAAGAACATGGATTTTGTGTAAATATAAACATTGCATTGTTTTATATCTTTCTATTTCCACACGAAACAGATTTTATCAGTTCTAAATGAGATCTCTTCGTGTGTGTGTAGGGATATCGTGATTGTATTTGTATGTGTGTGTGCGTTGTCTTCAATCTACCCTCTTTTGAAGGTGATGTATTGTATTCTGTGTATAGTTTTTTCCTTCTACTGCCATAGCCCAGCGTAGTTCCCCACTAGCGGCGCCGGCAAAGGTCCGCCCGCCGTGAATATGCGTGTCCCTGAGTCGTCATAGCAGTGAGTGTATATAGCTGGCACGTACTTGCCTTGGTTGAAACCATCCGCTTCTTCATCCGGGAACTGAAATTAAAGATTGAATGATAATTAATGAATGAATGATTGTGAATGTATCAGCTATTGAATTATAGATAGATAATGAATAATGAGATCTAAGATTTTATCGAGTACTAATTTAAATGAAACTAATATTTTCGGATTTTACTTCGCGTTTTTATTTTTGATTATCAACTACATACTCCCGATTTTTCGGCTGCTTTTCAGCAATCATGATCACGGGCAGACGAGACGTGAGTCACTCACAAAATCAGAAAATATTAGTTTATTTTTTTAGGGAGCGTTCAAGTATTACGTAACGCAATTTTCGAAGATTTTTGACCCCCCCTTCCCCCTTCGTAACGCACAGTAACGTTTTTCTGTAGCCCCCCCGCCTTATTAAAACGTTACGTAACACTCAAGAGATCAATTTCATCCAAAGTCGTAAAACAATATGTAATAGTTTGATATAGTTTTAATCTATTAAATGAAAAAAGGTCATTGACACAAATCTCCCTCTTCTGAAGAAATTACAGTATGAACACTATGAACTCACGGATAAACACTAACGAATACTGACCATGGAAGCAACATTAAAAAACTTACAATGCAATCTAGGTATTCCCAGTAAAATATCAATTAACAGGTTTGCAAACTTGGAATAACAAATTAAAATATAAAAGAGTTGCCGGTTTGAGTTTTTTTATTAATATTTTTTTTAGAAACAATGCTACGTAACGTTTTGTAAGAGACACCCCCTCCCGCCCCTGTAACGCATCGTAACGTTTTACGAGACCCCCCCCCTAAATTGCGTTACGTAATACTTGAACGCTCCCTTAGATAATGAATGTCTGAACGAATGAGAGTGAACGAAACGAACAACAGTTGATTGGTAAACCGACCAGAGGTCATAGATTCACTTCCTGCTCGTGTTCATTGTAAATTCCAATATCAGCCTAACATTTCTATACTTGGGAACATAATATGAATATAATATTTACCACGTAGCCCCTGGACGCTTTGAGGGTAACAATTTTCGACGAGTGAATGTTGCTCTCTAGATATTTACCGGCTCGGAGGTCGTAGAACATCAGGAGACCTGGAATTGTTCATATTAAAGAATTTCCTTCTAATATATATAGACTTCTTATTATATGATGGCTAGCCGATTTTGGATTAGTTTACTTATAAATGATGATGGTAATAATAATAAATGATAAGTAATAATTATGAGCGGCCAGTGCAGAATAGGGTAGTGATTGTCACTGAATGTTAGGACGGCTAGAACGCTATGGACAACCATCAAACAAAGTGCACAAGCTTTAGCTATTGGCTCATAATCTATTTTTATTATTTGAGTGTGATTTTAAATACAGTTGTAAAAAAATCTAGTAACTAGATATTGAAAAGTCCAAGTGTGCTTTTATTTATGACTTCTAATCGTCACAACGCTCATGATAGGTAGGTAAAACCTAAGACAGCCATGAGGTACCTTCCTGACGCTCTCATCCTACCAATATTATAATTACGAAAGTATGTGAGTGTGTGTATGTTTGTTACTTCTTCACGCTCAAACGGCTGAACCGAATTTGATAACATTTTGTATACATGAAGCTGACGTCCAGGAATAGCACATAGGCTACTTTACATCCCGAAAATCCGCGGGTAACACCGCGGGACGTAGCTAGTTGTTATATATACAGGGTGACTGGTGAATTACTATCGATATTTGAGGACGTGATATATGACGATCATATATGACCAAATAAAAATTAATATAACAAATATTAATAAACTTCTAAGTAAAGTTAACCAAAAGTTATGTAAATTAATTACGCATCGTGTGAACACCCTACAGATTAGGTATACACACACACACACACACTCGGTGGTTTTGTATCAGCACGCTGCCGCACGCGTCCACACTTGGAACATTTGGAACGTATAAACACTTTATTTATTTATACGGAAATTTTGTCAAAAATTAAGTGCCTATTTTTTTTACATAATTCGAATGAGAATCATGTACCGAGTATTCGCCTTAAATATTGATAGTAATTCACCAGTCACCCTGTATATATTTCAAGGCATGTAACTCACCGAGTCCCGTTCCTATAGTGAGCATGTCGCCTCTGAAGCTAGCTGATCGTATGCCGCAGCCGTTGTATCTAGAAGTTATCTTCTTAACTGACTGTAGCGTGCGGCAGTCTAGTAGTAGTGTGTAGGACTTGCAGCCGATGGCGTAGATACCGCTTTCCTTTAATAATATAATGTTTGTATGTATATCTTTATATATATTATTCTTGTGTGAGTGTGTATGTCACTGAACTTCTCTCAAACGACTGGACCGATTTTGATGAAATTTTTTGTGTGTGTTCAAGGGGATCTGGGAATGGTTTAGATTCACAATTTTGTCCGCTGGACAATGTTTTTTTAATTAATTTTTAATTTATTAGTAGTTGTTGATGCAAACGTCTTTTTTGTGACATTAGATTTGACAACTAACTAATATGTCAATCATATTGTGGCAATTCAGAACACGGAGATTTATGGCTTTGATAGGTGAACTCCAAAAATATAAATAAAAAAACGTAACAGATATTTCTTGATTATAGGGCTATACGAAGTTCGCCGGGTCTTCTAGTATGTTTATTTACCTGTGTAGCGAGACACACGAGGTCCTGGCAGGAGGGTAGTTTCCGTGACAGAGTCTGTCTGAAGGAGTGCGCGCTGAACACGTGGATGTAGCCGTTCAGAGTGAGGGCAGCGATCTCACGCCACTTGGCGTTGAAGGTTAACGCGCGGACTTTTTGACCTGTAACACGGATAAAGAGATGTTAAGTAAGAATATATTCTTGTTCTTCAATATATCATAAAGGATAGTTTGCTGATTGTTTCCTATGAATGTGACAAACATCTGCATTCTTAAAGAGATTTTTGCGAGTTTTCGTTGAAATAAAACTAATATTTTCGGACTAACTACGTGTTTATAATTATTTTTAACGTTCTCCCGACGTTTCAGTTACTTCGCAGCAATTATGATCACGGTCAGGCGAGTGATTGTTCCGAGTCATATGTACTTTGTAAGAGTATTTGATGAAAGAAAACATCGTGAGTAAACCTGAACTTATAATCAAATTAAGTTCGAAATCACCAACCCGTTAAGCAAGCGTGGTGATTAATGCTCAAACCTTCTCCATGAGACGAGGCAGCTCAGCAGTGGGCTCTAATATAGCTCTAATAATGATGTATATCCTATGATTACTATATTACTAACCAGCGCGACATTCTCTAACAGCGACGGGCGCTACATAGTGCTGGTGAGCGGCGGGTCCTGGCCGAGGTAGCGGGCTTGAAGGCGCGCGCCATAGAGCAAGGCGTGAGTCCCGGGAACCTGTGACCAGGAACTCATCGTCCAGCCAACACATGTCCAGGATCTGTATGACAATATATATGTAGTGAGGGTAGTCCAATAAAAACTAGTTTTAATGAGATCTAAGATTTTCGCGAGTACTCATTTAAATGAAACCAATATTTTTCGGATTTACTACGCGTTTTTATTTCGTTTTTATTATTTGTATTGTTTGTTTGTTTATATTGTTTTTTTTGCGTTTTTTGAAAGAAAACCGCGTAGTAAATCCGAAAATAATAGTTTCATTTAGACTAGTTTTACATTGACAAGCAGATTATGGCTTAAACTGTAATGTAGCTATCGTATAACATAAGTATATTGTAGTTTTTTTCCTTATGATTGGATGAAGATTTGGATACATTTGGGACAGGTTATGGCTATACATAAATGTGGCTCAAAAGGAGTTTTCTTTACTAAAATAGGCTGAAGATTTTAGACCGATGGCTATAAATATAAACGATGGTATTAAAGTTATTATTACCAAAGTTTTTATGTACGTGTTAATTATATTTCCATACCCAATCCTTGTGAGCCTCCCCCACACACACAGGGTCCAGGGTCGGCAGGCTGTAGATGGCCAGCTCACATGAATTACGAGCTCCAGTCGCTAGCAGGGTACTACGCACAAACAAATATATTTATTTATTTATTTGAGGATCCCCAACAAAAGATACACAGTATACAATTTTAGACTAATCAATACTAAATATTACAGAAATTTGTGCTCTTTCAATTAAAGCTGTGGTTTAGCTTGCTAATTAAATATGACTAAGCAAAACAATATGAACTTATAGTTAAAGTTAAAAATATTTAAAAAACAAAAAATATTAAAAATATTTAAATATCCAGAATGTGTTTAAAAATAAGAATACAGTAAGTAAGAACAGTAAGTTATAAAAAATAATAATAAAACAAAGAACGTATACAACAGCAATGACTATTTAAAAAAAAAGTGTCAACAGAGTGCTTTATTGATACATTTTTTGTATTCATTCATGATATATGTGTTGTTCATACCGTGAAGGGTTTATCTGTAGCGCGTGTATGCCTGTCTGGTGCTCCGCCCCGGGCCACGGAGCCCTAGGCCTCAGTGTTGGGATCGCGTCCAGGGACCGCGAGCGAACGTCGTACACCATCAGCTGATCACAAACACATATCATTTGAGTTATAATATATGTTCAGTATAAATTTTAATACAATATGCCTATTACAGAGATAAATAAGTGTATAATTTACACACTATATCAACTTATATATAATTTTTCAATATTGTAAGAAAGTCCAAGTTTTATACAAACGTTGTTTCCATTGTTTTTGTATGTATGTATGTGTGTGTATGTATGTGTTTTTACCTTGTTACACTTGGTGCCAAACACGACCTGCCTGTCTGAGAGCCACTGTGAACAGAACACCTTGTTCATGTTGCCCAGGTTGACGGGCGTCTCGCGGAACATGTCGTGAGTGAGCATGTGACGGGTCGCGTATGACGGCTCAACTGTACGAGGCTGACGAACAAAAACTATATATAGGGACTACATAATAACAGTCTTTAGTAATGATTATGTTATATTACTTTTAAAGTTTGTTACTATAAAAACTGTATATATTAAAGTGATAGCGTCTTATTGGAGGGTAGTCCGCTTCGTAACGTAACGTAACGCGTAACGGCGACTCTGAGACTGGTTTTTTCTCCTCTCACGTATACAGCATCAGTATTACACGCATGTAAAAGGTGTTTAGAGTAATATACAATGGCTTTAAACTCTTTATAAGTTACACAATTTCTATATTAAATAATTTAATTTGTAACTCCTGTCAGCGTCCAAGGGCGCACGAATTTGTTTTTGTTTATTAGAATATGTAGCTCACTATGACAATATTACATTAGCTACAAATTAATTTGCATATTGCATAGAGGTGTATTGCTAGATGCTACTTTATTAATTTTTCATAAAGTAATGTATAAATATGTTTAAATTTGAATATATTCAACTTTCTACGAACTTCTGACAATAATCAAAAGACAGACAATATTTTTTAATTACTGTAAAGATTATATACTGAAGTTGATAAGATAAATGAAACTCATTTAATTTAAATTGCAAAAAAATAAAATGAAGAGTTCATTAACATTAGCAGGATTCGAATCTGCAATCTCTCGAATATCATGTCACTGTTTGTTAACAATTGAACTATCGTGAATAGAAACAACTGGGAAGCAGTATTAGGAGATAATCACATTTTAAGGTAAACTCAATTCACAAATAAACATTAATAGGAATAAATGTATTTTAAAACGCATTTATAACGCCTCCGTTTATCAACTTGATAACTTTCGTATCATAAAAACTAATGCATTTTATTGTTATGTATTTATTGGGGAAGGTCATTTAAATATCGTCTTGATTAATCTTTTTCTTGATACTTGTTTAATTGAACGCATATATTTCCAGTCGTCATGATTTTAAAGCTATTGATGACTGGACGTATGGTCAATACAATAATGACCCATTATACAAGGGACATTATACATATTACGCAGAATTTATGGTAGTTGGGTAAGAATGGTTATAGAGTATTATAGGAAGACACTGGGCAAGATGAGTGAATGGAAATGAGCTGATGATTGAAATCTATTTCTAGATTATGGAGGGGATGGTATCAGTGGACTGGTTATGAATGAATGAACGAATGAATGAATGAAAAACGAGATTTAAATTTGAACAAGATAAAGACGATGTGCTCGATTCTTACGTGATCAGGTTTATGTAAAGACAGATTTCACATTCAAAATATATGGTTATCTTTAAATGTAATTTTCACTAATTATCCTACAAATTATATTATGTTTCCGTGTTTTAAAACTTAACAAATATATATATTTGTTCCATTTCTACTGAATTCGGACAAGATGAATTTCTTTTGAATTATTCCCGAGCCTCCGCTCTAGAAAATTATTTTAAAATCAAAGACAATGAATTCTTCTTAGATACAATAAAGCATTTTATTCCAAAGAATCCGTCTCCCGTACGTAATGTTCAAACCGAACCAGGTCACGACAGTGTCCTAAAATTAATGAAAACATTTCGACTCTAATAAAAATACGAACACTTGTTTTGTTTTAATTATTTTGGGGCTTACAAAAAATCTATTTTATGGATAAACACGAAGTAAATAGATCACTTTTAAAACTATTCGTCATGCTTTACGTCAGGGGTGTCCAAACGTGATAGGACTCAGGGCCAATAAAACACCTAAATACGCAAAAAATTTATAATAATATCGTTATTGTCATCAGTGTTTGCTCATTAATATATCCAAACAAAGAAGATTCTATTGGCCAGAATAATGAGCCCTGCTATAAGTAAATGTTTATGTAATATCTTCGGATATATCTTGTGATATATCTCGGGACCTACCTCTGGCGCCTGTATCTCTCGTGACCGTACATAGTCCACAAAGTTGTATGACGTGGACAGTATTCTGTGCTGCTGGGCCGGAGTCTCTTCTTCTGAGTCACTGTCCGAGTAGCACACAAAGTCCTCTGGTTTGTCTGGCTTACGTTGTTGTTCTAGTCTGTACAAACATACACACACAAAAACTTTAAATTAATGAATCCTAAGATGATTATATAACACAATACAGTAAACAAATAGTAGTACAGTAACTAGTCAGTGGTGGCCTAGTGGTCAAAAGGCCCGCCTCTCATGTATGAGATCGCGAGTTCGATCCTAACAAGTACCAATGTGATTTTTCCGAGTCATATGTACTTTATAAGAGTATTTAGACATCACTGATTAACGCATTCCCAAAGAGGGTTGATGTCAGTCAGGCGGTCGGTCGTAAAAACAATTAGCCAAAACTATTCACAACATGTGAGCAGATCCTGGTTAAAGCTGGGAAATTGCCAGGAAGAAGAAGTAGGTAGTATTAAGCAGTATTATACAGCCACGGGCAAAAGTATTAGGCACCCTACAGTAGGACAAGTTTTAGAGTGTTTTAGCATAGCAAGTGTAAATAAAACTGCATTTATGATTGCAATAGTTTATTTTAAGAAAATAATTAATATTTTGTAGGTCCACCTTTTGACTTAATAACCGCAGCCACTCTTTTTGGCATTGACTCTACCAGCCTGAAACATTCTTCTCTTGATATATTTTTCCATGCCTGCTGTAACGCGGCCAATAGAGCTTGTTTATTGCTAATCGAGTGCCTGCGGATATTTTTCTTTAAAATGGACCAAATATGCTCAATCGGGTTGAGGTCTGGTGATGGTGGTGGCCAGTCCAAAAGATCAATATGATTTTCAGTAAACCACTTCATGGTATGCGCGGACTTGTGGCAAGTGGCGTTGTCTTGCTGAAATTTCAGGCCATCGGTGTTTGTATGACCGAAAATTTGCGTTATCGACGTTGCTAGTGCTGTTTCCAGAACTTCAGTGTATTTAACACTATTCATTCGTCCCTCACACAACACCATTTCGCCCACTCCGTCAGCAGCCATGCAGCCCCAGATCATTATTGAGCCTCCACCATGCTTAACAGTGGGAACCACACATTCTGGGTTGTATTCTTCGCCAACCCTTCGCCTAACATAAGTCACACCGGGTGTTCCAAACACCTATGCCAAACGAAAAAAACCCATTTATTTTCAAAGTTATTATTTTTCTTGCAGTACGTTATTTTAAAAACATTTATGTGTTTTAATATTGTACATAAAATAAATAACAATACCTGAAAGTTAGATTCGTCTGACCGCAGTATGTTGGACCAATCTTCTACTGACCAATCTCTATGTTTGAGTGCCCACTCCAACCGATTTTTCTTGTTGTGTTCTGACAGCCACGGCTTCTTCCTTGCTTTACATCCTTTTAATCCAGCTTTAAGAAGTCTTCTTCTCACAGTATGAACACTCACTGAGCTTCCTTTTGCCTCAGATAATGCTGCAGCGAGCTCTAAAGCAGTTTTTTTCCTGTTTTGTAGAGACTGCTTAATCAACAATCGATCTTCCCGTTCAGTAGTAACTTTTTTTCTGCCTGTTCTTGGTCTATTTTCATGGGTGCCAGTCTCTTTGAAGCGATTTATAGCATATTGAACTGCACATCGCGAGCACTTCACTTCTCGGGCTATTTTAACCTGAGACATGCCTTGTTCATGTAAAATCTTAATTCTTAGACGCTGTTCAGCACTAAGTTCAGATTTTTTCGGCATGATTAACACGTTAAATGTTAGTCTTTAGAATTGTGATAGGAATAGTTGCGTAGAAGACGTGTATGTTCACTGCAAGCACTGATAACACACTATAACCCGAAACACAAAAAAAGCAAATTCGAAGAAACACCGCTTAGGAGCACACCTGGATGTCATAAATATTTTCTTTTATCTTAATTTGGTTAAAAATTGCCGCTAATACAATAGCCAAACCATAAAACACACACTTGACCGCAATATAATGAGATAGTGACTAACAATAGGGGTGCCTAATACTTTTGCACGCAGCTGTATAACACAGAATAAGTAAAACTTGAAATCAATTCATCCTAACATGATTTAAAATATAAGGATAAAATATGATTAATTTTTCTAATCATTATATAAGATAATATGTTTTAAATAATGATTAACTTGAATGGAGGTTTTGTGAAGATTACTAATAACATACAAACACATACACGATGATCTAATGCAATATATTTTGGTAATTATTAAAAACTGTATCTATATAAGTAATTGATCCTCTCAACTGGCAATAGATTCAATTCGAAAGAAAACTTAATTAATGTCACATTAATATTAAATTGCTAATATTTTTATATAAATAGCTTTATTGAATATAATCCGTGGTTCTATTGTTGCTGTTGTATAAAATGATAATATATTCTATAATTAGTGTATAGTGTAAACAACTTGATGGAAAAACAATAGCTTAATAAACAGATGTTGACATCTTACAGCCATTAGTAGATTATCTTGGTGAAGTAAACATGATTAATATATATACATATATGTATATAAATAATGGGATGATATTATATTACTTCATATATTTAATAAGTTTTTAATGTATAAATATTATCATAGCAATAATAATAACATATTTAGTAGAAAAAACATGAAAAACTCTGAGTCTAAGTCAATAAAGAATAAATATAACAAAAAAAGAAATGTTCTAATTACATGGAATTTATGTGGAAATATTTTATATAGTTTTCAATAAAAATATCATATAATTTTTTTTATATGCGGTTTCTTCAACAAATACAATTTGAATCATCATATATATGTATTTATATATACAAAATACATATGTTCAAATTAGTTCTTCCATAATGAGTTCTAGAGACAAATTAACTTTCGCATTATAATATCAGTTGGTAGAAAAAATACTATATTAATAAATATATAGTTCCAATCAAATTTCCACCATTGTAAAACTATGTAGAAAACGGTATATATACTCTATATACAGACCGGTTTCTATCAATCACCAATCTTTGTTTTCTAACATAAATTATACAAGATATGTATAGATCTTATTAGATTTAAGGTTTTATATTCAGTTTATGATCAAATATATTTATGACTTTTCAATCAGAGATATTATGTTTATGGCTAAAATATTTTATTGAAGGTTTTGAGGCTGTGAAATGGTGAGTGATCTTTAAAATGTTGATTGGTTAGTATTTTGTAAAATTTATAAAGATTGGAGCTACGAATTTAATATTTATATTAATATATAAAAATAAGCAACATTTAATGATGCATTAAATTGATTATTTTTTATCTCCAGTTCCAATATTAAAAATATAATATTTCAAAATTATAATTCCTTGTTGTTGTGTCATTAATTTACAATCAAAGCAAAGCATAAATAACCATTAATTACAGTTTTAACACACATGAGATCAGATTTGTAAGAAGAAAATGTAAATCGAAATAAGCCTAATAATTTGAATAGCCTCAAATGTTTACTTAATAAAACAAAAAAAATTGAAAAATTATTGAGAAATTCTTAAAACATCTTTCAGCAAATATATTGAACAATACTTTTAAACGATTGAAAAACTAGTGTTACCCCCTGCATCTTCTATAGGGTAACAAAACACATTGGGTATTCAATGTGATATTACCTTATTAACTTAGCAACTGATATTTAGAATAACAATTAATACAACTTTGCAAACAAAATACATATAGTTTGAAGTGCATCAAGTACACCAACCGATCACTATACTCTTATAAAAATATATGAATGAGTAACCATAGTAAAAGTTAGTCAATGAAATCAGATAGTTAAAGGATTGATTCATAAAACTATTGGATTTTAAATGTTCCTGAAATATTGCATCTAAATGAATGTTGTTTACTAATTTTAGCCTGTGACTTCGCCTGCATTAGTTTGAGAATTAGAAATGTATAGCTGGCCAAGCCAACACTATTCCTCCTTAAAGATAGTAGATAAGAAGATTTTGGATTTGATCAACTTATTTTTTGTCTTTTTAATCAGATGAATAGTATCCTATGTCCTTTCTCTTGTTCTAAGCTATCTCTCCGCCAATTCACAGCCAAGCCCATACAGCCGTTCTTAAGTTATAAATATTATAACTAACACAGCTTTCTTTTATATGCAAAGAAGATATGTACAACATGCATCATACAATTAAACTAAAACATTGTCCAAATATACTAAAAACTATTATGACAAAATGAAACATTGAAATAAAGCATTTAATAGCTGAAAAAGGAAAATTAATATATGTTAGTACATATACAAGTTGACATTAATATGAATTTTAAAATATGCATGAAATAATATGATGACGCCATCATCAGCCTATCAGACGCCAACTGCTGAGCAAAGACCTCTTCTCACATGGAGAAGGTTAGAGCATTAATCAATACACTTGTTCAAGACGGGTTGGTGATTTCAAATAGTATGAAGTAGCTAGTCATATACTTTTAGTGAAATAAGTAGTGGATGAAACATAAATTTAAGATTTTAATATCCAATAAGAGAGCTATGTATAGACAATCTTGAAGAAATTGTTCATTGACAAATTATTAAAAAGACTTTATTTACGTTATGATAATAATCTAAGATTACTTCTTATGGAAACATATCAATTTTTACATAATCTATTTTGTTTTTTACTGTATTCATCTTGATTTAATTAATATATCGGAAAGAACAACACTGTTACTATATTATTCATTAAAAAGTATTTTGGTATATCTTGTTTTTAAGATAGCTGTGTGTTTTAAAACTGATTAAATAATAGTTTGATAAATGTATTAAAAGAAACAAAATCATGTTATTTAGATACAAGAATGATATAAGAAAAATGATAGAGAAGACGAGTTCTAGACTTATATGTGTATGGACAAGATGTAAACAAAATAGTAAGCTAAACAAGACAAAAATGTGTTGCTATTGAATTTATTTATAATGATATGTTCAAAGTTAAACATTATGACATTGAATGAGTCTTTATCACTTCGATCGATACGACATTATGATAAATAATTAGCATCTCCCTCACCTCAATGCTCTCGCCTTTGCTCTTCTTTCCTTTATTCTACTAGGTATATAACACGAGGGATACCTCCCTTCGATGGCGCGTCTCACAGTCTGCGCCATTTTAATAACTAAATGCGATAATCTAACCAAATAATCACTAAATAACACGGTCAACTAGTCACTTTCGTTTTGTTCTGTTGTATATGGAACCACAATGCGACGACATATTTCATACTTATCACCCAGTTCCACCATACACGTGGCAGGCAAGAAGTCAACTACACTTCTTGCATCGTCAAAACACTAACAAATAAACAAGTTTTGTAATGAGCCACGATTAAAATTTATTAATTTTTAAGAAAATAATGCATGACGGAAACCTATCTGTCTAGCTGTCAATTATGTTGCTATTTATTAAAATTAACATGCACCTAAATTACGTTGCCAGAATTAAAAAATAATCCGGTTTTGAATTGATGTAAGTAGTTAACCTACTTAAAAGTCCATTCTTTTTGTTGATGAATCTCTTGCTTTAGTTAAAAAATGGTACATTAAATAAATCGTGGTTTAAAAAATTCAGGTATAGAAACATTTTGTAACAGAATATGTTTTAAAATTTCAATTTTAAGTTCAAGTATCTAGTAAACTAATTTATTACCTAGTTATATAAAATTATATATTTTTTATTCATATAAAATGGTTATCGATAAAGGTTGTCATCTTATAGATCACCGTGTTTCAGAAAGACAAAACGGTGAAAGGGTATTCCTAACGCTGTCAAACGACCAACCAGTATTTAAGAATTTAATTTAATTAAAGTCGACATGGTTATGCGACTATTCAAGAAATTATCATTTAACTGTACGTTTTAAAGTTGGATGGGGAGTAAACCTTTATCTTTCATTGATTGCATTGAATAAGTCTTATAGTACGAACGAATATTTTTAATTTGTTTTCATTATTTTTGTAGTAGTATGAAATTCGGTATTCTTATTTCAAACACTCATTCCAATTTTTTATCTATGTAAAAGTCATTTTGCGGTCACGAAAGTGATGTTTAAATAAATTTAAGCATTTCGTAACTATTCAGTATAAATTATATTATACTGCAACTTGTATTTCATATAAAAATAATGAGTCTTATTGCATTGTAATAAAGGTTATATTAGCCATTGTCATAGATATGAATCGGTTTTATTAGGTTTCTTTTGTGAGTAAAAGCCAAGAACGAGCGGTCAGGGCCGTGTCGCAGCGCGTCAAATAAGTCAAAGATATGCAAAATTAATGTTATTTATTGAAAACAAAAGACTAATTGATCGACCAAGATTATATTTGACAAAAAAAGAAATTTGACTATAAAATTAAACATTGATTAATTTGTTCTCCTATGTCTCGGGTAGGAGGGCACTCGGCGAGAACCCTTCGTCGGAGGAGATCCGAGCGGTTCGTCGGCAGGGGGAGGAGCGCCTTATGCGGGAGTGGGGGGAGGACCTGGCGGAGCAGCCGTACGGTAGACGTACAACGGCAGCGCTTCGCCCGGTCCTAGAGCGTTGGATGAGGCGGAAACGCAAACCCCTCACTTTCCGTCTGACGCAGGTCTTAACCGGGCACGGGTGCTTTGGTTACTACCTGTGTCGGACGGCCAGGAGAGAGCCGGGAGACGGCTGCCATGAGTGCGGCGCTGCGGTGGACTCGGCCCAGCACACCCTCGAGGTGTGCCCGAGATGGGCTGCGCAGCGCCAAGACCTTGTGGCGGCTCTCGGCGGAGTGGACCTGTCGCTTTCGAGTGTCGTGGAGAAGATGCTCGAGAGTGATGGGTCCTGGTTGGCGGTGTCCTCCTTCTGTGAGACGGTCATGTCCACGAAGGAGGCATCTCAGCGGGAAAGGGAGAGGGCGGCTGATGCTCCCTCCCCCCGCAGGCGACGTACGGGGGTGCGACGGAGGCAATTCCTACGCCTCCAATAGCACCCCTGTGTTCCGGGCTGGGGTCGGCGTGGTAACCCGGCCCTATTGAAAGTCCGGCGTCGTCGGGGTGGTCCTAATTGCCGGGATCGCCCCCATTCTCCGAGGGAGTAAGTCCGGTCTTTGCCAGGACCGGCCAGTCGCTGGTGTGCCCTGTCGCTGACAGATCCGGGGTACACCGACATAGCGGCCGATGGCTTTCGCAGTGGTTTTAGTGAGTAGGGGCCTGCCCAGGCCGAGCCTCACACATCCCTTCCGGCCCCACCAAGGCCGGTTGGACGGCTCGTAAAAAGAGTTCCCACTACGTCATCAAAAAAAAAAAAAAACATTGATTAATAATAAAAACTTGATTTGCAAATATAGAAAGTAAGTATTTTTAAATTTAAAAAATTAATATTGTTAATATAGAAAAAAAATTAACGTAGAGATATATGTATATGAAAATATTAAAATTAATATTAATTTATTAAATACAGAGTATAAAATGACTTAATAGCAATGTGATAAAAAATAAAAGATAATGTAATGTTTCATAATTATATGTAAGTTAAGTAAAAGTAGCGAGTCTCAAGCCGGGAGATTGGCGAGAGAAATTTATAATCGTTTGATGTTATAAAAATTTACATTTTACAACAAAATACATCGTAAAATGAGCTTTTACTACTAAGAGTATAATTTAGATAAATTTAAATATCCATACGATTGTATATAGCTTAATAATTACGTACCGATGGTAATATAATGGTTGTAATAAAATAATATTATTCATTTGTGTTTGTTTTCTCTTATATTTCTACGTTGTATTTAATTTTGTCGTTTAAACAAACTGTAGGAGACTCTATACATAATGGGTCGTTCAATGTTTGAAGGAAGACCTTTTTTGTTATAAATTATTAATGAATGAGGAAATTATTAAAAATATGTACAAGAGATGGCAGTATCTGAAGTTTTGGAACAATTTTGCATTGACAATTAAAAAGAAAACTTTAATCTACGTTTTTAAAAGATTTAAAATAGTTGCTATGGAGATCTAAGACTTTCGCAAGTATTCATTTAAAATTTAAATGAAACTAAAATTTGCCGGATTACTACGTGTATTTTATTATTTTTAAAAAAACTACATACTTCCGATGTCTCAGTTACTTGGCAGAGCCGTGAGTTTTAGTTGCTGTTTTTGTTATTTGCTATGAATAAACTTAAAGATTTTTTTTACAAAATAAAAAAAGAGTATAAATGTACCCACAATTTTTACTATTATTGTTTCATTAAAATTTTTAATCGTTAATGTATGTAATAACAAACAAGTATGTAGCTTTAAAATTTTGATCCCAACCGAGCTTTCGAAAAGCGAGCTGTATTCATTGATTTCAATTGACGTTTTGACGTTGACAGGCTGAAATATCAAATTCTAAAATCTCAGTAAAAAATATATATTTTCTAAAATTTCTTATGTTATTCATGTTAAACATATCATGTTTTAATATGGTACGTGATAATATGTGAATTATTACAGATACACAGGGCCGTTTTATCCATTAGGCATTATAGGCAACTGCCTAGGGGCCCTGCCACGTTCAGGGGCCCCTGTGCTACAGGTACAAGAATGGGCAATGTTTCTTAAACAGTAAAAAATTAATTTGAAAATTTGCTCTGTACATTACATCGACGCTATTTTAGTACATTTCGGAACGCATTCCTTATTATATATTATTATTATGATTATTATTATAGTTTAAAAGTTTATAACGCAGTAATATAATTGCAAGCAATTTTATCGCGGTAATTTAATTAAAAACGCTCAAAACTCTTTGTTGTGAATGCACACTTACTATACTGGTACCTACCAAGTATGTATATTCTATGGCCAAGCTACTTTCATAAGGTTAAATTCATTGGCTATAATGGCAATTGAAAATGACGTGTTGGAGAAGATTACCTTTCAGGATATCTTGAACGATTTTGTATCAAAAAAAGTTAGAAGAGTTAATATTTAAGCTATGTATGTTTTTTTTAATGCATAAATAAACATTCTGTTCATTTGATTCAACATTTTTATTGAATAATATGATGATATACCCAGGTTAGTAAAAAGCGGTGTAATTTTGAATTTTGTTGTGTTAACGAAAAAATTAGAAGAGGGTAGGGGGCCCTGGATGAGCATTGCCTAGGGGCCCCGACAGGCATAACCCGGCCCTGCAGATACATATTTTTTTTGTTATTTATTACTTCAATAATCTTGAGTAGTTATTCCATTAGTTAAATAATACTTAATTTATTTGTTACATAGCAACTGTTTACTTACTAATTGGTTTGTAAATAATAATTAAAAAAATTATAATATTTTATACCAACATAATAAAAAGGTTAGAAACTAAGAATATAAAGTGGAACGAGTTAAATTAATTAAATGAAATTTTCATGTGTTATATTTCATTTAAGATATAAAGTAGGTTAACGCAAAAGCAAATGGCGAACACCCGGGCTGGAAATAATAAAAGAGATTAATGTTTATGGTAATATTGTACTTTTTAAAACAATATCATACAATTTAATTCAAGAACGTGAATGCGTATTAAGTACTTAAATCAAAGACCAAATACGATTTTAATTTTATTTTTTACCGGTTTTTTGATGGAAGTTACAGCTAGATCACTATTATTTTTTTTCCGGTTTTTTGAAGGAAGTCACAGCTAAATCACTATTAATTGTATAATGCCATTTAAATTATTGACATTGTCGTAATTGTTCCGAGTTTTATTTTATCTGGGAACATGACGGGACCAAAACGAGCAAAAAAAAAAGTTGTAGGGCCGACAGCCATTTTATCGGAGATGTCATATTTTTTCATAAACTTATCTAAAAAATATTACTGCAAATATTTCGATGTCTTATAATATGCTTGTAATCTGGACAATGTTGCAATAAAATTTTTATTTATAAACCTTTGTAAGTGTTTTTAAATTGTTATTTGTTAATTTTATTTAAGAAAAAGGTGGTAGTGAATATTTATTGAAATTATTGTTTTAGACGATTTTAAATATATATTTTTTTATATCAAGAATAACATGGAATAATAACTGAACTCGGTGTTCACAAGTATTGAAACATTCGATAGATAGACTAAATATTTTGGGACGATGTTACAAGATTTTCACTTT